AGATGGGTGCTGTCTACCAGACCAGTGGTCGTAGATGTAGAAATGGAAGTAGCGATACCACCTAAAAGGTACTCATTTATGTAGACATCTATCTATTTTAGCTTAAATATAATATGTTTATCTGTCTAACCATCTATTCTAATCATTAAGGCGGTCATACTTACATACCTGCATGTATATTGGTCCCAAGACAGAAACATACGAAGAATATTGCCAACATAGCTATGTCTATGCATAGATTCGTCTGGAAATATGTAGCGTATCTAAGAGACATACAAGTAAATAGCGCAACGAGATCAATATGAACCGAAATTAGCAACAGGGATGTATAAATATTTGTGTATTATAATAATCACCTCTAATATAAGAATATAATATGTGTAGTTATTATGAACAGCGACCAGATAGAAATAAAGGAAGGAAGGAAGAAAGAAGGCAAAGTTGCCACGGGCCGGGCCGGGCCGGGCCAAAATTTTCAAAACTCCGGCCCGGTTCAAAAAGCGGGAATCCAAATTTTGAACTATTGATTAAATAAAATGTTTTTTTTTCGTAGAACTAATGAATTTTGCAAGTATCGAGCATAAAAAAGAAATGTAGTTCTCAAAAATAGTTTTTATTGGCATCAAAGCAAAAGATTTAATTTTGATCCCCGCAAAAAAAACGAAATAATAGATTTCCCCCAAAAATTTGAATTCGCGCCTTTTGAGCCGGGCCGGCACTTCTCCGGCCCGGCCCGGGCCGGGCCAGCAAATTTTCGGCCCGGCCCGTAATCTGGCAAGTCTGAAAGAAGGAGGCATTCGATCGACCTATTTCTCGCTCACAAGCCGACCCAATTTTAGATGGAAAGTGAAATTCTCCTTCTGTCACACTCTAAACACGCTTGGATAAAGACAATTAGACTACTTCAAAATTATCCTCTTTAAAATTGATTCATTTGTTGATTTTAATCGCTCATGATAAATATGAGATTAAAAATGATACTCAACAAAATTTAAATTAAAGATAACACAACTTTTTGAAAATCACCAGTTTCAAGCATTTTCAAAACTAGAAGACAGAAATAGCCACAAATATGTGCACCAAATTCTTGTATTTGAAATGTGGAGCATTCAATTACTTCTTTTTCTTTACCATTATTTTTTAGATATTTGATAACTTCATGAGGTGGATCTAATCCAAAGGAATCGAAGTAATAACTTTTATTTTTTATTTTTGAATAACAAACCCAATGAGTACCCTTATTATTACTTGAGTCAAGATTTACAATTCCGACTTCCTGGGAATGGATCTTATCTGGAAGGTTGTCTCTCATGAAAACACCGCGGAAATGTTTTATTTTCAACTCCTTCACGAGCTCTTTGAGGTCAAGATTTGTCAATGGCTTCATATCTGTTCGGAGATTAATATTCTTCATTTATAACACCAAAAATAGTCGAAAAATGTTGAAAAATGAAAAATGGGCAAAATGGTCTAAAGGCTTTTTGACCTAAAAATGACATTTTTCGAAAATGACGCATTTTCTTGCAATTAAGACACAAAATGGAGTTGTAAATGTTCAAAAATGATCTAAAACTGCAGAAAATCAAGTTTGGGCGGAAAGCTGTCCCAGCGTCAACATTTTATATACTACTCATGATTTTTAAAGTTTTCATTGTGAGGTTTTCATGGTATAGTTTCGGTAGCATTGTGAATTACTTGTAGATTGAGTGGTCAGAATAATACGGTCTCCTGTGATTTCGGTCGTCTAACAAGGTTACATTACACTGGCTTCTTTCTTTGTGAGAAATTGAAACTCAAGGCCGCGTTGCTGTTTGTAAGGGTCATCGTGGTTCAACTTAAGCATTTTCTGTGGTGAATGAATGGTCAGCAAACGTCGACGCAAGTCCTCTTTTTTCAGCTCATTTTTATCCGTTGAATATAAATTTTGTTTCTTTTATGCCACTATGAGAAATTCTCAAACTGAACATCAGCATCTCTGGAAGATATTGCTCTTGGGGTTATTCAGAGTTTTTTTTCTGTTTTTGATACGTTCTTTATGTTATTTATCCCAATGCAGCAACGTAAAAAAACGTTTCAAAACACAAACACAAAAAGAATCTCTAAAAATCTCAATTTCACACGTCTTTAGTAGAATATGTATTGTAGAAGTATTTTCAAAGTTATATTATGCAATCACTCTGGCCATATAATACAAATGGGAACAACATCAACAACTTTCGACATATCACTTGGGATAGGTACTATGTTAATGAGCACTATGACAGTTAGTCCTTATTTGTTTTTTTTTTAATTTTTACATATTATTTCAGAGCATGTGAATGTAAGTAGTGGTGTTGCAGCAGGTGTCACAATAGGAATTTTTTTCATTGTTTTTGTTCTCACTTTTGGATGTCGGATTTACAGTCAATATATAGACAGGGATCATGGAACAAGCTCACTACAAAACAGCGGTGAGGTTTCAGACTTTCACGAACTTCTCGAACTATAAGTAAACTTGCTGGCTCTGGCAATTCGATATTAATCTAATTAGAAAGTTACTGATCTAAACGCGACCTAATTAGATTCGGCTGTTTTTTCTTGGCGCAATCGAGATTTGAGCCAGCAAACTGTTGGCGTGAAAGATTTGAACACTTATTAATCTAGCTAGGAGATTTATTAATAATAACTCATTTATTCGCTTCGACTACCAGAAAAAATTTACAGAAGAAGAGAGGGAGATATAAATAGTGGGTCGAGGAGGGAATAATGACTAAAATGACCATTGGCCGGCAATAGCCTCTAGCTAGACAATTTATTAATCTAATTAGGTGTCATATCAATCTTATTAGACCACCGTTAGATTAACAACGAAAGCCAGAGGGGCTATAAAACTCTAAAATATAGTTCAACTGCATTTTTGATCTTCGCTTTTTTGAAGAGTCATCCAGAAGTTTCCGGCCTAGTGGCACATTAGAACGGACTCCGTGCGTCCTAAAGCGTGTGTACGTAAATGATCTCTGAATTTCGCGAAAAAATCGGTCGCTTTTAAGTAATTGACTGCGCAGCGACTTGATTTTTGTTGGCTGGCACAATCCTATAGTAAAGAGACGATACGCAGTTTATTTTTCACAATAGATCGCATTCGCTTCAACTCGCCGTGACTGGGAATCTTTTCAATAAAAAATAATTACTTACAGAAACAGTAATAAGCGACTCAATAACTACAGACATGTGGATTTGCGGACGTCCGTCAGAACCTCCTCCGCCGTACGAGGTTGCAATTTTTATGCCAACAACATCGCCATGTGCGACTAATTAATGATGCCGTTTTGACAAAATCAGAGATACAAGATAACATGACATGTCCGACCGGAAACGTAGAATTGGAAAGTCCCTGTCAATAAAACGTGTTTTTAAAATTATTACTTCCTACTGATGCTAACGAAACATTTTGTCGACGACCTTCAACATTTATCTTACAATTATTATACCGTCTACGTCTAAAAAAACATTTCATTAGGCCCAAGGCTTTCGAAGCCTTTCGGGGTCGCCGTTTTGGCCACTGTCAGCCGGAAGATCAACGCGGGGTTATGGTTTAAAAATTAAGAAGTTGCGAACTTTTATTGTAGAATATCTCTTGTAGTTTCGTTTGAGCTTGAAAGGTAGTATACCGATAGCTATTGCTAGCAACACATTAGTTATATATATATATATATATGTATACAAGGATGAAATTACTTCGAGCTGGCGAATAGTCTGGGATCTTTTTTATCTTCACAGAAATCAGCAGTATTACTTGTGACACACTTTGAGAAATATTCATCTAGAGGATGTGCGTATTCACTTTCCCAGTCACGGGTGAAAATATCCTATAAACCAATTTGTTCAGATGATTTTGATTTTAAAAAAACCTTGAGTTCATCTAGAAATGGACGTTTCTCGGATGTTTGTTTGATAACAATAGCAACTCCTGTTGTTCCACCCAAAAAATAGTCACCCGACCAGTTGGAAGTACCGATTATTCCTGCGGATTCTGTCACCATAAACTTATTGTGGGTTCTCCTTTCTCGGTTAATAACAATGCTCTCAATATTGGCTCGTGGCACTTTGAAAATTTTCTGAGAATGAGTTACATTTAGAACAATTTAAGGTTGTTTAGTACCACTTGCATAGTTCCATTGTCCTGAAACCCGTTGAGCGACTCTAGAGATCGCAGGAATCGTGTTCCAATATCAGGATAATGAAGAGCAGCTGCCAGAAGTCTAATTCGAACTCCACGAACAACGGCACGGCGGATTGCATCATCTATATTCGCAAAGTGAATTCTTGGGTTGCGATATATAAAGAGAGGGAAATAGTCCATAACGTGAATATCAATAAAAACTTTGGCGGCATCAATTTCAGAAACAATGGCATCCAGATCCCATGTTCTTCGAGGATTGTTTAGTTCTCGAGGGGAAGTCTAGAAAAGAAAAATCTGAATTTGAACGGCACGACGAACATTTTAAAACATGGTACGAATTTCCCTCGTCAGTTTTTTTGTCGCTGCGTACCAACTCAGTACTCTGCTTTCGAGTTTATTTTTTGATACATAGCGATAAAAATGCGGTTTAACATGTTCACAAATGTTCGCCGTGGACGGTTATAAAGTTAAGCTTACTGCAATGTACACTTGAGCTGGCTCTCCGCTAATGCTGATTGTTAGAGGACTATCTTTGTTGTATGCAGCTTTTTTTTGAAGATAATTGTTATTTTTCATTCCGCGGGTTTTCAAGTCCCACAAAACATTGAATATATGATGCATTTCTTCACCAAGACATTCACAATCTTCAACTAGAACTCCAAGCTCCATTTTTTGATTTAGTGATCTCCAATCTAGATTCGCTGATCCGAGATAAAATGATTTCCTATCAGCAACCAAGAACTTTGAATGCATTTTTCCTCTCCCCATGTAATCGCTGATATCAATTGATTTTCGAGAGAGTACTCCATGATTTTCTAGAATTACTCCATCAGCATTATCTCCTTTGTCTTTCGGTGGGTAGTTCTCCACCATTTTCACGTTGACATTTCTGGAAGATCCCACTGACTTCAGTGCTCTATAAATATTATCTCCCTGAAAAAAAAACAATTTAAATAGATGTAAAAACTAACTATTTTACCAGATTGTTATATCTGGCATCTTTAAGAATGTCTCACCTCTGTAGAATAGTACTTAGCTGAATCGCCGAGTACATGTTTACCTTGGAGGCTTGACTTGTAAGCGGCTACGAGTAACTCGTTTTGAGCAGAACCTATCAATGATTTCCACGCAGAAAATGTTGAAAGCGGCAATACGCTGTCTCCAAACGAAATATTGGCTGGTATTGTTTCAACTATCCGTAATCTGGTATTTGAGTTGTTTTCTGTTCCTTGGATAATGTACTCACTTGCATGTTTGAAAACACTGTCTATCTCGTAATAAAGATGCTTCTGGTTTAACCGGTAGTTTGGCAAGGAAACTAACAGCTACGATAGGTATCAAGAAAACAATTAGCGCCTGAAAATTCTGAAATGAGAATACTATTACTATCGGGATACTTCAAATTGAACGCGCTCTGCAGAGATAAGTGATCTCCAGCCCGGCGCCAGATGAAAATACAGAAAGTTACTTTGGAATTGAAATAAAAAGCAACTGGTCAGTAGGAATAACTTTTTTCAAACAAGAAAAACCTCTTTCTTCTGTTTTTTCCCTTTTTGGATTCAGTTTTTTCCAGACTGTATAGACAGTAAGTTTGAAACTATCACTTACAGGTATTGAAAACTTTCCGGCTTGTTTCGCTTTGTTTGTTTTTTCCATCATCAATGAAGGAGAATTTTGACTGTGAAGTGAAACAAATGATAACCATTTTATAATCAGTACTAAATGTTTGACATAGACCTTGATATGGAAGCAAATTCATGCTTTTTTGTCACGGGACATAACTTAAACCATGCAATTGACGTCATTGGCTGACCTTACCCGATTTACTTGTATCCCGGGCGACCAGTTATATTGTGTTTTAATAACTTGTCTGCATGTCGTGCAAACTCCAGCGATCGTACGTATTTTGAGATTTTGAAAAAAAAACGTCTCAAAAACCATGTTTTTTCACCATGGTATGCATAACCCGAGAAATATGTTTCTCCATGAACTGAATTTGCTTACTTGGATACTTGGAGTCCGTTTGATCTAGCGATGTGAATGCTTCACACGCTGCGGACGAAATCAATCCATTTTGAGCGATCTCGGGCGTAGAAGGACTAGGACTAGGTTGTGTTTGGGATCAGAATTCCTCCTTTTCTTCTTCCTTCGACAATATCCCCTGCTCTAGCCAGAGAGTCGCAGTGTGATTTTAGAGCTGTTCTCACGTCGTCCGACCATCGTTTTCTGGGTCTTTCTCTACTTCTGTGACCGTCCCTAGGTTGCCATTCAGTGATGACTTAAGTAGGTTAATAGTCAGAACACTTTGAAAACATTCGAAAACATTTCCATAAGATGTTACGACATCTGAAAAGCACTCGGCAAAGTTTGCAAAAAAGAAAATTATCACGGGGAACCGAACCAGCGGACCCTCGTTCAGAACACCGCCCATTCCCCACAGATAAATCGCGGAGGACCCATTTGGAATTGTATATGGGTCTATTGTGCTCCCCATTTCGCGCCCTCTTGGTCCAGCGCAAATGCTCTCTTAACGGATCCGCAGCGGTGAGAATGTCACCCACGCGGATCCAATGTGGCCACGGACCGCGCGTGGAAGTCGTAGGAATTGTATATATATATATATATATACGCCCATAATGGAGCATGCGCCAAGGTGGGCCTACAATGCGTAATCCGCTATTCACCCGTCACCGTTGAGCCATTGGCCGACATTTTCAACAATGTTACATTCGGGAACTCTGGCATTGCGTTATTAATCTAATCGTAGTCTACTCGAGTTATACGGCGGCCAAATGATATGATATGACACCTAATTAGATTATTAAATTGTCTAGCTAGATTAATAAATCTTCTAATTATATTGATATGTGCTCAAATCAAGTTTCACGCCAACCGTCTGCTGGCTCAAATCTCGATTGCGCCAAGAAAAAACAGTCCAATCTAATTAGGTCGCGTTTAGATCAGTAACTTTCTAATTAGATTAATATCGAATTGCCAGAGGAACACTCTTCGGAGGACTTCGCCGCCCGCTAAAACAGCAATTTCACGTAGAAAAATAGCAAAAGTTTGACGAATTTTCTAGAAGTTTCTAGATTTAGCCGGATGTTAATATCTTAAAATGTTTCCCATATTTTATAGTACCTCCTGATTTTTCTCAGAATATTCCCAATAGGAGAAAAAATACTTTCCTGGTAACTCTGGTTTTACTCGAGTTATACGGCGGCCTAATAAGATTGATATGACACCTAATTAGATTAATAAATTGTCTAGCTAGATTAATAAATCTTCTAGATAGATTAATAAGTGCTCAAATCAAGTTTTACGGCAACCGTTTGTTGGCTCAAATCTCGATTGCGCCAAGAAAAAACAGCCGAATCTAATTAGGTCGCGTTTAGATCAGTAACTTTCTAATTAGATTAATATCGAATTGCCATGGCAAGAGACACCAGCATTTTTTCAATGGAAAATTCGTAGCCTAAAACCCAAAAAACTCCCGGCGAAGATATGTGGACATTTTGTTTACCCACTAAAAACTGATTTCCGAATTTTGGCTGTCAGCGAGCTCACTCGGATCAGCAATGAGTTGACCTTCCATTTCTATGTTTGTAATAATTCTCGTGCGGCACTGGGATAGCTCTCTCTGAAATCATATATTAATCCTGAGATTTGACATTGTTGTGGCATTATGGATGGCTTCGCCGTGTACTTCTTGTGATTTTCTTTGCTTTTTCGAAAAATTCAGCTGCGGGTAAGCTTTCAGAATCTGGGACTCTGGGAACATGAATCCACTCCTTCTCAGGTAAAATTTCAAACTTTCCTATAGGGGCACCGCACAGAAATGTCGGTCTGTTGAGAAACTCTTTTTGCAGTGCAAATTGAGAGACCTCGGGGCTGAGTTTGAAAAGTTAGGCCACATTTTCAGTGGAAAATTACTTCGCGGCCTAGAAATTCGGCCAGATTGTGAACAGCGCGCCCATTATGTCCGGTGCCCCTATAATATTTAGTGTTTTCCCCAATTTTTATAGTTGTATATACGGTTTTTCGTATTTTTTCGGTCCTTTTGAGCTCATAATAAATTACTTTTTAATGAATTACTATGCTCATTTTGTATTACACGACACCATAGGAGCTCGAGGACAGCTTTGTCACTCGTTAGCACGTTTTTTTTAAAGTATTTACTCTCACTAAATCTGTCTAGAAAACTGTTGGCGCTTTCGAGTTTTGTTTGTTTTCTTATGAAATAATTAACAAAAGATCGAAGAACTGCGACAATGTTGACGATTCTCGACAATGGTATAAAAGAGTCTAAGATCGTCACAGTTTATTAGAGAAAAATGGTCGTTCGAGTGTTATTCTTTTTTGTATTTGTGGCCACCACAGATGGACTACTTGGCATCATCGGCTCAAAGCAAGGTGTTATAGTCACGGGCAGGCTCATTTGTAACGGCCAACCGGCAAGTGGAGTTCTGGTAAAAATGTACGAGGACGGATCAAGTGAGTTTGTTAATCATTATGAGATTTACATTATTTTCCATTTTTCAGTCTACGACAGCAAGTTGGACTCTGTTAAGACAAGTTCGGATGGAACTTTCAGAGTTTCCGGAAGTCGAAACAAGATAAGGACAATAGATCCAAAAGTTAACATTTATCACAAATGCAACTATAATGGGGTAAGTGAATGTGTATTTTGTGGAAAACATTTCTGTCTGTTTCAGCTGTGCTCGAAAAAGGTGTCCATCAACATTCCAAAGAGTTCTGTTGTCAGTGGATCATCTAATAACGCACGCAATTATGATATTGGAACTATGAACCTTGCAAATAGGTTCAGCGGAGAGTCTACTGATTGCATCCACTGATCTGTTAATTTTCAATGAATTTTTCGTATATCTGAAAATAATTGTCTTATATTTTCTAATGTTCCACCTTCCTCGCGTTTGGTTGACTGCTCAGAATCATTCTTCAGATTTTCGGCGACTATTAGTAAAGCTTGAGAACACAAAGAAATTTTCGATGCTCTAATATTACACAGCTTGGGTTGGCAGCTGTCATTGCAATTGGAATTGTAAATACTTCACAATCAGGTATTTTGTTCCTGAGAAATGTGGAAACAACTTCTAATAATACTTTCACTGTTAGCGTTTGGCAATGCCCTTCTTGGTGCCGTTGGCAGTAAGCAGACCGTGACCGTCATTGGTAAGCTCACTTGCAATGGACAACCAGCCAAAGATGTAAGAATTAAGCTCTTCGAAGATGGAACAAGCAAGTTATATTCATTAGATTAAGTAAAATGTTGGAATTACAGTTTATGATACCAAAATGGATTCCATTAAAACCATCGCTGACGGAACTTTCCGTGTTTCCGGCTCGCAGAGGAAGATTAGAAAGATCGACCCCAAAATAAACATTTACCACAGGTGCAACCACTCTGGAGTAAGCTAATCAGAATGTAGCCGAATGCACGGCCCGGCTTTTCATACATAGGACTTTCGGTTTTTTCAATATATCTCCAGAAATCGAACATAGGAACCTCTGATTTTTTGATAAGAGTTCAATTTTACTGGGTTCTTCAAAATGAGCCAGGTCAGAGGTAAATGTAAGTTTTCTGAGAGAAGTTACAGCTTCACAATTTCCACTCCTCCATATGATTTGCCGGCCCGTGAATGGAGAATTTATACTTCCAGCTGTGTCCGAAAAGAGTCACTATTCATGTTCCGAAGAATGCTATTGGAAAGGGATCCAAAGACGCACAGCTCTTCGATATTGGAGTCCTGAATCTGGCCAATAGATATCCAGGAGAGGGTACTGATTGCATTCACTAGTGGACCAACGCGTCAATTAATAGCTCTGTCTTATACAATCGAGAACTTCATTTTTAAGTCGGAATAAAAAAATTAAAATCAATGGTTCAAAATGATTCAGTTCCATAGGAACAATGTATGATGATACCGCTATCAAATTGCCACGGAATGAATATTGTGAGTTTCCAGTACTATATTGTTATACTATCCATTGATAGTGGTGCGGATAAATCTTCTTTTTTCGCATTTTCTGGTTTAGCTTCTCGTGCTTCTATTGCTATATTTCTTTGTCGTTTGTTCATAAACAACAATTCAACCTGAAAAGTCAATACTGTCGCGAACAGTTCAAGAGATAACAGAAGCGCTTGGGTTTTTTTGCTTGGGTTTCTTTCTCGCATGTTAAACCTTACTAGGGAAGTTTTAAGGAACGAAGCAATTGAGAAAAATCTTATCATAATCCATTGTATTATAAGGGTACCGGACAGAAAGGGCGCGCTGTTCGCAATCTGGCCGAATTTCTAGGCCGCGAAGTAATTTTCCACTGAAAATGTGACCTAATTTTTCAAACTCGGCCCCGAGGTCGCTCAATTTGCACTGCGAAAAGAGTTTCTCAACAGAGCGCCATTTCTGTTCGGTGCCCCTAAAATACCGCACTGATTTTTTTAGCGGTCGAGCGACAATGCCAGAATTATGAAGTGCTAATACCTCATCGATAGAATATCCTGTTGTTTCTGGAACCAATAAATAAATGAAGATGAAAGCAATAATTGTAAAAACTGCATAAAGCCAAAATGCTCCGTAAGTAGTATACAAATGGTTGACGCTGGACGGTCATTTTGCCCAAATGATTGACCACTCTCTCTCTCTCTTTCTCATTTACAATTAGTTCTTTCCTTTGGTGTGACGTACAAAGGTCATCAACGTCCTCTTTCTCTTTGTGTGATCTTCTTTTCTCTTCCTCACTGTGACCGAGCGCAATCACACATTTGCCCCAGTTGAACTAGACACACGCGACGCAACACGCAAACGCGTTGGGCTAGAGTGAAAGAGTGATGAGAGTGACGCGTGGCCAGAGACGCAGAGGAAGGAGAGAAACTGCCAACATCGCACTCTTCCATTAGAGCTCTTTTTAGAGGGAACGTTAACCCCAACCATTTTTACTGTTTCATTTATCTTTGATTGAATTTCCTCTCTCAAAATGTTTTACTGTCTAGTCGCTTCAAACCGAATATTTCATTTGTATTTTTCGTTCATCTTTAATAACTAAAATTTTTATTTCAGAATTATGTCGAAAAAGTTTCTCGTTGACGGACGTGCAGTTTGGGTTGAAGATGCTGAATTCGAAGAGCTGCGTGAAAAATTCAAAGAGAATGTGACGGTAGATGACTTGGAAAGTTGGGAGTCCAAGGTATGATTTATTTTAATCTTTTTTAATGAATGCTAATAAGCTTTCTTAAAATAAAACTATGGATTAACAAACACTTGTTTTGAAATTTTTTTGTTTTCAGGAAGTCATGGAGAGATATAACGCGTCAACGTTCATCGACAAGGCCCGGCATTACTTGTCTCTGTCTCCTCCGGACCTAATTCAATCTTCAGAAAAGATCTGGTTTGCGGCTGTCTACGCTGTCAAAGAAGCTTATCTTTCTTGCGGAGGTATGGATCTGAAGTCGCATAATTCTTTAAAGTATTATTAATCCGAATGTTTCAGGAATCGATTTGAAGTCGCACAACTCCTTGACTTATTTTTGCCGATTTGCACTTCATCATTCTGGTCTACCGTGGAAGCGCTTTGATTATTTATCCGATTGTTGGGTAAAAGCGGAGAGGTGAGTTGTTTAATTTAATACATAATTGATTTATTATTATTATTTTCCTTTTTATTTGTTTTTGGTTAAAAATTTTTTTATTCTTTCATTTCTTTTTATATTAATTTTTTAGAATGCATCGAGACGTCTATGGTTCTGGAAACTATCGTCCCAGTGAATATGGACAAATAATCTCCGATGTAGAGGCCTTTGTATTCGAATTTGCACAATTTGATCGCAAGACACTTTGGTCCAAATTCAATGAGACGTTTATTGCCGGAAACGATCCAGATGTTCAAATTAAAAAGGAATCTCATACTATCAAGCTTGGTGGTTTCAGTTTCAAGTGTGATTACTCAGTTTTTGTTTAATTGGTTTTCATATGAGTTCATAACATGCCAATTTAAATTGTTTGTGGTTCATAACATACATCGAATTGATAATGTTGCGATTCAATTTTGATTTGTTTGTTTTAAGACATGAATTGAATAAATTGACTGATCTCCGAGTTGTTGTAATGGGTGATGGATTTTGTGCATTAAAATAGTCAAAAAGTGTTGAAAATTGAAAGTGGGCAAAATGGTCACTTCTACGTCCAGCCTAAAAAGTGCCGTTTTTCAAAAATGACTGATTTTCGATGAGCTTAGACACTTTTCTGATGAAAATAAGCGTTAAAATAGCTAAAAAGTGTAAAAAACGTCATTTGGGCAAAATGACCGTCCAGCGTCAACCATTTGTATACTACTTCCGTACTTTGTGATGGCATGAGTAAGGGAGAGATAAGTATTATAGGGGCACCGCACAGAAATGGCGCTCTGTTGAGAAACTCTTTTTGCAGTGCAAATTGAGCGACCTCGGGGCCGAGTTTGAAAAGTTAGGCCACGTTTTCAGTGGAAAATTACTTCGCGGCCTAGAAATTCGGACAGATTGCGAACAGCGCGCCCTTTCTGTCCGGTGCCCCTATAATAAGCGAAACCAATAAATTGAAGACCCAGTTTGAAAGTGTGGAAATTGAGACGCAAGTGCTTCTTGCCCACATTGGATAGAACTTAGAGTTTAGAACCCAAGGAAGAGATGTGAAGCCCGAAGAAAACGTTAACAAATAGACACCCATCATAACAATCGGTAGAATGGTGTAAGACGTTGTGCAGTGATATTTTTGCCAAACGTAACTGGTAGCTAAAAAGCAAAATGTAATTATGATCGGCTGCAAAATTAATATCACCATTAGGAAATGACGGGTTTTCCTTCGGTGATATAGAACTGCACAATCCAGTCGAAGAGAAGAGTGTAGGATTATTCTGATTCACAGGCAAACAGAATCCCGTCCGTTTTTCAGAATTCTCACAGAAACCACATGACTCAGAAGTTACACAACTGTCACAATTACTGAGCACAAAACATGCGTTTGCTTCTGAAGAATCTGGTTCGAATGACCCGGCAGCAGTATATTTTTGGTGACTGTATTCCGGTGTCATGGTATTAAAAGTTGTAATCTTGTGAACAAACCATTTATTCAGTGACTATAGTCTATAGATCAGTATTTTACAAAATTGTCATGAGAAACTCTTGTATTTATTATAGGGGCACCGCACAGAAATGGCGCTCTGTTGAGAAACTCCTTTTTGCAGTGCAAATTGAGCGACCTCGGGGCCGAGTTTGAAAAGTTAGGCCACGTTTTCAGTGGAAAATTACTTCGCGGCCTAGAAATTCGGCCAGATTGCGAACAGCGCGCCCTTTCTGTCCGGTGCCCCTATAATAGTCGGCTACGGACTTGGTTATTAGTTTCTTTCTGCCTGTCCTCAGTGTCGAGTTTCTGTGTTTTGCTCATGAACAAAATTTCTACCTGCAAAAAATAATTATGCAGGTAATCAAATATATTGGATTGCACCTGTTCAATAGAACATCCTTTTGTCTCTGGCACCAGGAGCAAAATAAATACAAAAGCGACTATAGTAAAAGCCGCATAAAGCCAAAAAGCACCATACTTGCCAATGACATGTGTCAGAGAAAGATATGTTAAAAACACCAACAAATTGAACAACCAATTAGATGTGGTAGAAATGGACACACAGGTTCTTCGAGCCTACATTGGATAAAACTCTGAGTTCAACACCCACGGTAATGATGTAAATCCGGACGAAAAAGTTAGCAGAATCCACATGCAAGAATAGGAAGAATTGTGTAATGTGTGTTACAGTAATATTGATCCTATTCGTAGTTGCCAGCGATGCTACCTAAACAATTCCTACAACTTTGGAAACAATATTTAAAATTACTGTTTGAGAATGAGCATGCTCCAGTACTTGAGTACGTTTCGGAAAAAGCAGATGCAGGGAGGCAGTATCCTTTTTTAGTGTTCGCATAATGACAGAACCCACATGCATCAGCTGACATACATGCCGCATGCATGCAGAACGTATGCCAGCGGGCGACAAATGCCGCATATATGCCAGCGAGTAAGTGTGTTTTACCGACGAGCACGATTACCGAGAATCACCTCTGCGGTAAATTTTTTGTAACATTATCGGTTTATCTATCAAATTCACTGGAAGATTAGCTGAAACATTCACTTTTTATATTATAGGGGCACCGCACAGAAATGGCGCTCTATTGAGAAACTCTTTTTGCAGTGCAAATTGAGCGACCTCGGGGCCGAGTTTGAAAAGTTAGGCCACATTTTCAGTGGAAAATTACTTCGCGGCCTAGAAATTCGGCCAGATTGCGAACAGCGCGCCCTTTCTGTCCGGTGCCCCTATAATAGTTGAAAATTGACATGAGAGAAAATACGGCGTAGCCGTCATGTCATCTCAAATTATGAAAAAACTAGATAGTAGGAATCTCCAATTTTATTGCGATAATTTCTTTATTAACTGGAAATGTACAGGAAAAGTTTAACCTAAAAATTTACTGGTTCATTTTCGATTGAAAGTTCCCTGAGTCCACTATGCGTTTCCTGTGCATTTACCGAAATTTCAGTGTTGAATATGAAGTACAGAAAATATGATTTTCGATAGTTTTGAGAATTCAGGCAGCAAAAGTCGAGGGAATTGTTTATGTTCGGGAAGTCACTAGTGAAGTTCAGCTCAAACTGAACCAATTAGTGTCAAATTCATAGATCAGATTCTATAAAACATAAAGACTATTATTTTCTCTCTCGAGACGTTTTTGTTATCCTCAAAAGCCATTCTGTTTTCAGCTAACTCACGTTTCGATCTTCTCGGAACAATCCATGCTCAAAAACATCAATTTGTGCGATCGTAAACCGAATAAAACAGGATGGTGAGATAATTCTGCTTTAAATCGTATGCTAATTTATTACTTCAGATAATTCTGCAGTTTCATCATCCTTGGAAAAATATGTATATGTCGTCCACGGAATTCCGACCGAAATTGGTCGATTAGAGGTGATGAATTCTGTTCTATTTTAACTTCAAAATTTAAAGAATCGGAATCAGCAACCAAGACTATCGAGCACGCAAAAATAGCGAAGAAATTACTCGCAAGAGTATGAGGTTAGACTACACGTTCGACAATTACTGAAAAATCGTTTCTTTCAGAGACTTCTATGATTCAAGCATCACTGCTTCGGGGAGACCATTTCGGACTCCTCAGGTCTTATGGTCTTATGTCCACGCTGCGACTCAGTGTCAGGTCGTTCTCAATTCGACATGGCGCTTTGTTTGTTTACTCAATAGTATTTTTTAACTTGCAAATTTGAAGAATCGGCATCAATCAAAGCTATCGAGCACCGAAAAGTAGAGAGGAAGTTACTCGGAAAAATTCAGAAAGTATATTTCATATTCAAAAATTTTTCAAAAATTGTTTCTTTCAGCAACTGGAATGCTTCAAGCATCACTGATTTGGCGAGACCATCGCACATTCGACGTCTATAGAATCATGAGGACACTAATTTTTTCCGAGCTAGCGCTCGGAACCGGCCCGCTTGTTTGTTTCTCAAAACCGTTCGAGAGTACACGTGTTCATTTCTTAATTTTCTCGTTACAAGACTTTAAAACTGGGCCTGCGGCTTCTTTGTTTCTCAGAACTGTTTGAAAGTTCACGTGTTCATTTATCAATTCTTCCGTCACAACTATTTTAGTTTAAGAACTGGAAAAGTGGCCGGACAAACTGAGAAAGCAAGAAAGAAACGGAAAAACCACGTTAGCTTTTTATTAAAGAAGAACCAATGATGACAATGATTTATGGATGACGCCTGGGAGAGCGTTGCCCTTATTCCGGTGCCCTCGGAGTATCGGCGTCGATTTTCCGATTAGAACGGTAACCTGCAAAACTGCGCGCTGAGGCAATAACTTTTATTCGCTTTCAAAGTTTACGAGAGCTCGTAAAATCTACTGTTCTTTAAAACGGTGATATGGAGAGTTTGAGAAGAACAAAAGGATGAGGTACCTTCTGTTTTTATTCTTCCAAGTTGTACTTGTGGAGCCCAATCTACTCGGAAACTATTCTATAGAATTCTTTGACATTCAGATCGATAGAAATCATCCTGAGAAGATTTACAAGGCCTTTGAAGAGTTTATCGTCAAGTATTTTCAAAATTAATAGTTAAGTACGTCGATTATTTTTCAGATACAAACGAATTTACAAAGATCAAGCAGAAAAAACATTGAGATTCAAAAACTTTGTGAAATCATATAACAAAGCAGACGTGTGAGTATAATCTCTAGTTCACGGGGTGTCGAGCACGACGCCTTCACATTTTCACTATTATGCACTCTTTCTCTCTCTGCAATCGCGCTCTGCTCCTAATCTGGCCGAGTTTTTCCGCCAGCAGTTTTCAGTTGTTTTTCACTGGAAAAATGGCCGAACTTTTTTATTTTTATTTAAACTCGGCCCCGAGATCATTGCCGTTTGCACTGGCAAAAGAGTTTCTCCACAGAGCGCGATTGCAAAATGTTAAATGCTCTCATAATACGTTGTGCATAGTTAACAGTGTGATCACCGAAACGCTTTTGAGTAGCTATGGCCGTATTGGTGAGAGCCTGATCTAACGCGTTGGCGATAATCCGAATTTTTTTGCAGTCGTCACGCTTTAAACCCCGTGCTAGTTCTATTCCATTAAAGGACCAGGGAACCCAAAAATTTTTTGATTTTTTTTGTGAAATGCTGCCTCTCAAAAATGCCAATGAACGAAACGGCATGCAGTTGAAGTTGTGGCCGTGGCCTAGCGCCAATGGCCTAGAAATATGCGCTTCTCGGCCATTTTATTTTTTTCGGTTTTTTTGCGATAAAATCGCCCTTGTTCCACGGAAACCACTCATCTGGCACTTCGTATCGACTGAATGAAAACAATTTTTTAGCAGTGAAAAAATAAGTGCCGAACAAATGTCAATCAACTGAAAAATGGGAGAAACCGTGAATTTTTGGAAAAAACCGGTAAAAAAGCGGAAAAAATAAAATGGCCGAAAAGCGCATATATTTTTATATATTTTTCGGCAATTGGCGCTGGCATTTAATTCCGAGGGTACAACAATTTTGGGGCACAACAGGGTACAACCTATTTTGGGGTACAACTTTTTTAATTTTGGGGTACAACTTCCCCGATTTTAGGGAATAATTTCGGCATTTAATTCGGAGGGTACAAAAATTAGGGGGTACAACAGGGTACAAATGGTTTTGGGGTACAACTTTCATGGTTTTGGGGTACAAAAAGTCGAGGGTACAAAATTTTCGATTCTGGGGTACAAAAATTTACCGATTCAGTAAGCATTGATTAAGGGGTACAACTTTTATGATTTAAGGGTACAAATTTCACAATTTTGGGGTACAAAAGTTGCACGAAGCACATTTTCGAAGTTTTCATACCATTTTTGAATTTTTGAGAGCTCACGAGACACACTCGTGTGTAGCCATGCTTTGTTTTATGCAGTATTTTGTGTCATTTCGAGAAACAATCTTTACTTGGGTAAATTTCACACACAACATCAGATGCTGAAATTCTGCTGTGAAATTGCAGAATTTAAAGGGGCCAAAACAGCAAAACAACTTGTATGTAATATTAAAGGGGCACCGAATAGAAAGGGCGCTCTGTTCCCAATCTCGCCGAATTTCTAGGCCGCGAAGTAATTTTCCACTGAAAATGTGGCCTAACTTTTCAAACTCGGCCCCGAGCTCACTCAATTTGCACTGCAAAAAAATTTCTCAATAGAGCGCCCTTTCTATTCGGTGCCCCTTTAATATTACATACAAGTTGTTTTGCTGTTTTGGCCCCTTTAAATTCTGCAATTTCACAGCAGAATTTCAGCATCTGATGTTGTGTGTGAAATTTACCCAAGTAAAGATTGTTTCTCGAAATGACACAAAATACTGCATAAAACAAAGCATGGCTACACACGAGTGTGTCTCGTGAGCTCTCAAAAATTCAAAAATGGTATGAAAACTTCGAAAATGTGCTTCGTGCAACTTTTGTACCCCAAAATTGTGAAATTTGTACCCTTAAATCATAAAAGTTGTACCCCTTAATCAATGCTTACTGAATCGGTAAATTTTTGTACCCCAGAATCGAAAATTTTGTACCCTCGACTTTTTGTACCCCAAAACCATGAAAGTTGTACCCCAAAACCATTTGTACCCTGTTGTACCCCCTAATTTTTGTACCCTCCGAATTAAATGCCGAAATTATTCCCTAAAATCGGGGAAGTTGTACCCCAAAATTAAAAAAGTTGTACCCCAAAATAGGTTGTACCCTGTTGTGCCCCAAAATTGTTGTACCCTCGGAATTAAATGCCTTGGCGCTAGGCCACGGCCACAACTTCAACTGCATGCCGTTTCGTTCATTGGCATTTTTGCGAGGCAGCATTTCACCAGTGTATGAGGCAATAAGAGACAATTCAAACAGTCACAAAAAATTTCACAAAAAAATCAAAAAATTTTTGGGTTCCCTGGTCCTTTAATATTTTTGACAATAGTTTAGGCTTAACAAAAAAGCCAAAGAAGAAGGTCATGACACAAAATTTGGAATCAACAAGTTTTCGGATTGGAGCAGCTCGGAATTCAGTGGATCTTTGTCGCACATGCCCCCTCCAAGCAAATCGGATATTCCCATGTTGAATATCACTGATTTTTTTGACGAGGTCACCAATAAAACTAGGCAGAAAAGGAAATCTGCTAAGTACCCAGAAGAATTCGATTTGAGAGATGTGAAAGTGAACAATCGGCGTATTGTTGGTCCCGTCAAAAACCAGGGAAACTGTTCTTGTTGCTGGGGTTTTGCAGTGACCGCCGTTACAGAAACAGCGTATGCGGTTAATAGTGGACAATTCACGGTACTAATAACTCTTAACTTTTCATATTCTAAGTTTTTAGCCACTTTCCGACCAAGAAATTTGTGATTGTGGAACTTCTGGAACTCCCGGTTGCACCGGAGGAAATTTGCCGATGGGCATAAAATATGTGCAACAGTACGGACAGGCGAGTGCAGAGGAATATCCCTATGACGAAACAAGAGCCAAGAAAACCAAGCGGTGTAGAGTGAAATCAACAGAGCGTGTGATCTCACCGGTTAGATTACAAAACAGAACAAAGAAATAAAATACGTTTATAGAAAGCTCTGAAGTTAGGCACCGTCAATCCGAGGAAAGCTGAGCGAGAGATTATTCATGTCCTAACACAATGGCATATTCCTGTTGCAGTTTGTGAGTCTCTTAGAATGTGTCAAAGAGACTGAAAGTGATTCAGTTCAGCTCTACGAAATTTGTACGATAATCTTACTTATTAATAAAGTCTTACGGGGTCTCAGTGTGTACTTTCGAAAGATAAATGTCCAGAAACGGCAGATTCTTTCGAAAGATATTTCGTGAGATCTCTGTCATCCTGATGGTCCCTTTAGAGTTGGACGAATGATCCACCAGGACCGAATGGTCCGAATGATCCATTCGGTCCCGTTGGATCATTGGGACCATTCGGCCCCGTTGGATCATTCGGATCATTCGGCCTCGTTGGATCATTCGGACGTTTTATTAGATCTTCTTAGAACTTATTAAATACATTTTGTGGAATCGTTCATTTACATTTTTCTATCATTTTTGCAGACTTCCAAGTTGGAGAGAATTTAAAAGCATACGATGCGGGAGTAATTGTCACTGATGACTGCTATAACGCTGAGAAGTGGCATGGAGGAGCCATTGTAGGGTATGGATCAGTTCAAGACAGAAGAGGACGAACTGTTGACTACTGGATCATTAAGAATTCATGGGACAATGATTGGGGAGAATCTGGTTACTTCAGAATCAAGAGAAACATTGATTGGTGTGCTATCGAAGAGAGTCCGGTCACTGCCACTTTTGAACAGTAATCTTTGTCTTATTTATTTGAATAAATGTTGAATTATCCATACAGTTATTCCACTAATCTTCGTTTTCACATGATTCAGAGATTTTCTCGTTTACTTCCGTTTCCACGCCAGAAAAGAACCACTCGCTCCGTGACGGCATGTTTTCCATTAGTGGTTTGCCTTTTGTTTCCGGTAGCAAGCATTCGAAATAAAGTGTATCGATTGCGGAAAATAAAATCATGGCACAGAAAGGCAAAGCCAGCCAGTAGTCTGCCTGAATTTCTCAGGTTAGGCTGGTCGAACAGGCGCCTAAAAACCAGACTTGCCAAATTACGGGCCGGGCCGAAAATTTGCTGGCCCGGCCCGGTCGGCCCGGCTCAAAAGGCGCGAATTCAAATTTTTGGGCATTTAATTTTCACAAAATTTTTTTCACAAAATTTTTTTACTCCGTGAATGTTTTGTACTCCGAACCGCTTGTTGCTTTGATGCCAATAAAAACTATTTTTGAGAACTACATTTCTTTTTTATGCTCGATACTTGCAAAATTCGTTAGTTCTACGAAAAACAAACATTTTATTTAATCAATAGTTCAAAATTTGGATTCCCGCTTTTTGAACCGGGCCGACCGGGCCGGGCCGGGCCGGGCCGGAGTTTTGAAAATTTTGGCCCGGCCCGTGGCAACTCTGCTTTAAACTGACACGTGCAGTCGAGCTGCTGTGGTGTTTTGAAACTTAATCGTCTAGCCATGCTCTTTTGTAATTATGGGGCTATTCAGACTGTGAAAAAAATGATTGTTTTCCGTTTTTTTTTCGTATTTTTACGTCAAAAAATCCAATTCAGCGATGTAAAAAAACGAAAAAAACGGAAAACAAACATACGCTGAATAGCCCCATTAATGACAGCGACGGTTACGAATAATGTGTTTTTTGCATTTATACCTTATTGGTCTGTTTCCTACATAAATCTGTTAGGAATGCTTTGGCGCCCAACAAAAACCAAAATTGGAAGGCAATGCCGGCATCTCTGAGACTGATGGAAGCCGAGCGGGAGAGTGGTCCGATGACCAAGAGGGCACAGAAACAGAAACAAGGGATAGGGGGAGAGAGAGACTGAAGGGACGTCGTTGGAAAAAGAAAAGAGTACGAGAAGATACTCAGATGTGGGGAGCTTTTGCGTGCGGCAGGATGGAAGAGGGAAGAGAGGGAAACAAGACGCTGTTGTGGAGGGAAAACGAAAATGTATTGATCCTAGAGCAAAAGGTTGAGAGAGTGAAAGAAAATAGAAATATGTGTAAGCTCTCGTTGCTTCTTCTCACTTGTATTACTGGTCCATTATTTTCTTTTTTTAACGTTACCTTCCTGAAAATAGGTTTCTGAATATTATTCAGTCTTCTTCTTCTTCTTCTTCTTCTTATTCTTCTCAAAGCTTATATACGTTTTTTAATGCAGGTTTTCTACCAAAATGGGTGAGATTTACTCACCTTCGCAATCAAAAGGCTTCAATCAGCCATATGGATATCCAATGAATTGCAATCTTAGTCGGGTTTTTATGGAAATGACAGAGGAGGACAGAAAATGTTTGGAGGAGAGGAAATATTGGTGTTTCTTACTAAGCAGGTAAAATTAAAGAAGTTACAAAAAAACCAGTTCAGCAGTATAATTTCAGTATAACAACATTCTGCGCATCAATGATTCTCGTAGTTATATGGCGGGTTGTCACTCATCTCTGCTGTCAGAGAAGAGAACGAGAGTTCGTGGAACCTGTTCACGATGCCGTTCAAATTCAGATGAACGGAAAACATGGAACAACTGGAGAAGCGGATCCATTCCTGAAACAACAAGAGGAGAAACATCTGGGATGGATGACTGAAGTATAGTGACTCTTTTTTTCGATACAATTCCCGAAATACTCCTTTTGATCTTAATTTGTTGCGGCACGAAATTGGGCAGAGCTTGTTATTTTTAGGATTCTATAGCGATGCAGCTTTACAGAAGTATTCGGGACCGCAGGGGAAGTTTTTCCTGTTTCTGAATCAGAACCCTTTCATTTTTGGTAGCCGCTCTGTATATCACCTATTCTTGTCAATGCATGGCTCATTCCTTTTCTAACTTCATTGATTTATGTAATTCTGCTTGAAGTCCAGGCTGAAACACACATCTTTTTTTTACACTGCCGGCCACTGTTGTTTCCCGGGTCTATTCTCTCACGTATTTAACGGTGATAAGACTGTGATCTGTTTTGGACAGTGATTCAGAGAGTGTGTTTCTTTTAGCTCTGCCTCCACCCAAATGTATTCATGTAAAAAGTTTTTCAGGCGAAAGACTGGGCAGGCGAACTGATTTCCGGTCAAAGTCTAACTGGGAGGTTCCTTGTATTACTGGTCTTTATTCTTTCCATCGGATCGTTAATTATTTATTTCTATGATGCTAGCTTGTAAGTTACATATCTAAAAAGATATCTGGGATTGATTACATACTTCAGTCAAAATTTTCAAGTGGAAACTTGTATACCATGGCAAGACAGTCCTTCTCAACAGATCGATTTAGGATTCAACATATTCTTCCTGGTCTACTTTTTTATAAGGGTTCGTGATTCACAGGTGGTAATCGCCCTCCATTATATTAAACAATACTTCTGAATCTGATCCCGCCACTGGGCCGCCAGCTAACGCTCGGAAATCTGAAAACAGTTTGAAAATTAACGTGTTCATTTCTTGACTACGCGGCACTTCCCACCAAAGTCATTTTTTACCAGTAACGTTTCATACCAGAGCGACATTTCATGCAAATGACAGTTCACACCCTTGACCTTTCATACCAACTTTTGAATAATTTTTGAGTTTTTGTACGGACCTGGTTGATATGAAATGTCACGGGCATGAATCGTTATTGGTTTGAAACGTCTCGAAATAGTGTTTCATTGAATAAGAATGATGATTTTCAGTTCATTGCCGCGTCTGATAAAGTATGGTTTCTTCTAGAAATGTACAGTTGGATCGACTTTTTCACGATTCCACCGAGCTTTGTAGCAATTTATTTGCAGAGGAACTGGTTAGGTAGGATATGCTTGAAAATTACTATTTCAGTGTTACATTTCAGGATTTCGTTTCCTCCGTGCACTTCGGTTGATGACGGTCCCAGATATTCTTCAATACTTGAATATTCTGAAAACGTCCAGTTCGATTCGCCTGACTCAACTCGTTACCATCTTCGTAGCCGTTTGTTTGACTGGAGCGGGACTGGTTCATTTACTGGAAAACTCCGGCGACTTTTTCAAAGGATTTATCAATCCGCATAGGATAACCTATGCAGACTCAGTATACTTTGTCCTGGTTACCATGTCGACAGTGGGATACGGTGACATCTATTGTACAACACTTTGTGGAAGACTTTTTATGATCTTCTTTATTCTGTTTGGTTTGGTGAGTTTCATAAACCTCTTACGTTATATTTGTGATATACCTCTCTCTCTCTCTCTCTCGCTCTCTAACTCTTTTTAGGCTATGTTTGCAAGCTATGTACCAGAAATAGCAGATTTGATTGGTAACCGGCAGAAGTATGGAGGAGAATACAAAGGGGAACATGGAAAGAAACACATTGTCGTGTGTGGCCACATCACGTACGACTCCGTTTCCCATTTTCTTCAAGATTTCCTCCATGAAGATCGTGATGACGTGGACGTGGAAGTCGTTTTCTTACACAGAGTTGTTCCGGATTTGGAGTTAGAAGGTCTATTCAAACGGCATTTTACAAAAGTTGAATTCTTCACCGGTACTGTAATGGATTCTTTAGATCTGAGTAGAGTGAAAGTGAGTTTGTGCCTGCATGGTCTGGAAATAGCTGATTTTATCTCTTAGATTGGTGATGCTGATGCCTGTTTGGTCTTGGCAAATAAGTACAGTACCAATCCTGACGCAGAAGATGCAGCCAACATAATGCGAGTGATTTCCATCAAAAACTATTCATCGGATATTCGAGTAATCGTCCAACTGATGCAATATCACAACAAAGCTTACCTTCTAAACATTCCATCATGGGATTGGAGACGTGGTGATGATGTCATATGCTTGGCAGAACTGAAACTAGGATTCATCGCACAGTCGTGTCTGGCACCTGGGTTTTCAACCATGATGGCGAACTTATTTGCTATGCGTTCGTTCAAAACGGTACGCTTTCGTATTTACATGTTTTAATACGTGTGTAATTGTCTAATCAATATTTAATTCTAATTCTGTGCATGTGAATTCCTTTCCAGTCACCTCACACACCATCATGGTTGAATGACTACTTACGTGGTGCTGGAATGGAGATGTATACCGAACGTTTGAGTCCGGCATTTGTTAACATGTCATTCCCAGAGGCCGCGAAGTGAGTTTTCAAATACTAATAGTATTGTTTTCATTCACAAGTGTTCTCAAAATCTACTAAAAAAAACTTATTTCACAAAAAGAACTGCTTTACCACTCAGTCCCGTAAACTTTAAAAACGTATTTTTGTCACAGCACCGCACGCTTTCATCAAGCAATGTGTAGAATATTATGAATATCCAGTTTTAGTCACAAACCACACCGGATTGGCTGAACCTCTATCTTTGCGGGGCAGGCATGGAAATGTACACCGACACTTTGTCTCATTCATTTGTAGGGATGACGTTTCCAGAAGCGGTCGAGTAAGCCAAGGGTGCCTTTTCCACTCACAACTCATTGAGACAGCTTCCATTCCTAACATCTGAACTCTAACAATGTTGCCTAACACTAAAATGTATTCTTCGAATCTAACAGTAATTTTTCAGCCTACTTTTTAATCGACTTGGTCTTCTGTTGTTAGCAATAGAGCTGAAAGACGAAGAAAACAAGGAGTGCAATATTGCCATAAACCCAGGCCCGAATATTGTGATTCAACCTCAGACTCAAGGGTTCTTCATAGCTCAGAGTGCTGATGAAGTCAAGAGAGCATTCTTTTGGTGCAAACAGTGTCATGACGATATCAAAGATGTTTCTCTCATCAAAAAGTGCAAATGCAAAAACTGTAAGCATTTAGTTTTCAACCACTGCAGGACTTTTTCTTTTAGTGGCTCTGTTCCGACGGAATACGAAGCACTCAACCAGCGCACGAGGTAGTTTATTTTCACCCAAAAAATGTCGATCACTTATCGACAGTCCGCACATTTTTTGTTGATCGACATTACTTTCGTCGATCATGAGACTTCGATAATCGACCCAAAATTATGTCGATTATCGTGTCACGTCACTCTATACAGAAATGGCGCTCTGTTGAGAAGCTTTTTTTGCAGTGCAAATTGAGCGACCTCGGGGCCGAGTTTGAAAAGTAATACCATGTTTTCAGTTGAAAATTACTTCGCGGCCTAGAAATTCGGTCAGAGAGCGCCATTTCTGTGAGATGCCCCTATAATACTTTTATGTTGCTAAGATGATCTGTTGGCTTATTAACAAAAAAACCAGGGTTGTTCAAAGAGGTTTTCGAGGCCCGGCTAATGGGGCTATTCAGCGTATGTTTGTTTTCCGTTTGTTTTCGTTTTTTTCACATCGCTGAATTGGATTTTTGACATAAAAAACTAAAAAAAAAACGGAAAAAAATCTTTTTTTTCTCACAGCCTGAATAACCCCATAAGCCCAAAAAGTATTTTACCCCGTTCAGGATTTAGCAAGGCCTTGCAAGGCTAGACCTACTGAAAATTGAACACTTAAACAGAAATTGCAGACTATTCGGATTTTGATGCTCTTTTCTATCAAAACGATGGTAATTGAAATAGTTTATCAGTCGTTTAAAAATTCGTGATGTGCTAAAATTCGTGATGTGCTAGTTTAGTCTGGCGGCACACTCAAAAAAAGAAGTTTAATCGCCATTTCTAAATATTATGGGTTATTCAAACTATGGTTTTTCAAACTATGGTTCAAACTATGGTTCGAACTATGGTTCTTACTTCAAAAAACAAAATGCAGCGAAAAAAAAATTCGGAATGGAAAAACATTCTCTGAATAACCCCTTTAGTTACTGTATCCCTCCCCTATAGCTTAGCATGTTTGTAACTATTGGTGAAATCGTTGCTTACGTTTTTTCGATGGTTTAATTGTTTATTTTTCAAATTTGCCCGTAATGTGTTGCTTTTCAGCTCGCACATCTGATGTGCTCCAGCAACTTCAGCATCAGTCGCATCCAACCCAAGTTGGCCACGTCGGACAACAAATTCAACTTCGGCTTATTAATCAACAGAGGTACTGTCATGTTTTTTGAAAGAAAATATATAATTATCTACATTTATTGTTATCACTTTTTCAAAAACCATTTCAGTTCGACCAGTGATACTCATCTCAACACGAAATCTCTTCGATTTGCTTATGAAATCAAAAAGCTAATGTAAATGTGTCAACTGATTTTCCTCTAGCCGTGTACCTCCATAGTGATTCACTGAGGCTCGGTTTTGAGCTATTCAAAACCATGAGTTGGTAGAAAACAATCATCACTAGTTAGATATTATGGGAGCATGCGATACGGGGTTCCGAAAACTACGCGGCCTAATTAATTCATATTTTCCCGCCACTCACACTTTTGTACTTTGGCAGCCACCTTTTTTCAGTTGAAATTTGAAAAATAGCCCCGCGCCAACCGCGCCACAGCGAGCGCGTGTGATGTCGTTAGAACGCGCTTGCTCACGTCGTCTTCGGAACGCCGTAGTGCATTTGCAAATTCGCTCTGTTGTAAAATCATTTTCGGCAGCAATCCCAGGGGCCGAGTTTTTCCGACGCGAAATAATTTTCTAATGTTTTAAATAGAAAAAAACAACCTCCCTCCCCTTTTTTGTTTATCGGGGCAAAAAAACTCGGTCCGAGATCGTTTCAGTTTTATGTGCAGAAGGAGATTCTCAACAGAGCGGATTTGTAGTGAAACGCCTTCAAATATTTTGCCTAAGATTCACTTGCTCTTTTTCTAGAATGCACGCAGAAAAAATTGAAAAAATCAGCGCTAATTTTCCATTAGAATCTCAATATTCATTCATTTTGCTAAATCTGTTCGAGGCCATGAATGAATGAGATGTTATTAGAAGTTTTTACAGTCATTTCTGGAAAATCTCTTTATCCAAAGTGAAATCACTATAGTTTTTAGGATGTTTTCTTTGCATGTTTACGCCCCTGCTACTATTTTCCTTTATGTTCTGTTGATCACCCTTTCCACAACTTTCCCATTGATCACACGCTTTCCTAATTTCATCCTATTTTCGTAACGTTTTTTTCAGGCCATCTTCCGGAGGACGTCGAAACTCGATGAGTATTCCGCCCGATGGAAGAGGGGTTGATTTCAGCAAAGACTTCGAACAGCAAGTACCCATTAGTCAAAAAATAATAGATTATAAGAAATGCGTTCCAGTTCCAAGACATGAAATATGACAGCACTGGAATGTTCCACTGGTGTCCGAGTCGAAATCTGGAGGATTGCGTGTTGGAGCGTCATCAAGCGGCTATGACAGTTCTCAATGGGCACGTTGTCGTTTGTTTGTTTGCCGACAGAGACTCACCTTTAATTGGACTTCGAAACTTTATAATGCCACTCCGTTCTTCAAATTTCCACTATCACGAGCTGAAACACGTTGTCATTGTCGGCGATTTGGAATATTTAAGAAAAGAGTGGAAAACGTTGTACAATTTGCCGAAGATTTCGATCTTGAATGTGAGTTGCCTGGTCTACTGAAAACATGCAGGAGGCACCGTGAGGTGGCATCTAGCTTTAGTCTCATAAAGGACAACAAAAATTCTCACAGGGTGCATCACTTGTGACACTGAGACTTTTCCTATAGAAAAAGTCGCTCTCTCACATAGGCTGGTCGAACAGACGCCTGAAAAAACAGGCCTACTCTCACATTATATTCTCACTGTTGTGACAACATTAGATTCCAGTAATTCGTGATCATCATTTACAGGGTTCGCCTCTCTCGAGAGCAGATCTTCGCGCGGTGAATATAAACCTATGTGATATGTGTGTTATCATCTCAGCTAGAGTTCCAAACACCGAAGACACGACTTTGGCAGACAAAGAGGCTATCCTAGCTTCGCTGAACATCAAAGCGATGCAATTTGACGACACGCTTGGTTTTTTTCCGATGCGACACACTGTCGGAGATCGCAGCCCTCTGGGAAGCCCTATATCGATGCAAAAAAAGGGCGCCAAGTTCGGAACAAATGTTCCAATGATAACTGAACTAGGTTTACTAACAATACCTATGTATACAACAAACAGTCAGTTATTTCAGTCAACGATTCAAATGTTCAATTCCTTGATCAAGATGACGATGATGATCCAGATACTGAACTGTACTTAACTCAGCCATTTGCATGTGGAACAGCATTTGCAATTTCCGTACTGGACTCTCTTATGAGTACTGTAAGTTAATCATCAAAACCTTTACTAGTATCCTAACTTCAACATTATTAAAGACGTACTTCAACGACTCTGCTCTGACTCTGATTAGAACTTTAGTAACAGGAGGAGCAACCCCAGAGTTGGAGCTGATTTTGGCAGAAGGAGCTGGTCTCCGTGGTGGGTACAGTACCCCCGAAACTTTGTCAAACAGAGATCGGTGTAGGATAGCTCAGATATCTCTACAAGACAGTCCGTATGAAGGTGTTAGTGTAAGGAACTTCAACTTAATCCCAATACAGAATTCATCAATTCAGCATAATACTACGTACGGAGCAATGTTTACAATTGCCCTTCGTAGATATGGTCAGCTTTGTATAGGCTTGTACAGGTTACACGATCAGGATAATCCAGATTCCATGAAAAGATATGTTATTACTAATCCACCTGCAGAGTTAAGAATCAAGAGTACTGATTATGTATGTTTAACTCAACATAAGACAAACAAAACAATACATTTCAGGTCTATGTTCTCGAACAGTTTGATCCCGGGCTCGAATACGAACCTGGCAAGAGACAGTTTTAGGAAATGTTCAAATTTTGACGGGCTTGTTTTGTTATTCCGCCATTGTTCTTGTTATCTTTTAAAGTGTTTGCTCTTAGTGATTTTCACTTTTAATTGCTCAATATTTAGAACATGGTTTAGTAGGACTGAAAATATGGCAAAGGGTTTTTCCATGCAATAGGTTTCAATATTGAATTTCTGAATAAATGGTTTGAATTGAACATCGCGTAGTCTGTCACATTTTTCCTGTCTTGGCTCGGTCTCTTTTTCAAGTCTAAAATTTACTCCCAGCCGCAGATGAACTGCACTTATTGCATCTCGCGAATTTCCATAAAATTGTTGACGGAATGTGTTCCCCCACTCTATATGAGTACGCTCCCAATTTTTTTTCCAAAATTTTCGGTACATCCCGAGTTACACCCGTTCAAAGTTGCCCTGTTTTCTCCCGGGTCGGCGGCTGAGGAGGGGCGTGGCCTCGCTTGCAAGTTTACCGCACGCGTTTTTTCTCATTATCTGGTGGACCAAACTAAAGAGTCAACATTTTAAATGAACAGAAATGATGTTCTAAAAAAGCAAAACCACTTTTGAGGTCAAAAGTTTCGAACCCGACACCTCAAAATAGCCGAGCGAGCACTCTGCCACTGCGCCACCCAGGCGGAGGCGCGCCCACCGCCAATCACGTTGAAAAGCTCGGTGTGCGCGGCCCCTTACAGGGGTGAAGTTAGTGCATTTTCGCGCTGAAATTCGAAACATATCTGACTGTAACTTTTTTCGGCAACGTGGAAAATTGTCATTCTAAACGGAATTTTGTCGAGAATTTCACGCAGAATCCGATTCCGTAAAAATTAGCCGTGTGAACGGTATCTGTGACCCTCAAATCCTCGAAAAACTAAAATTTCGTCTGAATAGGCGTTACTCAATCGAACACAAAAATGCTCCTAGGGTGTCTAGAGCTCTGAAAATTTATATTTGGGTTCTCAGAGAGTGTATATATATAGATCTATAGATTCCGAAAATAAAAAAAAGGGGTCATCGCTGAAAATTTTTCGCTAACTTTTCTGGCAGTTTGAGATCTGTAAAAAATTTCGGCAACGTGGAAATTTAAATCTGACTTCAAAAACGGATTTCCCATCCCTTAAACTATCGGAATCACTTGAAAATAGGCGTGTGATCCCATAAACTTGGCCACACAGGCTCTCAGACTGACTTCCATTTTCGTTTTCGCGGTTTTTTGGAAAAACGGTGCGTTTTCACGGGAAACTGAGTTGTTCATTGGATTCAGCATGGTTGATTACGTAAAGTAAAACTTTTTGGGTATGGTACGTCATTTGGGGACTTCGGTACATGGCCTCAAACATGCGCGCGCGGAAATCGGGAGAAAATTCGTCAGGCCACGCCCCCTCCTTTGCGCCCCCTAAAGTTATACTTAGGTACCGCAACGGGTTTCGCAAAACTCCGAGTTTCCACAAAATTCTTGTTGGAATGTGTTCCCCTACTCTATATGAGTACGCTCCCAACTTTTTTCTCGAAAATTTTCGGTACATCCCGAGTTACACCCCTTCAAAGTTGGCCTGTTTTCTCCCCGGTCGGCGGTCGAGGAGGGGGCGGAGCTTCGCCAGCAAGTGCGCCGCGCGCGGTTTTTGTCCTTTTCTGACGGACCAAGCCAAATATGCAACAAAAAAAATGAACAGACATGATGTTCTTAAAAAGCTAAACAACTTTCGAGGACAAAAGTTTTGAACCCGGCACCTCCAGACTGCCGAGCGATCACTTTGCCACTGCGCCAACCGGGCGAAGGCGCGCCCACCGCCATTGGCATAGAGAAGCTCGCTGTGCGCGGCTCTTTCCAGCTGCGAAATTAGTGCCTTTGCGGGCTGAAATCCATAACATAACTGACTGTAACTTTTTTCGGGTACTAGGTAGATGAGAAAGTTTAACATGGATCGGTCGGAAATTTGATGCTGAATCCGATTCTGTAAAAATTAGCCGCGTGTAAGGTACCTGTGACCCTCAAATCTCCCGAAAACTACAATTTCGGCCGAATGGGCCCTACTCAAACAAGCACAAATCTGGTCCTAGTGGGTCTAGAGCTCTGAAAATTTATATTTGGGTTCTCATTGACTTTATCTATGCATTCCAAAAATAAAAACGTATGGTCATCGCTGAAAATTTTCCGCTAACTTTTCTGGCAGTTTGAGGATCTGTAAAAACTTTCGGGTACTATAGAGCCCGAATCTGACTTCAAAAACGGATTCCCCATTCCTTAAACTGTCGGAAACAGTTAAAAGTAGGCGCGTGTAGCCATAAACTTGGCCACACAGGCTCTCAGACTGACTTCCATTTTCGTTTTCGCGGTTTTTCAAGAGAACGGTACGTTTTCACGTGAAATGGAGTTGTTCATTGTATTCAGCATGGTCGATTACATAAGGTAAAACTTTTTGGGTATGGTACTTCATTTGGGGACCTCGGTACAGACCGTCAAACACGCGCGCGCGAAAATCGGGAGAAAATTCGTCAGGCCACGCCCCCTTTGTTGCGCCCCCTAGTTATACTATTATTTTTACATTTTTGTGTGTCTGTTTCAGACGGCAATCATGCCACGTGTGAAAATAACAACTTCGATCGGTTCTCCGCACGTGCATGAGTGAACCGACAGAATCTCGTGCAGAAACACGAAAGCATGAATTATCCTTTTAAAACAGGCGTCAAAACGGCTCAAAAAATAAAATCAGCGCCGGCGCCGTGCCGGAACGGCTCCAGCGCGGATTTTGGAGCGGTGAAGTGATGATAATATTCACAGGCGAAATGCGGTTTAGCAATTATACAATTGCGCTAATTCTAGACAAATTCTCGGCAAATCTAAACATAAATTCCCAAATAATTGTTCGGGATTTGTCTAGAATTGGCGCAATTGTATAATTGCTAAACCGCATTTCACCTGTGTTGGCCAATCATACGTCAATCGCGAGCCATATCACTAACAGTTGATAAACCCGCAAGTGGCCGGCGAACGTTTTTGGGGCCCGGCCCGTTTTTATCGCTCGGTATCACAGACCGTACCCTTTTAGCTCGCAACTTAGAGCGACAAAATACGGGCGGGAAATTCAAACCATGTTCACAAATGTTCGCCGTGGCGGTTAATCAATCCGCGACTGCTCGCAGATTGATGTATCATTCGTCTTATATTGGTGAGGACCATATGACTGATCAACCGCAGTTTACCTGTGGCCCTGTTATCGGTCTTTTAAGTCGAGAATCAACCCAACTTTTTTGTTGCTTTTCCTACTTAATGCGCTTATTAAATTAGACTATATATTCCGGTAGTTCGTAACAAAATGTTTATTTTCGAGACTTGTAGATATTAAAGCTATTACTAAATACATATCACAGTTCGCGAACGTTCGGCCGGCCTACGCCGGTCTGAAGGCAGCCGCGTTCCGCGGCCGAAGTTTTTCCTGGCCTAGGAAAAACGAATGAATTTTAACCAAGCTCCACGTGTACAGTAGAATACTTGGCAATCGTTTTCTCTTTCCTTTTTTGTTGTTTTTCTTTTTTTTCGTGACGCAATAGGTAAAGTTAGTAGTTTCATCACACAAAAGCATTTTGTATCGAAAATTGGTAAACTGACGCATTCCCTCCCCAAAACTCAGGCAAATCGTTTGTAATCTAGTTAGGAGATTTCGTAATCTAAACCGAGTTCCTAACCTAGCTAGATTTAAATGGAATCTAAACTAAATCTGGCTAGATTTAACCGAAAGGTTAATCTAATTAGATGAATTTTGAGTCTAGTTAGAAGAATTCTTCTGTTAATTTTTTTTTCTGGTGGTCGAAGCGAGTAAATGAGTTATTATTAATTTGCAATATAATCACAGTAAATTAGAAATCTAACTAGGTCCAGTTAGAAACGCCAATTGGCTAGCTAAATTAGAAACGATTTGCCCGAGAATAAGCTTTTTTTTGGCTATAATTTATAATTCTCTCTCAAAAAATCTTTAAAATCTTTTTTTTTTGATTCAGAGGTATGGCGACTTGGGAAGAGTACATAGCTTCCCAGCAGAACAACGATGGAGTCCAGTTTACATGGAACATGTGGCCACACAGTAGAATTGATGCCCAACGTTTGGTTGTTCCGCTGACCTGCTTCTTCACTCCTCTGAAAGTACGTCTCTTTCCAGAAATTCTGGAAATCATGTTTTTTAAGGAGCGTCCTACTACCGAAGTGGTACAGCCGTCGTTAGAATACGATCCAGTCCTTTGTCAAAAGGCCAGCTGCAAAGCCATTCTGAATCCTCTTTGGTGAGATTAAAAAAAATTTAATCATTATTTCTACAAGTAAATTATTTTAGCGCTGTCGACTTCCGTGCCAAAATTTGGATGTGCCCGTTCTGCAATAACCGCAATCCTTTCCCTGCTCACTACGGTGCAATTGCCGAAGATAATCGGCCTCCTGAGCTCTACCCTCAGTTCACAACAATCGAATACACTCTGAAGGTAAACGTAGGAAATAAAATTAACAAAGCGTTTGATATTTTTCCAGAAGGCGACGACGATGCCACCTATTTTCGTTTTTGTTGTGGACACCTGCATGACTTCAGAAGAACTTAAGTCTTTGAAGGAATGTCTCCAAGTAAGTATGAGCGACGGAACGTATAAATTCTTATAATCAGACTGCATTGTCTCTCCTTCCTGCTGATGCTCTTGTTGGATTGATCACCTTCGGCAGAATGATTCAACTTCATGAGCTTAGCACTCAAGGAATTTCGAGAAGCTATGTATTCAAAGTAAGCGTGTGATATTGTATAAAAAAATCAAAACAAATAGTATAGTAGAATAGTAACATGATTAGTTTTAATAAGTTGAAAATGACCACATGTGTTGCCTTTTATAATACACAAAGCATTGTTAAGTGGAATAATGTCGTTTTCGAAAAATGCGCTCAATATTTTGCCTATCCCATCACAATATTCCCTCCTATTCGATGGAGTCGCTTGGCGGGTAATGGGAGAATGGTCAGAGGCAGAGATGGCATCTGTAATTAACACCTGATGCTATTTCGCTATTGTTGAAGTTGAGAAATGAGCGTTAAACATTAATTTCTGTTTTCATCGCATATGCCATGAGAAGTTCAGGGGTTCTCATAGCTTTAATCGAAACTCACTTGTGGAGAATATACGTGATAGTAATTATTGGCAGGAGCCATCATTCTTCGATGGATTATTTCTTGATCAAGAATGTCAGCCAGTTTGCGAATACTCGTTTTAGCTTTTGCATTCACGTCGGCGTATGAAATCGGACGAACAACGAAACTGTCCATCGACTGAAGAAAAATTCCCAAAAGCAGATAGAGCATGTAGTAGCGCATCCCTTGACCAATTCAAAATACTGAAAGCGAAATAATTTGACCTGAGACAAAAAAAAAGAAAAAATCGTGTAAAAGTTTGTGAAAATTTGTTAGATACTACTGCGGAAATCATTTTAAGAAGTTATCTAAACTATTCTAGGGTTCTAAAGAAGTGACCGCGAAGCAAATCAAGGACGTGCTCGTTTCCGGAATGGCGAGACCAGTTGCTCCAGTGGCTGCTCCAAATTTGGCTTCGATGGGTGGAGCACCGATTGGAGGTGGGCGGAGTTTAGCTGGAAACTGATGAACTCGGCATTCATTATGGATGTAGAGAAAAGAGTCTGTTTTCTGAATGATACGCATATACATTGTGAATGGTGATGTTTTGATAGTTTTCTCCGTTTTGTCTGACTTCGCTCATGCATTGTAGATTTAAAAGCTGTTGATATGAGTTGCATGTTCTTGGTAAAATATGATCTTTCAGGGCCGGGATCGGTCGGAGTTCGTCTACCAGGCACAACTGGTGCACCTGGACATCCTCAGCTAGCGCATTTACCTCCAACCAATAAGTTTCTCCAGGTGAGCTCCTTTATAAGGTTCTTCTAATTTTTGGAAAGTTTAGCCGATCAGTGAATGCGATGAATCTATCAACGACCTCATTGACCAAATCAGTGTTGACCGCTGGCCGGTCCCTCAGGGGCACCGTCCACTTCGTGCTACGGGAGCAGCACTTGCAGTTGCTGTTACTCTCATTGAGGTGATTTTTACTTTTTGAAAATATCTGTTAGCTTTTTTACAGTCATGCTTCCCAAGTACTGGTGCTCGAATCATGTCTTTCATTGGGGGAGCATGCACACATGGACCAGGCGCCGTCGTCGGAGAGGAGCTGAAAAACCCGATTCGCTCGTGGAACTCTATCAAGGAAGATAACGCATCATTCATGAAAAAGGCTGTCAAGTTTTACGATGGTCTTGCGGGAAGAGTCGTAAAGAATGGTCATGCAGTGGATATATATTCATGCGCTCTTGATCAAACTGGTCTCTTGGAGATGAAAAATCTGTTCAACTCATCTGGAGGTCATGTTGTTATGGGAGACTCTTTCAATTCTTCTTTGTTCAAGCAAACATACCAGCGCAGCTTTGACAAAGATGCCTCTGGAAATCTGAAAATGGGGTTTAATGCAACGATGGAAGTGAAAGTAGGAGCTGGTCTCAAAATCGAGGGTGTTCTCGGCTGCTGTGCTTCGGGCAATGTTAGAAACGCGAATGTCTCGGATCAAGAGATGGGCATCGGAGGAACTTGTCAGTGGAAATTTGGTGCTATTTCGCCAAGAACTACGATTGGTGTTGTTTTTGAAATCGCTGCGCAGCATGGTTCTGCAGTTCCACAAGGTGGAAGAGGAGTTGTTCAGTTTGTGACTCAGTACCAGCATGCGGACGGTAGAAAGAGAATACGTGTCACGACGACATGCAGAACATGGGCTGACATGACAACACAACAACCAAATATTGCATACGGTTTTGACCAAGAAGCTGCTGCCGTTGCCATAGCTCGCCTCGCTTCCTTCCGTGCTTCAAATGAGAATGACACCCCAGAAGCACTTCGTTGGCTGGATCGATCTCTCATTCGATTGGTTTGTCTTTCTTCAACTTCTCTTATTTTACCCAATGTTTACAGTGTCAAAAGTTTGGAGAATATGCAAAAGACGATCCTAACAGCTTCCGTTTGTCCGAGAAATTCTCTCTATTCCCGCAGTTCATGTTCCACTTGAGACGATCGCAGTTCTTGCAAGTTTTCAACAATTCTCCAGATGAGACAGCTTACTATCGTCATATCCTTTTCTCCGAAAATGTTCTAGAGAGCACGACTATGATTCAGCCCGTCCTTTTTAGTTATTCATTCAAGTTAGAAATCATTCTATATAAGTTTTATATGCCAATTGCTCTTTTCAGTGGTCCGCCTGAGCCGGTTCTGCTTGACACGTCGTCTATCCTCCCTGATCGTATTCTTCTCATGGACGATTATTTTCACGTTCTTATTTATCACGGACAAACGATTGCACAATGGAGAAAACAGAACTTCCAGGAAAATCCGCAGTATGCTTCGTTTAAGCAGCTTTTGGAAGCACCAGTTGCCGACGCAACTTCCATTCTTCAAGAAAGATTCCCAATGCCAAGATACATTGTAACTGAACATGAAGGCTCGCAAGCACGTTTCTTGCTCTCTAAAGTTAATCCTTCGCTCACTCATAACAATCCATATGCCAACGTGAGTCAAAAATGCAGAGTTGGAATCGCATAACATGTTTTATTGCAGGAGGCTGGAGCAGCCGTCTTCACGGATGATGTATCGCTGCAAGTTTTCATGGAGCATTTGAAGAAGCTCGCAGCAAGCTCTTCTACTTGATTAGATTATCATATACAATCAAATTTATTTATTTGTGTTTAATGAACGGGAATGTGCTCTCACTTCTTAATAATTTTGAAATCACAGTTTAAAAACCTTTGATCACGCAATAAGCTTCTAAGGTACTCAACAAAATATAGAGTAGCCAAACGAAAATGAATATTCCAGCCGATATGATACGCCAATTCGTCGGACCTCCAAGTTCTCCGTTCACCTTCCGATTAAACCTTCTGTACTGCAGTAGAGCGACGCAAACGATTGATCCGATGAGGAACATTGTCACAGAGAAGGCGAGGGATCCGGTGGCTACCCTGAACTGATAAAGTTACTGCAATCCGCACGTCATCTGATAGTAACTCACATGAACTTTGTTCCTCTGTATGCGTGGACACATGCAGCAAGAGCCCAGGCGATTCCAATTCCAAGAAAGACGTTAACCGCATTGGATCCAGTGACATTTCCGATTGAGCTGTCTGCCCATTGATCTTGAACAGCGGCTGTTCGCGAGGCGAACGTATCTGAATTTGGGACTTTCAAAAAGGCTATTGGTTGAATGGGAAACCTGGCAAAGAGGTTCCCATTGCCACCAAAGTCAGCGCGGTCACAGAGTCTTTCAACCCGACAGTACAACCGAAAGCTGCTGCGAGGTCTCCGATGAAGGCGGTCAGCAGACCAATCACAAAAATAGCGACAATGAAGCACAGCCATCCTTAAGAAACAGAGCTTTAAAATAGTTATGTTATCAGTTACCATTAAAGTAGTCAGTAGGGGGAATTAGCGCGAAAAGCAACTTCCACGGCAGAGCGATGTAGTGAAATATCTTCTCTTTGACTGTAATTTCACTTCCTTCCTCTTCTGGTTCCAAGGCTATCGCTTCCGCAAACTGCTGTTTCCAGCTGGACGTTCCCACCATTATAGAAGTATTGGCTGTGACGAGAACTTTGTCGACAAAGTTTTTGAAGTCACGATCCTCAGTAATCACCACCTTACATCTAGAAAATCCGAGAATTGGTTTTCCTTCGAATCCTTCTTCCTGAAAAATTATTTTAATTTGTTGAAACTGTATCAATCTAACATCCTGAGTAATTTCTTTGTGCCAAATTGGTTCCCCTAGTTCGATGTAGAACTCCTCATTTTTTTCGTACTCGTCGTCGTTTGTAATTGGGATATAGATTTCAGCCCTGAAAAGCGCAGTGCACACATTTTAAGAGTAACAATCATTAGCGAGAGCTACCGTCAATATTTATACTTACTTAGTCTGTTCATCGTCAAATTTGAGAACTCCTTCTCGATGAGAATAATCATTTGGTGATTTTGCAGCGCCATCCACAGTTTTGTACGGAATCGATACCTCTCCTCTAGCTCCACGAGAGCGGATTACTTCTGCCACATACGAGCCACAACTTTCGACGCACTTGAATTTTTCAGAAGAGAATCCGAAACACCCGGCATGATCGTCATCAACAATGATGACTGTTGCTGTAGCTGCTGGCCCAAGACGACATGGGATGGAAGAGAAATGTTCGGATCTGAAGGCTCGTAGTTGCGAGAGTCTGACCAGAAACTGCTCATCGTCTTCATAAATGTCGTTGTCCACGATTCCAACTTTCACTTTTTGTCTAAATTATGATAATTTATAGCCAACAAGACTTTTTGCGGTACGCTATACGCTTCAGCACGCCGTGCCGCTTCCGAGAATTAGCTCGGACCGCGCAGCGGGCTATTTTTTAAATGTATTTCCACGCACTCTGTTTGTCCAGGTTCAAACGTCAATGTTCCTTCTGTAGGCATGAAATCGGAGTTTTCTTGAGCAGTGTCCGCAATCGTTCTGATTTAAAAGTGTGTTAAAAAGGGGTTCTCCAGATTCACATCGCACGGTCTCCAAAGCTGACAATATGGGCGTGGCCTCGACCAAATGGCGTTTTCATGAATTGAGCAGGTTTTCTCTGATTTTTGTGGTCAAAGGCGATGAAAAATGATTGTTCGACGTGAAAACACACTAATTCTAAGAATTAATGACGTTTTGGCGCATTTTTGCGGATTTCGCTTTTTCGCCTTCGCCGCCGATCGCCGCGGCGCGCCGCCTAAAAAGCGCACTTCTCATTTTGCGCTTTCTTTACCGTTTTCAGACAGAATTGGTTTTGAGAATGATAAATCACGTAAACACTAGCATTTTGAGCGATCGAACCGCGAAAACTACCGAAAAGCAACTGAAATTCACGCAGTTTTAGCCAAAAACCTTCAAGCGGATAAATGTGATTTGCGACTTGACAAAATTTAATGACAAAATTTAACGCTCTTGCGCTTAAAAAATTCGTAATAGACTATACAATCGGTCTATCGAGAGACAAATCATAAATTATCGGTTTTTCGTGGCTAATCTGGCAAAAAACACTAATTTTGCTGTTAAAATTTGAATTTTGCGCCAATGTATCGCTCTATTGGGCGGAGCGCACTTGCGCCCATTGTAAGCTCTGGAGACCGTGCATCGTCGAAAACGTTTTCCGATTGTCAATTTAGTTCATATTATGGTCTCTGAGACTCTGTCATCCGAACACTGATAATGCCCCAACAGTAATCTGTTTTTTTCGAATTCAACACGGGGTTCCGAAGGTGACGCGTGCACTTTTACTCACTCTGGACCGCCGTGTTCCAAAATATCCAATGACCTATATATGAAAAGAGTTCTTTGAATAAAGATGTGCGGTCAAATGTGCATGGAGAGAAAACATTTCTGATCGTGTGAATCTAGAGATTTTGCTTTTGAAATAATCAAGAAAATTCGAGGAAAAATTTTGAAAATCGGTTCTTTCCGGGTTGATACGGAACAACGTCATGGTACATTTCTGCAGTTTCTTATTATTTTCAAATTTTCTGCCCCGGTACCTCCTTTTTAAGATCCGATATTATTATTCTAATTTACCTGTAATGAACTGTGACCGTCGTATCGTCAGGAACAGACCCTCTGTCACACTTCACATTTAAATAAATGTCTCCTACATTTTCCAGACAAGTATAATGTGCAGGATCGAACTCAACAGTCACCATATTCTGTTTTTGAACAAGTGGCTCAAGAGTCTTATTCTTCTTGAGTTTGCATTGAATATCTCCCGATCCTATCATCTTCCGTGTAGTTTGGATGCGATAAAAAGCTCTGCTCTTTTTCTGCTCTCCAACTACTTTCTCCATGGCGTGCTTTTCGAGTTCATCAACTGGCGCATCTGGATGTTCCATTCGAAGCTTCTTGAAGATTTCAAGGTAGTGCTTCCGGTGAATCTCAAAAGCCAGGACATCAGCATCTCCGGTTAGCGCTTGTGTTTCTCCTTGGACTCCTGCCTCGATGCTGTCATTTTTATGTTTGCTCGGAGAACGACGCGGCGAACGACGAACGAATGAAGAAAGAGGGCCGCTGAGCATTCTGAAAACTTACAAGCTCCAGAAATAAACGTATCATGCAACCTTTGTCCGAAAGTTCCTGCATGGGCATCAGCAAACCACGCTGTACCTACAGTTAAAGGGAAGAAAATGAATGTCAGAATTCCTTCCCACACTTCGACTTCTCCTGGGCTGAACACGCTCAGAATCAAGTACAACCAGACGTATGCGAACGTTGACCAGATGACAGTGACCCAGAACACTCCATTATGCTGCACACGTCGACTTTCGCCGTTCGGAATTGCATAAAATTAAAATAATGAGACATAAAAGTTTAGACTTCACTTACTAAAATGCAGATAGCGATGATCACGAAAAGGTTGAAGGCAGCGGATCCGACTATAGTAGAAGGGCCGAGTTCACCTGCTTCGAAATTATTTCCAAAAATTTCAATGACAGAGAGCAAGATTTCGGGAGCGGATGATCCCAAAGCCATCAAAGTGAGATTACTGACGGTTTCATTCCAAACTCGGACAAGCACAGTAAATGGCTCCCCAGTAATCTGAATATGCTTGCATTCAACGAGTAGAACTTAAATATTTTGCAGAAATTTCCTGAAAACCTCGCTCTATTTCACGTGAAATCTCGGCCGCAGCCGCGACCTTTTGCAATTTAGCACACCGTGATCCAAAGACTACGTTAGCAGACGCGTTCCATAGAATTCTATAATAGAAATCTTACGCGTCGCCTGCGCTGCTACGCGGTTGACGCCATGCCAAGTGTTAAATTTCAGTTGAATAAAGGCGACTGAGTCGCTATGCAGCCAATGTGAAAACGGCGGGAAAATTTGAATTAGTTCGGCCGCGTAGTCTTTGAAACATCGTGTAGCACTGAATTCACGTGGAGAGCATGTAGAGCGCGATTGCGAGACTTCTGCGGCTGAAACAAATACCTTCTTCATCCGGACTGATTTTGTTTGCGAAGTAATCACTTCAATTGAAGCCATAAATCTATCCGCAACAATTGAAACTCCGAAGAAAAAGTATGCTAATGCCACAAGATATACCAATGCCCGAAACCATACTTTGCATTCACTGAGGTTTTGCTGAAACTTTCTTTCTTCTTCGCATTTATCAGTTTACCATACTGATGGCTGCCAAACGGGGAGAATGACACCGGGTGCGCATGGTTTAGCTGATGGGCAAGTGTCTTCCGGTGAGGATAACCGTTGAGAAACGACGCGAATGACCTGAGTATAACATCAGTTCACCGTCCATTCTGAATTTTGCGGATAACTCTCACTTCTGTATTTTGTTCAGCAGTAACGGATAAACTCTCAAGGGCCGAGATGAAAATCAAGAATAAGGGAACAGAGCGATAGGTTTTCATTGCATCTATTATCTGAAACAAACAATTATTATCGAACGATTTTTGGGCTCTAAAGATTAAAGAAAACATTAAAGAAAAACAAGTTTGCCTAAAAAATTCTCAAATCTTAAATTTTCAACAGGGCCGGGATGATTTTTAGCAAGACTGTTTTATCGGGGCATCTTTTAAAACATCTTTCAAAAAATAAACCAGGAGACCCTATATATTCTAGTCTAAGAATCAAAACCACTTATGTAGTATTGTTGATGAATTGTTATTATGGGGACATTTTTCATAAAATCCGCTCTGTTGAGAAGCTCGGTGTCTCCCGATAAAGTTTAGAGTGAAACAAGATTCGATGATCTCAGGGCCGAGCTTTTTTTTGCCGCGAAAAGAGTAATGAAAAAGTTATGCTATTCTTCAAGTGAAAAATAACCAAAGAATATTGCGTGGCGGAACAATTTGGCTCCAGATTCGCAGAGAAATGGCAGAAGTCTGTCTGGTATTACCAGTTTACAGAGAAATCAACAAATCTGTTTCACTCTAAACCTTATCGGGAGACACCTCATTTTTTTAAAACTCTTACAAATAGAAAAAAATGGAAAAAAGAAAGAAGATACAAGAAGACTCCACTAATTCTATCCGCATGTTAAATTTTCTTTCCTTCTACTGAACAAAAAGGGCTGTGAGGAAAACCAAATTACAGACTATTCAAGAAAGAAAAACTGGACGTTCTTTTCGACAGAACCAAGTTTTAAGTCACGTGGAGGTTTCATAGCATAGTAGATTCACTAATTCTTGCACTAATGTTTTCAAAGTGGCAACTACGCTTTGCCATACGGCGAAATATCTGATCTCAGATCACTCATTAGCAGTTTAAAGTTTAATACTGAGCAATTTATTTATAAGGTTTTGAGATCCAACTGAATATTAAGAGGCAATGTCTGAGAAGTTCAAAAACTGCAGGTCACTAAAAATTCAGAATGCTTCAATTTGTACCATGTTATACCCAATGGGTACTTACATAACAGTGATACATCAGACAAGTTTTGGTCCGGCTCCGTGGTCCCTAGTCCGATCACGGTCACAAAATAGGTCAAACCTGTAACTAATTTCAAAAAAATGCTAGCGTTTCAGACTCAACGCCATTGGACTCCTCGCATCTTCTTGAGTATATTTCACGTTGGGACCAAAAACTTGGCACCCCTCCTTTATGGAGAAAAAAATTGGTTTGTGACACTCACAAAAAATTTTTCAGTTTTCTGCTCGTCCTGAAAAATTTTAGCACTACATAGCCATGATTTTATTGCTTATTTTGAATCTAGACATTATTGTGCTTCTGAAAAAAAAAAGTTCACCCCTATCCCGATTGACATCAACGGGTTTTTTGGCCGAAATTCACAAAATTCAGAGTACTTTTGCATGGAAAAATGTTCGCGAACTAATTTTCAAAGGGTTCTGATCGCGATATTTGTTGTTTCGTATACTTTGTTGTTTCGTATACTTTTAGACATTCTCAATTTTTCTACTAAAGCATTTCCAAAAATTAATTTTTTCTCGAAAATTTTTTCATGACCCCCGCCCGGGTCGACGACTTGGTCAAATTTTTTTAAATTTTCGAAATGGTTCCAAAAAATCGAGAATGTCTAAAAGTATACGAAAACAACAAATATCGCAATCAGACCCCTTAGAAAATTGAGAAAACGCACTTTTCTCAAGTTCGCGAACATTTTTCCATGCAAAAGTACTACGAATTTTGTGAACTTCGGATTAAAAACCCCTTGATGTCAATCGTGATCGGGGTGAACTTTTTTTTGCCGAAGCACAACAACGTCTAGATTCAGAATCAGCAATAAAATCATGGCTATGTAGTGTTAAAATTTTTCAGGACGAGCAGAAAACTGAAAAATTTTCTGAAAAATGTCACAAAACAATATTTTGCTCCATGAAGGAGAGGTGCTAAATTTTTGGTGCCAACATGAAAAATACTTTAAAAGATGCGAGGAATCCAATAGCGTTGAGTCTGAGACGTTAGCATTTTTTAAAAATTAGTTACAGTTTTGACCTATTTTGGGATCGTGATCGGACTAGGGACCTCGGAGCCGGACCAAAACTTGTCTGATGAATCACTGTTATGTAAGTACCCATTGGGTATAATATGGGACAAATTGAATCATTCTGAATTTTTAGTGACCTGGTGTAATTAGCGAATGTCGTGGTTCTCAGACATTGCCTTTTAACTTTAACTAATGAAAATTTCTCGTTTAGGATCGAATTGGAACAGTCAATAGGCAAAAGACAATAGGCGAGAGCTTTTAATTTCGAAAATCCAGATGCCATTAGTATAAATATTTTCCAAATTTTCGAGTCTCTGCAAAAAAAAGCACAACTAGAAGCAAGCAGCAAAAAGTAGTATTATGGTCAAAGACTCTTTAATTTAGAAGGAAAAACGACGAGAAGAAAAAGAAAACGGCTGCTGGTCAGAGTGATTGTTGTATATTGAGACGCCGTGATAAAGAAGATCGCAATACACAATGAGCGAAAGTTTATAAAAACGTAATTAAGAAAGCCAACAATGTGTTTGATTCCAAAATAACTTCTCAATAGTAGTACCACGATGCTCAATAGTTCGAAGATGTGACAAGATTCTCATGGTTTATTATTCTCACGTTCCTATTTCGACAGATTTTCTGACATATTAATTCATACTTTTGTTTTGTTTTGTTTCTTCTCTCTTATCAACATCGTCTCGTATCCAAAAAAAATTTTGAACAACAAACGAAGAGCGTTGAAGACCGAAATTGGAGAGGAGAAACAAAAAAAGAATAATGGAAGAGACAGAGGTGCCCGCATCTCGTTAAGGGCCACTCCCATAGATGTTGAACATAGTACGTATTGAAGTGGAGACGACGCATTGGCGAATGCGTATTTCAATCGGTTTTGGTAACCTCCAAAGCTTCTTTAGAAGATGAGAACATCACAATAACGGAATTATGTTGGATTCTCACATGATGTTACTAAAAGTTGACAGCTTTTCTATTATTTCTGACCAAAAATGTGAAAACTGAAGAATACTTTCGGCGTGGAGTGATTTCGTAGTTCGAATGATACCTTTTAATAGTCATATTAATTCAACTGTTGCAGATTTTATAAACTCAGGCTTAATTTACAGAAGACAAAAGCAAAAATGAAACACGTGAATCACTGAACAGGAAATATCTAATGAGATGGATGACAAAGCTAGGATGTAGTGAGGGTGGGGGATTTAAAGATCAGGTCTATAGCTTTTAGAGAAGCTTCTTCTCGAGAGAAATATTCATGTGTTTACAGCGGCCACAAATCCCTGACGCTCGAGAATTCGTAAACGTTTTTCGACGGCGACCTTGTACCTGTTAAATAATTGTTACACGGTCTCTCGATAATTCAATTACCTTGTCAATACGGTTTTGTCCTGATCACAGTTGACTTGTTCTGCTAATGTGTGCAACATCATATAAGCAGTTTGGTAGCGTTGACTGCACAAATGAGGATTTCCGAATAGTTCATCTAGAGCAGCGGCTTGACACAGCTCAATGGCGTGACGGTACATGATTCGCTCCGCTGAAATTACAGCCATTGCGGGATCCTGACCTGGTAGACCTAAGGAAGCCAGTTCTTGTGATCGGACCTGAAAACTAAATGTTCTTTAACAGATAGCTGTTTATTAACTATTACCAAACATTGATGGTACTTGTCATTGAGTTGATTCAGAATTTGCTGAACAGCAACTGATGGGTGCAGTATCTGGTTGGCAACGTTGGTTTGTGCCAAGAGCAACGCTGATGAAAGCATGTGAAGAGCTCTCACATACACAACTAATTGTTCTGCTCTCCGGTAAGGCGACGACGTATTAGTGGTAGATATTCCGGTGGTCAGAAGTTGTCGTCGGCTGGCCATCGCAGAAGCCAATGGATTATCTTTCTGTTCAGCGACGTGCATCAGGGTATCAACTAATTCAGCCACAAATCTCAACTTGGCTAGAATCTGCTTGTGCTCTTCACCCAAAACGATTTCCTGATCGAGAGGTGGTGGGAGAGCAGGCGCATCGTTTGAAACTGGGAACGGCATATTTTTAATATTATTGGACACGTTTGCAGAACTGTTCGTATTGGAAGCTTTCCTCACATCATCTAGATGTCTAGGCGTAACAGGAACACTTCCTGACGCGAAAGGTAAGCTCACAGGCTCCCGCCCTTCATCTTCTTCTTCGTCGGAAGAATCACTGTAACAATAATGTTGGTTATAAGGTAATATTGGAAAAAAATGTTTTTGGGTTGATCTTCCTGTTGTGTACATGTATGAAATTTCGAAGACAACCAATCATCGGGAAGGCATGCGCCCAAATTGCACTTCAAAGTGGATGCTTGTACAGCTTGACATAAAAGTCCCAAATCCGCTACCATAAAAAGACACGCAACGATCCTCTATGCTAGCACAATTGTTGTGAGAAGAGCGGGTATTTAAAAATTAATACAATACGTGATGTGAATGAATCACACGTGACCCTCTTTCATTTGGATGTATACACAGTATACTGTTGAAAAAAAAGGTTCGACATTCGAATCGGAGTTGGCAGCGAGCCAGGACACGCCCCCAAACAGTTTTCACTGCAACTGCCGCACGCTGTTTGGGGGAAACGTGTCCTGCCTCGCTGTCAACTCTGATTCGAATGTCGAATCTTTTCTTTTTCAACAGTACATCCAAAAGTAAATGCTTGACTTACGTTCGCTGGTCTTTATTGATGACGAAAGTATGCTGTGTAGCGCTTCCAGGTGACATGGGTGCACAATTCGAATCTGTTTGCTGATATTTGGCATTGTCCAACGGCTCATTCTCGTGAATAGTCTGTGCTCGTGGAGTCGACGATGGTGCAGTTTCTGATCTATCCCGTTGTTGCCGCAATCCCTCGATGTTGGCCGTAGTAGCTGACTTCGGGAAAGATTCTACTGGCGGAAGCACATGGTTAGGAAGGACAGGCGGTTCCTCTGACGACGTGATCGTGGATCGACGAGTTCGAGGTGACTGATCCTTCTGTCGAGTGCTGGAGCTGCATACAACAAATGTAGCTGAAAATAGTTATTGCAACATTAAATCAGTAATAGAAGTACATAATAATGCAAACAGAAATAGCAAATTAACTCACGTTGCGGGATAGTCAGTTTCTCAATGTCAGACGCGTTAGGATTTGGAAGGGTTGTTTTTCTCGTCACTTCAGATTCAAAGGTAGAACGCTTGCACAATGGAGAAGATGGGATCTCATGGGCGGGTGGCGGCACAGTTGCTTTTTTTGTGGAAGATATTCTTTCCTCCATTTTTTGATAAGCCAGTCGTTGACTCGGTACCGGCACAGGTTTGCATGTGGTTAGTGATGGGGAAACATTTGTGTGCACTTGGACCTGGAAACACCAAATTTCGGTTAACTTTCACCAAACCGCAAACTTAAAAAACTAATAACTTTTTTAAAAACAAACCTGCTTTACTGGGCTGCTTTCTTGCCGTGGTGGAAGGAATGTGAAATCAGTGCTCTCCTGCATGACACCTCCAGCTCCGGAAGATGTCGGTGAGTTCAGAGATGGAGTGATAATCCGTCTGTGTCCTCGTGGTGAATCGATAGTACCTGCTGATCTTCGACCTATAGTAGGGCTTTCCATTTTTCCTGCGCTAGTTATTCTGCGTGGAAGTGGCAGAGCAGAAGATTGTGGTGTGATTATTCTACGAGTTGGAATTGGGGAGCGAGCCGCATTCTCGAGGATCCTCTTCGACGGGCTTGGCATTGGCGGACAGATAAGGAAAGGATGAGTGAAAAAATCTTCGAAAGAGATTCTGTCTTTCGCATTCCGTTTTAGCAAACGAAGCAGTAAATCTCTCAAATTTGGGGAGCACCATTCAGGAATGTTAGGTCGAAGTTCTCTATTTTTCTCGTAGAAAGCTTTCAGCTGAGGTGGAGTCTGCGCGACAAATGGAGCTTTTCCTGTGAGACATTGGAATACTATTGTTCCAATAGACCATAGATCTGCTTTGGCATCATATTGCATTGACATTATAACTTCCGGAGCCATATACATTGGTGATCCGCAAAGAGTTGCTGCCATGACACCATCGTTCAGAAACCTGGCAAAACCAAAATCTGCCAGTTTAATTGTGATTTCCGCAAATTGAGGATTCTGGGTACGACTGTTGTTACATAGTAGAATGTTTTGGGGCTAAAATTTTTAACTTTGCTTGGCTTCATAATTTAGATAGATACCTTCAAATCGCGATGAACGATGCCTTTTTTGTTTATTGCTTCAAGAGCACGTGCTGAAAACAGGTACATTAAAAATAGGTTCACCTTATTGACTTGCAATACCAATTTGTATAACAAAATGTTGGATTGTGTCCTCGTTCAACGTGGTTTTCTGTTGAAGATAATCCGCTAGATCACCACCATTACAGTATTCCATAACGAGGTATACATGAGTTGCAGTCTCAGTACACTTTAGTAGTGCCACCAAGTTTTCATGTTTCAGACTTGACAGTTCTTTCAAAATCTTGATCTCTTTTGTGAGCAAGTTTTTCGATTTGCTTATATTCTTCTTTGCTATAGCCTTGATGGCAACTGGCACATCGGGTCTCTGCAATTGTATCATATTTCTAGAAGATAAAACCGTGGTCTTGGATTGACCGATCTGACCTACTTCGATAAAGTTCTAGAATCCAATTTCATAAGTAGTTCACAAATTCCCTATATTACAAATTTTAAAAAATTTCATTTTTTTGAAGTTTTATAAAGATCTAATAGATATCCAGATAACACTTGACAAAACCAGCCAAAAAGAGTGATCTTTGCAGATAGTTTCATCAACTGACCTCAACATATCTTCCACGATAGACAATTGCAAAAGCTCCATGACCCAATAAATCTCGTTTGCTGTACTCGAATCCGTCAAACTGCTCCATTCAGATCATACGATATTGAGTTTTCTAAAATAGCCAAGCATTTAAAAATCAATAAAACAATGGATATGCAATGAAAATATAAGGTAAGATGAGGAACATGCAATACTATGAAGTAAATATTTAACAAGAACGCAGCCCTGAAGAAATATTGATCTAAAGAGGGACCTCGTGAGTGTATGAGAAGAGAAAGAAGGCAGTCTAACGGAGAAATATTGATGGACGCTCAGGCCCTCGTGCCGTTGCTGGCTGTTTCCTAGAGACAGCAGAGAAGAACAACATTAGCAGAGTCTCTTCAAAACGCACACACTCTCGTTGCTCTCGTTGTCATTCGAGTTATCTAGGCCTACATTTCTCCGTTTTTGAATACTGAGGGAATCTCAAGGGAAACACGAACATAGAATTTTTCCAGGAATTTTTCCGCGAGGCGTTGTCATAGCAGAGTTCCAACAGTTTGCTCGAAACTAAATCGATACAAAAGACAGTTCAAACGGTTATTTTGCAACAGAAAGCATAATAATCAGAGGAGTATTTACATATTTATTTCAAAACGTGCTCCTTCAGTAAAGGGTGAAAGAGGCAGACCACAAACTGTGACTAAAAGGAGCACATACTCAAATTTACCGCTCTTGCCCCCTTGGTGTTTGCGTACTCAAGCCTAATTTCATAAATTTTGGATTGAGTCTGCAATTCCCTAGGGTCAACCGCGATGAATTGAGTTTGAAAACTTTAAAAATCTGATCAACACACTGAAACTAGATCTCCCTCTCTTCTTCTGTAAATTTTTTCTGGTGGTCGAAGCGGATAAATGAGTTATTATTATTAACACATACGCTGCATTAAACGATCTGGTTAAATTTTTCGGTTGTTATTTTGCAATTGCCAGATGAACTGTGAAATGTTCGGTTTAAACTTCAATTGAACTGGGGTGTGTTGTTTGTTTGCATCTGAAAACAAATTAAAACATTTCAGCGAACAGTTGGTCTATATTTTTTGTAAGATTTTCACCCGGATTGCTAGGTTCGTATAGTTATTTCGCTGTATCCCAAGATCACATTCGGAAAATCAGACGAGTTCCGAATACGAGTACCTCTTCTAACTATGAGGGTGTCATCTGTAAGTGTGTTTGCAGGGAGAAATTGCTCTCCCATCTCAAATTATTGGGAAGTTTAAACATTCTTGATCAATGTTTGTACAGCTACTGAATAAATTATCTAATTCATCATATCTCTTTCGTACAACTACTTCTAATTATCGTCTGCAGTAGCCGAAATGGGATACTTTCACACACTCAGATAACAATTCAAACAATGGGGTACTTGCATGAGAGACCACGTTTTCTTCATTCAGTTTGTTGTTGTTGATAAACTCTCACTTGTATGTATTTAAATAAAATGTAAAGCGAAGTATTCACTACGAGCTTACTGACATATGCACGAGTACATGAACAACGATATTTCCTATACAGTAGACGTTCGGCTGCAAACTTACAATTTGTGTAAAATTGCGACGTTGTTCACATTCCCTGTTCTTTTCCGTCTCCTCCTTCTTCTTAGTCATATCACTCTCTCGTTTCAAAATCTGTCCCTTTATTTTTTATTTATGGTGACTCGTTTCATTTCTAAATATACTCAATTTACCGCTCTTGCCCCCTCGGCGTTTGCAGACCCAAGCCTACTCGGCAAAGGCGCGCCACTTTTGCGCAAACTTTACGCAGCTTTTGCGCAAAGTTAGCGCAGCTTCTGCTGGCTAGTTCCGCAAAAGCTGCGTAAAGTCTGCGCAAAAGCTGCCAATTTTAAAAGTTTGCGCAAAACCTGCGAAAATTCTTAAAGTTTGCGCAAAAAGGGCGCGCCTTTGCCGAGATAATGTCAGAAAATGTTCCCTTGAGTCTGCAAACACCGAGGGGCAATAGCGATGAATTGATTTTAAAAACAAAATAAGTCACTTCCAAGCTTGCTCGCAAAAATAAAGATGCTAAATCAGGAAAATTCTAAATTAGCACCTCAAAATTCTGGCATTGTCGCTCTACCGCTATCACCCGTAAATACCCGGCCGCGGCCGCGACTTTTTCCAATTTATCAATGAATTCATGTAGAGAGCGGTAGAGCGCGAATGCCGGACTTACGCACAATAAACATCTTGAAAAGCAAAAAAGCGGTAAAATTAAATGTATCGATAAGAATTATAATTAAATCATTTAAGCATGAATTTGTTTGTAATTCAAATCATCAGCTAATTTATTAGTGTCGTAAAGTGAAAAATAGAGCTTAGCCTCTCATCCTCTCTTCTCACACACACACACACACACGCACGCACACACTGGTTTCTTAACACAAACGTCAGATCGAGTTGACAGACCCGTCCGATGCCACAAAATTGTTGAAACGACTTCCCCTTCCGCTCTCCCGTTGAACAAATTTCCAACTAACAAAAACTTTGAAGGTTGCCACTGCCGATATGAAGAGAAACTTCGAAATTCTATTCCTGTTATTGCTATCGATCACATTTTGTGGTAAGTTGGTTATCGATGGGATACACCGTAATGTTTACTGTGTTAGGTGTGCTTTTATTGCTATATATATATATATATATATATATACAAGACTTTTGGAACCTGGGCCCGCTGCGCGAGCATCAAAAGTGGCTGTGCCCCTTTTTTTCTTATAATGGACCCATTCACTCGAGTAAAATACCAAGAAAAACCGTTTTTTTACTCGAGTGAGTAAGTCCATAACTGTTCGAAAGTTTACGTGTGTCATTTCTCAATTTCTCCTTCGCAACTATTTTCGTTCTAGAAATGAACGTGGGGACAGACAAACGGAGAAGTAAAAAATAAATTTTTAAAAATAATGCGAATAACGAATAAAAGTTAAGATTATCGCGCTATGTCTAGAGTTACCTAGGGGGAAGTAAATTGCACAGGCTTACTTGATATTCGGAGGATGGGTTAGAAAAAAAAACGATTCAAATTGACATTGACAGAAAAAACTACTAGTTAGGGTTGCAGAACAAGCGCCTGTTTTCGCCTGTTTTGCAATTTTAACGTGGAAATTTTGCAAAACAGGCGAAAACAGGCGCCTGTTCTGCAACCCTACTACTAGTGTTTCGCACGATGGAGTTCTAAAAAAGAACGGTACAAGAGCTAGAAGAAATCATTTATGAGAGAATTAGGGCATTGGATCAACATGAGACGGAGTGAGGAATAAGAAGATTACTTATAATTAGGAAATCATGCTCTAGTGGGTGCAAGATCGATCTATTGGCGGGTTCCAAAAGGAATCGTAAGTTCCTGCGATTGAAAAGATCCTGTTACGTCGTGTAGACGTATGATAATTATTTATGATCTATGTCTATTGATCTCTATTGTGATCTACCTTAGTGATCTCCCCCCGCGTTGTTTTATATTAAATTTGTCATCATTCGGGCCGCCCTCCCTCTGAGGACGAACCCTCAATTCATTCTATTTATTCTGCTTACCCAGCTAAGGTTTACTGTCGCTGAATAAACCTTTAGCCGAAACTCTTGTCTAGTGTGCATCTTCCTTACCAACGCGGTGGAAGATTCAAGAACTACAACAGATCCTCTCTTCAGATTCGGCTAAAAGATGCTACTCCGGATCCAAGGACCGTTATGAATCTCGGCAATGCGACACAGGAGTTGACGGGTCGTTTGTATGTCAAAAGTTCACGTGCGAAGGAGGGAAATGTGAGTCATTACTATATTTTTCCGATTCGCATGTTCATGTCCCCATCCCGCCCGTTCCGTGCATCATTGTTGCGTTCCCTTTTCAGCGCCATTTGTTCTGCGGACATGTGCATCAAAAAACATCGGTTGCTTGGCTGGTCCGGCAATTTGCAAGTTCTCCAAGGGAACAGGAAGTTGTTCTCGTTGCGATGGTGACAATTGTAATGCATAGATATTTTCCTGTGAGGACTGTACTTTTGAAAACGATTAACAAAAATAAAAATGCGTTCTACACGCTCTCAAAAGATACAAAAGATTTTCCATTCTATTATTTGTAAGTATTTGAAAAACGAGCGCATAACTACTTTCTTCTGTTATTATTATTGCACAGATTTTTTGTGTTGCCTGGCTGTTTTCATTCAACAAAAGGAACAAATGAAAACCAAGATTTTGGTTATTTCCAGTAGATTCCAATTTCACTGTTCGGGCGTGTGCTCCGGAAGGATCTAGATGTGAGTCTTCGTCGACGGTGTGTGCGGATCAAGAAGGAGTAGGCTACTGTAGCATTTGCGAAAAAGACAACTGTAACTTTTCCAATGAAAATTTCAAACTGACAAGTTTCCTAATTTCGATTATTCTAGCTTTGTTTTGCCTCTGAAATTAACACTCAATTGTTACTAAATAAACTATTCAACAGAAACCTAAAATCTAAAATCTAAAACCCAAACACTCCCTACTGCCGCGTTTGTTTTGCTTCCACTACTCACCAATTTAGCGCATCACTGCGTTATGGCCACCTCGCGGCAATTCTCTTGGAACATCTTGTGACGAATTCGAAAAAGAATGCATAACTCGATAACTTTTCACGGACCCAAAGCGGCCGCGATTCTGCATCTTTACATGTTAAAGGTGGCATCCTCTGACCACTCTTCTGCTACTTTTCTTCCTTTTACATGGTCTCCTAAATTTCTTGCCTACTTCTATTTGCAATTAGTAGAGAACAACTGAAAAAAATCAAGAAACAGCAAATTGTTGTTTATACATGCTTTCTTCCACAAGGACCTCTAATGAAGGAAAGTCGCGGAGGAAGTTTAAACAAGGACTGATGTCTTTAAATTTGAGACTTTATTCTCATAAACATTCTTTCCCTTTCATATAGAATGAGACGAGTTGCTCAGAACTGACGTCTTATCCAGAATGCAGGACTGTTTACTTTCCATGATATTCTTTGACGAGAAATGCATAGATTATCCATGAACATAAAACTTAGAGAAAGTATTGATATTAGAAAGGCAATAGCGAGGTTTCGTGTCAAACTCAACTAATTTTCCACATTCTTCGTGATCTCAACAGCTTCTAACTACCCATAGAAGTTGAATTCAACATACGATCAAGATCACACGATCACAGTGTTTCTGTTTTGAGCTAATAATTTAGAAAAGTACGAACTTACAAGAGTTTCGTTTTATATACAACTATTATAAACAAAGATCTTTTTCTGACACATGAGTTTTCTTTTGAAAACATAATAAACAAAAAAAGTACACGTCTCCAAAATGTGAAGTGATTAGTCTTATTAGCATCTGAGAGTACCCCTCCTACTGTTACACCATCATTCTTCATTCTCCTTCGCTCACTTTTCAACTCGCTCTGACGGGTCCGGGGAGACAAGAAGACAATGTGATAATGTCAGTGTTATTGCACCCAAGATTTATGAGCTTGTTCCCGCGTCTCCCGTTTATCATATTGACGCGTACATTATTAATCAGATTTTAGCCTAAAGTGTCTTAATTCTTATAGACAAGGTAGACGGGCGGGCGATTGCACGTAGTAGAGCGTCTCTATTAAGTGCAATCTTCGCCCCAAAAAGTGGGCGTGGCTTCGGAATAGACCTCGAGAGCCTGCTCAACCATGTCTTTTTCCTGCTTCACAAGAGTGGTACCAATCATGCGCAGATTATTCTTATTCAACTTGGCTTTCTCTCATTGAAACTTTTTGTACGAACACTATATCTTGCATTCAACATACAAACGGAAGTGAATATTTTGTACGCACAACTTGAGACACACATTTTCTATTATTTTTTGTCACTCGCTAGCTCAGAATCTTCCGTCTTCAGTGAAATCAGATTAGACATTCGCGTGTTGCCTTTTCTCAAATTCTACGCATCGAAATGTTCTCCGCGAAAATCGAGAATAATTGCAGAAAGTGGCCCACACTAAATTATTGATGAAAAAATCGCGATGAAATGGTGTTCTCCTTCATTCTCACGTTCACCATCAGCGTTGTGGCAGCTTTTGACGACGGTATGAAACTACAACTCCCCAGAATTCAGTTAATTGCCCGCAGGAGCTGGCTAGTCTAATAAGCAGAAGGTGCCAAAAAGTGGCAACTCTGTTTTCTTTTTTAGTATTTCCATTGTATTCCAACGCAATTATGTTGGAAATTCTTTTGGAAACACAAATTATTCGACAATTACCTTCTTTCAGAATGTGTCAAATGTGATCTCCGCTCATCATATTGCAAGACGTGGGAAGACATGACACAAAGCTGCGAGTGCCGTGATGGATTCGCCAGAATCTCAAACGGTTCATGCGCCAGTGAGTTTATACCTTCAAGAAGAAGTTGAAGGAATTTTTGAGAATACACTTCAAAAAAGCGAGGAGAGGGAGAAGTTTATTACTTTTTGAGGTCCTCTTATAGCTGCTTCAGAAAACTCGGAATAGAAAAATTCATCATATTTCATTTGACTAGCGAGTAGAAAATGTTTTCAGTGGTGAGTGAGTTGGCACGAGGGACGCTTAGAATGAATAACGATTCTGAAGAGGATGAACCATTTTGTGTTCTCGGACAAGCTGAAAAGGCCGCAACTAGGTGGGTCCGAGAAAATATCAGTCATTCGCGAAAAGATGGCCTAGAAGGGCACCTCATTTGTCATTATACTGACCATTATAAACTCTGCTTTTCTCATCCTGCGCGAAAAATTGTTTTTGGCAGGAAAGAGCATGTTCAGACTAGAAGGATATCTGTTTGAAATTGAATACTGTTCATGTCTGACAACTAGTAACCTAAGATGCTACCTGTCCGGTTAGAGTTTCTCTTGTCAGAAAAATAATCCGGATTTTCCCGTATCAAATTACGAAGCAACATTGCAAAGTTAAGGATACTGACCGAGCTGCTAAACAAATATGATCGGAATCTGGTACCGAAAATGAAAGGAGTCGACGTCGATGTAGAACTTCTTATACAAAGAGTATCTGAAATTTCCGAAATTCAATCGTCTTCAACTATGCACATTCTATTCAGCCAAATTTGGCATGACCCTGGATTATCATTTGAAGTTGGTCATCTGAAATACGAGAATTCGTGAACTCTATCCAAATTTCTAATTTAAGCATGAAGAAGGAGCCCATTGTCTTACAAATCTATCACTTTCCCATAGGATGGTGGACAATATTTGGCTCCCCAATGTGTGCATTGTCAACTCCAAAGGATCAACCATTCATAAGAGTCCCACTCCAAATATATTCTTGGCTATATTCCCAAATGGAACAGTCTGGATGAACTACAGAGTCGTCGTAGAGTCGCCATGTGAAATGGATTTCAGCTTCTTCCCTATGGATCGCGTTATGTGCACAACAATTTTTGAAAGTTACGCTTTCAACGTAGGCAAGGTTCGATTACACTGGAAGAGACAAGGCCAACCTGTGGAGTTTATTGACGAAGTAAAGCTGCCAGACTTTCATATGACAACTTTCATACACGAAAAAGCCACGTTCATCTATCCTGCCGGAGTTTGGGATCAGGTAGCGTCCTTGTCTAAAACCACGAAATAATAGTTGTTGTTACCTCGTTTCGTCATTTTCGATCTCTTGTCTTTGCTGCCACTCAAACCTACGCAGAAAATGTCATTCATCATTCCAATGTGTGACACACATTTCGAAAAGAATCTAGACCATTTGTTAAAAAAACAAATGTGCCGAAATGATTGATCACTCAAATTATATATAGAACACAAGACTTTTGAAACCGGGGCCCATAGCGCGGTCCGAGCTGACGCTCGGAAGCGGCTTCACCGCTTGTTTGTTTCTCATAACTGTTTCAAAGTTCATGTGTTCATTTCCTAATTTTTCCGTCACAACTATTTCGTTTTAGAAATGAACGTAGGGACGGACAAACGGAGAAATAAACAAACAGACAAACAGACATGCTCCCTAAGAGTTATATCAATGAGAAGGCTGATGATTCCAGTTAAACATAAAACTATTCTTCCGGAGGTCGTACGGATTCTACATTTTACAAATATACCTGCCAACCTATTGTATGGTCCTGATTTCCTGGATTTCGTTCTGGTTGGATCGAAGAAGTCTTCCTGCTCGAGTCACTCTTGGAGTGTCGTCTCTGATGGCCCTTACTTTACAGTACTCAAATGTTTCGAGAAGTTTGCCCAAAGTATGTTAAAGTTTTCAACTGTTACGTATATATGTATAATTTATTGGTGTCTGTAGTCTTTTCACTCATGCCCCGATCTTCTAATGACTTCGGTAAAATATTTGCGTGACTATCACCACACTGCTTAAGCCAAATTTCACCGAGAACGTGATTTGCTGGTGTGATCCACCATACCTGTGGGAACATTCACAATGAAAGAATTTTCAGGTTTCCTATGTCAAAGGACTGGATCTGTTTATGTTTGGATGCATTGTTTACATTTTCCTGTCAATTGTTGAACTAGCCGTTGTAGGATCTTTGGAGCAAAGAAAACAGAGGTAAATCCGTTTTTAACAGTGATTTTTCACAAACGAAATTGTGGCCGGTAAGCTTTAATTCCATTACACACTTCATTCAAAGATTCATTTTTTAAACTAGTTCTTAGCGAACAGCGCGCCCTTTCTGTTCGGTGCCCCTATAATATAATCCGTCAAATATGGATCACAAACTACTTTTTTCAGAAGCGGAGAAGAATTTATGTCAGACGAAGACATCAAAAAGAACATATTTCAACGCACATTTTCCGCCAAATCCTTTAAGTCAGGCTATGTGAGTTTTAGTTAGCAGGCCGCTTAGTAGTCATTTAATGAAAAGATGATTACTCTCTCACGTGTACATGGTGATGTGGTGATGCTAGGTCGACCAGTTCTACACAAAGTGTCTCGTCAAGCGTGCCCTGGGGCACTCAATTTGACCAAAAAACAATCTTCTTAAATCTTTTAAGGGAGCTCGACGTCATCAATTCTCTGAATGTGCAAGTCCGGAAGACGGTGGTGAATGGCCGAAAACGCGAACCGAATGGGCCGAAAGGACATACGTGGAGTGTCCAGAACCAGAACCCCCGCGGAGTGATCACCATCCCGAACAAGAGAACGATAGTAACAATAAGGTGATTGATAGAAAAACTGGATGTCAACAAGACAAAGAATACATGGTATCACGTCATATGTTACGATTTAAGATGTTGGTCCTTGTGAGACAACGCCGAGCATCCAGAAAACGAAGGAAACGACTAATGAGTGGAAAACTTTTTCAACGCTGGACTGGAGAAGATATGGACAGGTGATTATTGTTTATTCAAGAAATTTTCGCCGATGAAGCTTGAATTTTTCATGTAATATAATAATTGTTCATAATGAGCACGCAGTTCGGGAATTGTTTACACTCGTCAATTCCGTGAATTATTCAAACTAGTTGTTTTAGTACTAAAGTCTCGAAGAACTTGAAGTAGTCACAAGTTGGCATGACGAAGGAAAACAACACATAGAAAACAGGATTCGAATTTGAGTCAAATTAGAAAAGGATGGCATAGTCTTGATAACAGGAAGAATATGGTGAAAAAATGATTCATTTTTATTAACTTTTCAGGTTTTGTCAGAAGCTGTTTCCCATCACTTTCACATTCTGCAATCTTATTTACTGGATGTATTATACGGCCAAATCAAAAGACTAGAGCTTTCGAAATAAGTTCACATTAATTATTGTTTTTTTTTAATTTTGCCTTATCCACTTTGAATGTGTGATATTTATGTGCCACGTTTCAATGAAAGTTACCTACCTCACGCACTTCCTGATGTTTTCTGGTCTTACCATCGAGGCGGGACTTTGCGGATCCTATAAAAGAGAAATGATCAATCGAATTTGTTTTCAACCACTTTCCAAATTACTTGTCCATTCATTCGATCATCATGAAGATTCCGCATGCGATTGCTGAACTGGTTTCCGAATTCTCTGGTCTGAACAGAACTCCTGATTTCAAACCAGTTCGTTCTATGCCCAATTGTCAATGTGCGGCTGCTGGAAACTGTCAGACGCATTCGAGACAAACATCTGGAAATTCGACTCCTGTCGAGAGACACAGTAGAGAAAGACGCAACTCATTGAATATAACTATCGGCGCTGTGAGTCTCAGTTAAAACTCTTGAAACTAACAATAAATGTTCTGTTGATAGCAATGCCTGTGACTATGGCGACTGACGGATTCATCTACATTTATTGTTAAATTTTCATTTTTAGAGAGGGGAGCTGCCATTTTCGCTAAAGGTTACGCATAGGAAAGTGAATTGACAAGTCGACGGTTTAGATTACGAAATCTAGATAGATTACAAACACTTTACCTGAGTCTTTTGTAACCAACAGGTCTCTGCGCAAGCCGAGCCAAAGCTCGGAAGCGGCATTGCCGCCTGTTAATTTTTCCAGCCCTAGGGGTCATTATTCAGTGACAATTTCTAAGCTAACCTCTCCAACTTTTCAGCAGAACTTCAGGAATTTTAATTTCTGCTCAAAGGCGGCTAATGGTACTCGCAAAAGTTGCTGAAGTTCTGCGCAGAAGTTGTCATCGACTAAGATTTTGCTCTAAAGTGGCTAAACAGTTATTCAAAAGCTGCATGAAGTGATGATGGCGCTGAACGTTTGCTGAGAAGTTGCTGAAATGTTGCTTAACAAATGCTAATCCCAAACGTTTGCTCGAAAGTCGCTGAAATTTGTGTTCAAAAGTCGTTATTTATCACGCCAACGTTTGCTGAGAAGTTGCAAAAACAAAAATTAAATGATTTTGTCGTTTTCACTGAATTCTTTTCAGGGCCAATTACCCACGGTATCTCCAGAGCCAATTCCTCGGAAAAACAGCGTTGAAGTTAAATTTCGAAAGAATCGTCGACAGTCAGCTCCTTGCATATCAAACTTTGCCAACTCCACATCTCTGAAAGAGAAACTAAGCAAACTGCGTAGTGCAAACAGCTCCGAAGAACTGAATGAGGAGGAACTAAAAGAAGAAGTCGAGAATTTTCACATTCAGGCCCGGAAGGTTTCTGTAACGTCATATAGAGTTGTCTGATTCTCCTTTTCCCTATAGCTGTGTTCTGACAAATCTGAATAAAGACTATATACAGAAAAAAGCAACTGATTTTCAATAATTCGCGTGTTTGAGGAGCTCTATATTCATGTTTGTGACCTTCCGCAAAAAATTCCGAACTTCTATACTCTATCAAATATTAATGCAACGGTATTTCACACAGGGGTTCATTGCGATTTCTAGCAGTTGAAAAAAAGTAATCTTTCCGTGACAGAAGTGCTTTGAAATGAGAAGGTAAAATTTCAAGAAAAGGTTATTGGTTCAGGGCTTAATCATATGGAATTAAAGAAAAAAAGTACAGTCAAGAAGGAATAGAAGAAGGATAATAGGGAACATTCGAATCGGCAAAAGCGTAGATTTTAAACAAATATTTTGCGTATTTTATCGATTGTCGACAAGTAATTGTGAGAGGAGAAGAACGTGTGCTTGTGCGTAGTATGAGAATGCTCGAAGAGCTCTGTTTTCTTTAATGTAAAACTACAAAAATTTTCAAAACTTCAGAAAGAACCGTTCTCCATTAAAGACACAGAACTCGTAAGAGCTGGTACCGGAAAATTACAAATTATATATTATAATTGACGAAAAAAGCTTTAAATTATTAGACCTGCATAATTTCGGCAAATGCGCTCCAGTAGAAAAGAGAGTTTTGCCTTAAACTTTCAACGTTGGACGTAACCCGATTCTTGCAGAGCGTCATTGTCAGCGTTATGCGGGCTAATAAATAAATTTAATTGTGTTCTGAACTGAATCAGCTCATCTGAAACTTCCACGTCCCATCCAAACTATACGAGCTGGTTGGGTTGGTGTTGGTTTGACCGTATTGAAAGTATTCTGGGTAGGTTCCTGTAATCGCATTCAGAACAGATTATATCTCCCAATCTCGAAGCATACCATAAGCATATTGAACTTGGGGTCGGAAAGAAGTCGCTGTGTTGTAAGAGCTGGTCGACGATGACGGTGAAATTGGGTCGATATACGAAGGGTTCACGACTTTTTGTTCTTCAGAGGATGGAGATGTAGACTGATCTTCGCATTCTTCCTTGATTGTGTCGTTAAACTTTAATTCGCTATCAGTGGTTGCTGGACTAGAAGGCTGGACTTCGCTTCCGGTAGATCCGCCACTTGAGGCACCATTAGACCTTTAAGACATTGCAATGATATGAATTCATCAAAAGATAGTGATCCTACCCATTGAGGACATTAGCAGATCCATTACTTGGCATTGTCTTCTTTTGCTGCCTTGCTTTTGCTCTTCTATTCTTGAACCAAACCTGTATTGAAAATTTACTGGAAATGTCTTACGATTTTTTGTGATTCATACCTGGACTCTACTCTCTGGCAATTGAATTTTGTGAGCCATGTCTTCTCTCATAAAAATGTCGGGGTAACGAGTCTTGACGAAGTAACTCTCCAAAATTTCTAGTTGATTTCGGGTGAAGGTAGTGCGCTCACGACGTTGCTTTCTTGAGAAGCTAAAATGTTTCGTTGATTTTTGTGGTTGTCAATAGCAAGCATGTAACAGCTAGAGCAATTATCGCTTACCTTGGTTGATTTGCATTCCAGGACATTGTGGACATGGTTGCAGACGGGCATTCCGAGAGAGTTCCACCGATATATCCCATGCTTGTGGGCAGAAAGTTAGGTCCAGCAGGTGATGAGAAGCCAAGATGTGGCGTCGGATAAGTTCCCTTATTGTTGAAATAGGCTGTCATGTTCGCCACACTCGTTGCAGAGCTCACATTCGGCAAGTAAGGCATCGGCTGAAAAATTAGTAATTTCATGGTTGTTCTACTCTTCTAGTTTATTTTCTAGATGGTGAGGATCAAGAAAACCATAGTTCTAGTACACACATTGTCAAGGTGAAGAAAATCATGCAAACGGTTATATTTGAGAAAGGCAAAATCACACCGATAGCTGGAAGTAGAGAGAAGCTGAGTCGACTGTAGTTGTGACTGGATACGTGGATGCAATAGTCGTTCCAGGAGTTAGAGTTCCATGGGCTAGCGAAGAAGCAGAATCATGTGAATTCAGAATTGAATTTGAATTTGATTGTTTTTCGGTGTCATCAGGCTGATTACCATTTCCTACCTGTAGAGAGAAAGGAAATGACGAATAGGAAGCTACTGGTACTGGTTAGAACAACTTTCACGAAATCAATCACTTGGACAAGTTACTATAGCAATTTTAATTCAACAAACAGAGAATGAACTTACAAAGTTTCCACCGTTCATAGCTGCTCCTCCGATTGCAGTTTGCGTAGGAATCTTTAAAATAAGTAATAGTGAGGAGATGAGAAGGAAACAAGAAATGAAAACCATCTTAACATAACTATTTTTAAGTTTTGGTATGATAGATCAACACTTACTCATAGCTTCGTGAAAGAGAGCAGAAGAAGGGAATAGACTGGAACTTTGCGTCCAGGTGAGGATGTGTTAAGTCTATCATACCAAGTTGCAATCCGCTACTCGGATTACGTTAAATCTTAGGGTATTAAACACTCAAAACGTTCAACTCTAGCATCGGCTCATCCAACCAAAATGCGATTTCCATCGCCGCCAATCCGCATTGAACCGCCCATTTTGTGTCGCACTCTCCCCACTCTGCCCAGTCTCTAGTCCATTTCTTACTACAAACGCCGACGACCGTACCCAAGACTCCGCCTATATGGCGCACCAATCTGCTTTTGATGGAGGCGGAGCCGGAAACTGCTTGCTTGAGTTTACAATATACATTTGTATAAAGCCTAGACTACTATCAAACGTAAATTCAAACTTTTTTTGAAGTTTCACGATATCAGGAGTTCGGGTTACATTTGGAAGACATTACTATGTCGAGAGTCTTAAATGAGCAAGAGAGTGGAGTAGAATACGTTTTGGCGTCGGAAAATATGATGTACGGTGGTGAACAAACACGCGGAAGCATCACGACTGTTTGTGGGGACACGGTCCATCGAACTGAACACAAAGACAATGAAGAAAGAAAAAAGAACAAGAATTGATAATAATTGTGCTCAAGATAATTTACTGGATTACTCGTGATGGAAGCTCAGGCCATGATTTTCAGATAAGAACTTAAGATACTGATCCAACTCTAAGCTATTTATATTGGTTTTAGCGCATTAAAGTTTACCAGGATACCATCTAAATTACTAATACAGCATTAATTTCTTAACTAACCAATCCAATATTTGAAGTAATTGATTCGTTCGTCGTTGAAGATGTCATGTTGAAGTGAATAAAATTCTAGAGGAGAAGTAAGAATAAGATGAATACGACAGATGATGATGGTGGTGACGGTGAGGATAAAACCACCAGATATAGGATACGTCAGAGACGTCTTTCCAATCATCTAAATGGAAACTAAGATCCTGACAGCGGATGAGCTTTTTACCGTGCATAGGATAATCGGTATTATCACTTGTTTTCTATATTTTCATATAATCTAAATTCTGAATCGAAACATACAAACACATCAAGGGCCTAGGTCCGGGACGGTGTTGAATGGTGAAAGAACGGTGTATATATTAATCTCTGCCATATTTACCTTTTTCGGTACGTGTTAATACTTGCCAAACTTTTGATTTGCGGCACGTTTTGGCGGTACACAGACTGCCTCTAAGTATAGTCGGGACAAGTTGACAACTCCTTGATCGACATGCAAACAGCTTGATAATATCTGCTAAAAAGAGTGCCGCCATAAGTCGAAAATCTATGGGGTTGGGTCTAGGTTCACTCGTTTTTCTTGTGAGTTCTGTTGGTTTTCAGTACACGGTGAGAGTATATAGAGGATGGCAGCTAAGCGCCGGCTCATCCGTAGGCTCAACGGCGAGGACCCCGGGTCGTCGCACCATCCATTTTTCCGCAGTCGAGTCTGTTCTCACTTCACTCTGGCTTCGGTTTTGCCTGGGCTTCATATGATTCTTTTCATGGCATGTTTTTGTATGAACCTTTTGCATAGAATTTTGCACATTCAATAAAATTTAAAATTTGTGTAAATTTTTGCCAACCCGGTAAGCATTTTGAAACCATTACTTCTCCATCACGCTGATATTTATAATTTAACCCATTTTCTGAATGTGCTGTACGGTGAATTTTTTCAAACTCAAAGTCCTTCGGCCGTTACAATTAATACTACGGCTGTCTGTTAGGTGTTACGTAACCAAGTGTCATGTCACTCATCACTCGTTTCCTGTTGACAAATAACCATGACCAGTATAATTGTGCAACAAATCATAGCCTTAGAATATCATGCGAACAAGATATTATCTAACTTTAATTTGAACTTTGTTTGTTTCTTTTCGGCAGTGCTCAAAAAAAAATCAAAGATAGTAAAAGACTGGGCGCCGCGAGTCTACAGTAATCTGGGGCGCTCCTCCTTTTACTTTCCTTTCGTTTGTTTGTCGATTGAAGCGACGACTGAAGAGAGAAAATTTTGCATCGATTCAGGCAGGGAGAGGTGGACAAGAAAATAGGATGGTTTGAGAAAAAAAATCAAATGTTAATGTATTAATTTTTCGTTCTGCGCATAACATTCTGTTAGAGAAAGCAGCACTCTACAGAGGCATTTGAATCTTGCTGGAAAGCACAAGTGACAATTAAAACTAATGTATAATTATTTTCCAGTGTCGGAAGAATGAGCTGTACCTTCAAAAAAAGCCATGTCAGAATGAAAGTGGTTTATTGTTTTCAATCCTCATTGAATACTGTAGATGTTCTGGCAACTTATCATTCGCCGTTTGCCGCATGTTTTACGCCTAGTTAGACATTCAAAAGAATGCGTTCTGTATCACGCCAATAGACTGTATGCGCAGAGTCTTTAATCCCTATTTTGACCCCTCGTCTATAGTAAGTGTCGGAAAAGGGGCAACCACCAAAAAGACACCGGGAAACCAGGTGTGTATAATTCCCTGAGCGGCATGCCATGCCATGTCTTTCGTTCACCGCTTCATTCCCAGAAAACAAAAAGGGACCGAAATAAATTCCGATTTGAAACGATCTCGGAGGGAATGAAATTTGCATGTTCATTTCGATCCTAATACCCTTTTTTCAATTGCCTGCGTTCTCGCTGAGTAGCGCTTCTCTTCCTAAAGTCCATTAGTGTCATCTGTCTTCCTCTACTGCTTCCTAAAAAGCGTTATGCTAATGGCAAAAGTCAAAGCAGTCGCACGCTCTTTGCCGTGGGAAATTAGCCATATTCTGGTGGTGGCAAGACGAAGGGACCAAGTAGAGGATTACGGTAGTTTTCTTCGAGTGGAAAGAGCTAAATATCTTTGAATTTTCAAGGGGTTAGTAGGCACGGGAGCGAAATAAGAGCAGGTGCACATTTCGCGCTAATCCCAAAAATACCTGTAAATAATTACAGTCTACAAGTTACGTAATAGATGGCAGCTGTGCGCAAAAGAGTTGCATAAGAATAGAGAACGTGCACACACATATATGGTTCCAGTAACCGATACATTAAACGACATTTGGGCCTTATAACTAATTGTTTTCGAATTGAACGTGTGTGCTCACGGCAGCTTTATTCATACGGATACGCTCATGTGACTAGGGTTCTGAACTGGAGTTTAAACTACACTTAAAACCAGCTTAAGATGAACATGATGTGACATGTGAACATAATACACCTGACTTGGAATTTCCACAAACGGAAGTTAATTAGCTTCGTAGTCTTGCGAACTCGTTCATTTACGAGTTCAATCCCTCTTTCTCTTTTACCATCATCAACAAAAACTTTTCCATAATATCAAACCTGATTCAACGAAATCCGTCCTTAATCCGTACCTCCTCGTTCATAGTCATTGAATTCCATTATTTACAACCTCACGCCATAGAATGATGATGGTTGCGCGGTAAGTCTATGCGGACGACTACGGTACTCGAAATAACAATATGCGCAAAATATTTCAATTTTCGTATTATCCTGTCAATCTCTTAATTGTCACTGTTCACATTCTAAGAAAACGTTTATTTCCGATATGAACAAGGGCTTTTCAAATGTTACTGAAGTGAAACTTCTTATCAGAATATATTAAGAGGATCACTCGAATCTTTATCACCAACTGTCAGATTATAAAGAATTATCACACCTTCACCAAGTATATTATTGAAAAGATGCTCACACATTGTTTTATGTACTCTATATATGGTACTGACTGTGAGCTTGTTCAGGAAGTGTGGCCTATTTGCTTCCAAGACCGTGTAGCAAAACTGGCACGAAAAGTGTGCATAGGAGATTAAGAAAGAGACTGTGCACTCTCTCCCTCAGTCCATTGTTTGTGGGCTCTTCCGCGTGGAGCAGGGTCATCTTCATCGAACACTTCAGGAGGATGAGTACTAATTAGAATCTGCCAGAATTCACACCTTTACAGATAATATGCCTGTTTATTCGTCTTCAATATTCATAAGCTGTCTGGATTCTCAGCTTTCTCAAGGGCATCATTAATGGAAACGTGACTAATGAGTCGGTCCTGAACGGCTGGAATTTGATCTCATCCGGGACATTACCATGAATATCCCCGCAGAACACCACAAACCACCTAAATATGTAGTTATTGCTGTTAGCCTCCTAAAAGCACATTATGGTTCAACACTGTCATACGAGACTTTTAACAATTGCGTCTTATAGTTCAAATAATGTTGGAAAGAATCATTCTTATATAAGTTCTTATACATTCTTATACAAGAGGCTAATATATTCTTATACAAGAGGGGGGTGGCTTTTTTTCAGCATTAAAATTTTTGAAAAATAAGCATTTCAGTTAAAAACATGGTCTCTTGGGCTAAAATTATTTAACAACAGTATCTAAGACCACGTTTCCAATTGAATCCTTCCAGTTTCTTCTGCTTTTTTTGTCCATTCTTCTCCGTTGATCTCTTTTATCACATTGATGACTGCTTTGGGCATGTCTCCTGAGCTTCCGGCGACAAAAATTGGAGCTCCAAGCTCCAAAAGACGCTTAAATTGCTTTGCTCGTTCTTCAATTTTGTGTTGCACATAAATCTGTGGGTTTGAAGATGAAATTCAGTAGGAGAAATTCGGCAATCACCTTTTTTTCAGAATCACGGCTAAATGCAGTCACAACCTCCACACCATACAGCTTTTCCCATTCATCTCTGAAGTAGAAATCACTGCGCTGTTTTCGACAGCCAAAAAAAAGGAGACTATTCTCCTCAGCAACTCTGAAAACAAACGAAATCGTGATAAATCTGAAAAACTATTATCGAATGCTTACAATTGGCTCCGTTCCACGAAAAGACTTCTGAAAGGAGCGACGCCGGTACCAGGACCGATGCAAATTATCGGCTGTTGAGGGCTTGGGAACTTGAACGTTCCCGAACGTATTTTGCAGAAAACCTAAATAAAACTACTACTTCATATTATTTTACACTCAATTTATCTCTCATCTTTTCGGTCTATCTAGACTCAGGCCAATTTTATTGCAATTAGGAAAGCACATGCTAACACCGAATGGGCAAGACAATCTTGACCAGAGCGATAAATTGAATGTACTTTCTAAGATAACCTTTTCTCCTGGGGCCAGCCTTGAAATAAATGTGCTACACAATCCCCGTCGTTTATCTGTTAGTCTAGTTGAATATTCCACTTTTGCCACAAGCAATTCGACATTAGACATATTTGGAGCAGACGCGATGCTGAATGCACGAGGCCGAATTGTCGGGAGAATTTCAAAAAGTTGATCTGGGTTCAGATTTTTCGCAGTGTTTGGGAAATCTCGGAGCGCCTCGGCTGACGTTCGGCGGGACCTTCTAGCATAATCGTAAAGATCGTCAATGCCTTCTGAACTTGCCAATTCTGATAGCCGCTCTTTCTCAGCTGGATCTTTAGAAAAATACGAAAGCATTTCGAAGAACGATCTTTTTGGCACTTGTTGAAGATCGAAGTATCGTTCGAGACAAATTCGTAGAGTGGTTATATCTTTGAAAAAGTGAGGTCTAGTAAATGAAGTACTACGTTTGTTCTCTTCTTACTTCCAAGTAGATAATATGGCGGACTTTTGATAAATTCATAATTCTTCATGACTTTCACTGGTCTGTCGAGGAGCTCTTCAGAGAATCCAAGGGCTTCTATAGCGATTTCAATAGTTTCCTTCATGTTATACGGTCGAACCATGAGGACGTCACCAGGTCTATATCTGAAGAAGAATTATACATTCGAACGATTAGAGTTTTTCAACAAAAAAGGAACAACTCTGGAAACTCGATTGCAATCTAATTAGAAGAGTTTGCAATCTAATAAGAAAAAGCTCTATTTCGCTCTATAGTCTATTGCAAAGTTTTCTAATTAGATTGCGATCGAGTTCCCAGAGAATCTGATTTCTCAAGTGATTTTTTGTAAATAAGCCCAGTGGAAGCAAAGAAAGTATTGCAGCCGTAGAAGTCAGACAAACGCGCTCTACTGCTTTCCACGTGAATTCAGTACTAAAAAGTACTTTAAAAAAATAAAAATTTAAATTTAAATTGGATCGCGAAAACATCGCGGCCGCGGTCAGTTTTCGAATGGGATTGCGGTAGAGCGGCACTGTCGGAATTTTTCAGGTGTTTTAGGTTTTAGGCGGTTTTTACAAAAAATCATTGAACATTCTTATTTCTTCATGTTTTAAAGTCAGACGTGTGAATACTGACCTAAAATCTGTGAACATTTCTGATCCTATTTTGAAACGAATCAGCCTGGTGTCTTGAAAATGATCTTCAGATGTTACTCTTTTGTTGCTTTCCACTTCCAATGTGTGGTATTCTTCGTGATGTACACTCTCTTCAAATTCCGATTCGACTTCAGGAGTCGCTAATCGAAATTTCGGAATTATAACACTGTTTGGATCAATATCAACAGTCATTTGAGGATATAGATTTAAATTTTCGATTGCTTTCCAAATACGACGCTTCCACGGAATGAACGCGCCATCAATGCCCAAATCGTGCTGATCGTCGGCTAAAAAAACTTCCGCCATCATTTTTGCTCCAATTTGAATGAGTCGCCTGTACAATTTCTTGCCGGCATAGTTGTACTTTTGATAAGAAGAATCACCTAGGCCAAGCACGCCGACATTTACCTGAAAATATGGAGTTATGCTTTCTAAATATCCTTTCAGTTCACGTTTTCTAGAAACTTTGTGCATAACGATTTCCGAAGTAACCATTGCCACGTTTTTCTCATGTTCGGCGGCATTTCTCCTTGACCGGTGGTAGAAACAACGAACAGAATAACCTGCTCAGCGAACGCTTTCTGAACAGTTCAAATGTTAATTTTTTCTGATACCAATTTTAAATCTCACATTTATAGCATACTCGTCTAATTCGTAAACTCTCGCTGAGAGATGCCTCATAATGCTTTCTCTTCGTAAGGATTCTGCCACGTCTTGAGCAGTGCCTGTTTCGCTACCATACAATATCAGGATTGACATCTGATTATTACTCTTTGAAGCAATTTTGAGGAAAATGAAGAAAAACCGTTAAAGGAATCAGGAACTCGTTTCTAAAATCGAGATAGACCGGAGTGAGACGGTGGCGCAGAGAAGAGCCAAGATATTTTGAATTGAGATTAATCAATTTACAATACCATTAAATATTTTTTGGAACAATTATAATGGTTTTTCTTCGCAGGACACTGCTCGGAACAACTCCATCAGTTTATCACTGTTCTTCCTGGTAAATGTAAGCGTTGATCGCTTGTAATGTTCTGAATTAAGCTCCAGGTTGTTGATAACGTCATCAAGAAGGATTGCAGACATTGTTGTACTCGCAGGGGCCTCGTACTTCAAGCTAAAATTAGACATTGAACATGATTTTAATAATATTGGCAGACTTAATGAAATGAACATGAAGATGGTAGAAAGACGGCTGATAGTGAAAGTAGCATTTCACTTGATCTCTTCGAAGACCAAACTTCCTCTCGATAGCATCAAGTGACTTTTTGTGGATATTGTGGAGCATAGGGAGATCGTCGCCAGAAAGGTCTCTAACCGATTTTATTCCGTGTCGATGCACAATGGCAAGTACATAGAGAGTTTCGAGAGTTTTTCCATCCCATTTTATGTCTTGCATAAGAACGAAACCGTTTTTCTTATCCTCATCTTCGTAGATTATTTTATCTACTTCAGATCGTTTCTTCAGGCAGTTATAAACCCACTGCAAATGTTTTCTTTCACAATTGGAAGCATTCTTTAAAGGAAAACTAACATTGAGATTAAGTTGACATTTCTCGATGTACGGTTTCGTCACAGTCTCGTACAGCTCTGGCGTTTCTCGAACAACGTATTTTTCTTCTTGTCTGTACTTCGCAATAAGACGATCATTTACGGGGAAAATCAGTTGCGATTTCAGAACTGGAAAAATTAAATTTTGAAAAACTTTTTACGAGTACCGGAAAACTCACGATTCAACTCTGGTTCAATCTCAATCTCGTATGATCCAAAAATATCGTTTTGTGATATTTGTCGGAGTTTAAGCGTGTCTAACAGGCGCTCGATTACTGGCTTTTCTTCTGAGAATGACGATTTGTTCGCCAGAAGAATCCCTTGTTCGCCGGTGGGATGAGTGAGAAGTAGAAAAATTGACTGAAGTGAAATAAAATATTCACGATCGGTGTTATTGAGAGCTCACTTTATGCGACGAGTCGGCTCCTAAAACTTCTTGGAATTTAGACTCGGAGAGCCACTGCCGAGCAACTTTTTCTGATCTTCCTATTTGCACTGACTGATTTTCGGTGGTCATACTAGAATATAATTCTTTTCATAGTTTATAATAATTAATAATAAAAGAAATTATCGGGTCATACAGTGTATGTTTTCTGCCGTTTTTTTGGTGTTTTATATTGCTGAATTGACTTTTTTGACGTATTAAAACAAAACAAAAAGAACGAAAAAAAACCTACACTGAATAACCCAAATGGAACAAGCATAGGGGAATATGGAATGCGACTTCAAAATAGACCCGCCATGGCGTGCTCAAATTAAAAAAAAAGGCGCTACAACGAGGTGTAACTGGCACGGAATGGGCATTTTGGAACTCGCAACGTTAAAATATAACTGCGAGTTTCAAATCGTAACAGTTCCATTCCGTGCGAATTCTACTTCGTTGTAGCGCCAATTTTTTTGTCAATCTAATTAGAAAATATAACAGCAGCGGAAACGCACCGACATTCCGGCTCCTTGCAATGGAGCGCACTTGCACAGTCTCTTCGCTGGCTGCTTTCTTTTGAAAAAAAATTCTTCTCACTATTCAAACGCAATTTATGAGCTCAACCATATTATTTCGATAAAAATTATATTGATCTGAATATTAATATTATGAGAAACAGAAGTCTCAGGTGCAGGTGCCAGCTCCGATGTCATCTCCCATGCGAGAGCTTCCCAATCCGAACGAGTCTGCGCATTTCGAGACTATCGACTTTTCGGACTTTCCGCTGCGTGTTTCTTAAAAAGTCGTGTTTTTAGTTAAAAAAAAGTATTGATTATTGCATTTACAGCCATGGACGTGGATGCTCCGGCCGATTTGGCCGCACAACCCGCCCCCATCGCCGAGGAAGAGCAATCGAATTGAGAAATGGAAAAAGCCCAGTACGAACGGGTTCAGTTCAATCTGAATCAGGAGTTGATTGATTATCGTGACCGTGTGGATGACCTGTATGAGCTCACCAACAAAACCTTGGAGTTGGAGGTCACCGTTTCGCGTTTGAAAATGGAGAAAGAAGAGGGAGAAGCGTCTGCTGCCGATGCTACGAAAGAAGCCCAGGCTGCTATTGTTGAGACATTCGCTTTGAAAGACCAAATCCAAAGCTGATCGAAGAGAAGGTTGCCAATCAACACGAGTTGGCGATTCATGCATAAGAAAGGCGAACCATTGAGGTAACATTGTGTTTCGGAATATATTTACGCTGTTCATTTCAGTACGAGCGTGAAAGGATCGCGACGGAACGCGGTCTCCATGCTGAAGCAAAGCGGTGGCTGATGCAGGAAGTGTCCGAACGGGACAACAAAGTGTCGAGCTTGCGTCTAGAGCTGAGTATGGAATTCTGTTCACCGCTCACCACAGACAGAGAAACCCGAACTCGTTCTCGTACCTGCTGGAAGAAGAGGCCACTCGTTTCGCACAGGAAATCGACATGCTGTACAGAGCCTACTTCCCATCGGATTCTATCGGCAGAGAGATGATCGAGAAGATGCTGGCAAGCTGAAAGACCCCGGACGCCATCGAGATCATTCTCCAGAATGGAGTGTAAGTCAATCAGTAACTGACCGCCAATGAGTAACAAGTTTCATTTTCAGGACCGCCATGTCGGGTCTCGTGAAGACATTGGAAAGCCGACAGCCGGCTATTGTGTCCAAGGAGAGACGGGTCAAGAGGAACTCTCTGGATTCTGGCGGTAAGCTTGAAAACCATCTAAACTCAAACAATTGTTCTCTTTTCAGCTGACTCACGGATTCGCCCATCCGACCTCCATCACAAACTACCGATTCATGCAGGCAGCCTTCGGAAGAGCGCTTTCGGCAATTCAGGCTGTCAAGGGTAGGGCTCTCGCCAAGAACTGCTCCATCGATCCGCTCGCCGAGAAGCCGTTCAAGTACATGACGGATGCTGCCTACGAAGAGTGGAAGAACGTGATGAACGGCCATCCGTCGGAGCCGAAGTTCACGAATCCGGTTCTCTGGGGAGGAGAGCCGCCAGTTTGAACGTTATTAGTATTTATATCAATTTCCTCTAAACTTCCTTCTTTATTCGATTGCAACTTGCAACTCTTTCTCTCTCTCTCTCTGTCAAATATATCTCTTTATTCAATTGTGAATCCGATTCTCTTTTTGTAGTCCGTTGTAATTTTCGGTTTCTCATAATATTAATATTCAGATCAATATAATTTTTTTCGAAATGATATGGTTGCGCTCAGTGTGCCTTACCGAAATTTTTTTTACCGAAAGAAGTGAATTTCGGTAAATTTTCGGTAAATTGTTTCGAAAATTTACCGAAAGAGTTTCGGTAAAAACTGTTCTTACCGAAAGAGTTTCGGTAAATTTTCGGTAAAAACGTTTTTACCGAAAGAGTTTCGGTAAATTTACCGGTAAATCGTTCCTTTCGACAATTACCGAAAGAACAATTTTGAGAGCGGAGAAAAAAATGTTAAAAACATGTTTTTTTGTTTTCAATTTTTTTAAATAATTTTTTTCAATAATTTTTTTTTGTTTTTAATTTTAAATTTTTTTAATAATTTTTTTGTTTCTTTTTAATTTTTTTAATTTTTTTAAATTTTTTTTATAATGCTATGCAACGAGTTTCGCATTTAATGTGTCCCCAAAGTTCCTCATTCGAAAAATAAACTGATCGTTAAAAAGAAAACAGAAAAAAATTGAGGCGCCGAGCGGTGCCGTCGATACCGAAAAAGGCGCGGCACCGGCGTTCTTTTTGACAAGGGAAGTGACTGATGTGACTAATTTAGAACATTCTGAACAACATCCCAAACATCAGGAACACGCTGAACAGTCGCCTCAATGTTCCGTTCTCAAAATTGAAAATTGTTTCGAAAAAGTACCCATTTACCGATAAAATTTACCGAAATTTTTACCGATAAAATTTACCGAAACTTTTACCGAAATAGTTTCGGTAAATTTACCGGTAAATTTATCGGTAAATTTTCGGTAAATTTTCGGTAAATTGTTTCGAAAATTTACCGAAACTCTTTCGGTAAAAAAAAGTTTTACCGAAAATTTACCGACAATTTACCGAAATTTTTACCGGTAAATTTACCGAAACCCTTTCGGTAAGGCACACTGGTTGCGCTCATAAATTGCGTTTGAATAGTGAGAAGAAATTTTTTTCAAAAGAAAGCAGCCAGCGAAGGGACTGTGCAAGTGCGCTCCATTGCAAGGAGCCGGAATGTCGGTGCGTTTCCGCTGCTGTTTGTTCGGTGAGCCTTCCCCAACTCCGGTGCTTCCGAAGAAAAAGAACCAGATAAGTAGCCAACATGTGGAGTTTCAGTGTCGGCGTGGCATCAGGCTGAATCATACAAAGATTTCATACGAGCTCTTCAAAGACTTTCTCGATGTCGTCAATTTCCTCGTCAGTCTTCACTTTGTTGTCGGCGTTCGACATGAGATACTCCAAATTGAGCATGACCTGGCACATAACCTTTTCTGTCGGAATAGTTTCCTTATTCGTCGAAACATTGCATGATAAGATCTTTATTTAAGACAAAAAAAGTGATTATACTGGTTAAATATTCAGTAAATCAAGCTTTTGGGATAAAGGTGTATTCTCTTCAACATTGTATTGGAATTCGTGATAATTCGAAGAAAGGTTACGAAAAGAAGGTAATTTCGAATGCGAATCAACTTCTCCTCCCATAATTAAAAAATGAAACAAACCAAACAATATATCATTGACATCAAATACAAGATTTGAAATATAAAAAAATACGCGAGTTATTCGGTGGTGCTGTTAGTGTTATTAGAATTCGAAAGAATGCTGCTCAAGTTGTAATTGCTGTTGTTAGCTGCGGAAGAAAGAGACCAGGTACTCCCATACCCTGCGGACAACAAGGAAGTTCTTGAGAATCTTCTCTGAGGGAGTGGAGGAAGTTGGAACAGTTCCTGATTTTCAGTCAGAATTTCGTTGCCATCTGTGATGCACAGATGTTCTATAGATGGCATATTATCATCCCAAGCCATCTCCATCTTCCACCATCTGAAACGTTTTGAGTAAGGAAGCATTTTGAGGAACCAAGGAAAATCTTAAATTTCAGTTTAACGTGTAATTTAACAATGAAATAAAGTAAGGCACTCACGTTTCGGCAGCCGATCCTCCAAACTTCGTAGCAAAGATAGAGTCGATACGATCACTTTGCTCTCTAGTAAAGTAGTTCTTCCAATCGCGGCTTCCACCTTTTCTAATAAATTCCGACTTGTGAAGCTGTGATTCTGGGAACCAGCGCTTCTGATCTTTTTTCATCGCATCGATGGTACTGTTCTCCACGATAATACGAAGGATTGCGGCATCCTCAGCACGTGCCTGAGCTTCTCCACCCAAGAATTGACCAATCTTAAAGAATCATGGATATATTTAGATTAAAGAGTCCCTTTAAAAGGTAATACTTTGATCACAGAATCCTCCAAGTCGGCGATCATGTCTTCGTACTTGAGAAACAGGACATTTTCGTCTTTCAGATAAGGAAGCCACGATAGAAGATGTTCGAAGAAATCTCCGAACGCTAGTTGGCCAGACGCGAAGAGGTCAACAAAAACATCCCATGTACCGTTGGCCCAGTTGTAAATCTTGAAGTTTCTGTTGTGGTGGAAGTAGCTCGTCAAGCAATCTTTGGGATTTCTGACGCAATAAATGTACTTGGTTGATGAGAACTTTGGAATGTTCATATGGTGAAAATGAGTTTTAAGAACTCTTGGGCTCTTGATTTCATTAGCAAACTGGGCCCCCATTCTTTCGATCATTGGACTTTGAAGACAAAGTTCTAAAGGAATTAGTACTATATAACTCGAAGTTCCTACTCTTTTTACCATTTCCCTTGCCGGTCTTATAATCCGGTCCTTTGACAAGTTGAGATGTGATATGCTGAAGCCACGTAGTGCCACATTTCGGATAAGTAGCTATAACCACGTCGGTTTCGCCGAACTGCATCATTTTCGCAGATCGAACATTTTTTGGTTTGAATATTGGTGGCCAGATTTCCCCGTCAATGACGACTTGCTTTGGATGTCCATTCGGTTGGTAAACAACAGAGCGAGCGGGGCCTAAAAAAAGCACATAAAAAAGCTAAATTTCTCTCATCAGGACCACGTAGTGACGTGAAAGTATGAATTGAAGCTTATCGCGATTCGCTAAAGTACTCACCTTTTCTAAAGCAAAATGACGTGGCATTGAGCACAAACGGAGAGCATGGAGTTCTAGGGGGGCTCAGCGGAGTTCGTGGCGTGATTGTAGGAGTTCTGTCACGCAACGGCGAGTCGCCTTGATCGATTCTGAGATGCTTTAGAAAGGACACCATCTTGTTGAGAAGAAAGTAATTTGAAGTGAAAAACCACAGCCTTATATAGTTTTCCGAATTTGGAAGAGAAAGAGAGAGAGAGAGTTAGATGCTCCACCCACGTCTTCTTCACGAGACTCTAATTGATAGTGTTGATTGAGCCATAATAACGGAGAATTTTGGCTCAAAGAAAGCATGCAATTTGGCACTGATGCATAAATACGCCTGCGCACTACTAAAATAACACTGATGACGGATTGTGCTCACCAAGAATTTGACTAGTCTCCACATTTAAGAGTTTATAATTCTGACTAAGTAACAAATTTCAGCAGTTTCCATTTTCAGAAACTACGGAATTTTTATTGAAAGTACTGAAGAGTGATGAACCTGTGAGACTACTGTTGTCCCCTGGGAATATTGACTGGTTGCCCACTGTGAGACTTCTCTGGATGCCCATTCTGCAAACATGCCCTTATAAAAACAGTTGACCTCTCTGAGCAAGTGACCCCTCGTGGACCCCTACTTCGTTGACCTCTAGGAGTGTCCGAACATCTGAACACGTTGACTCTTCGTCGACCCCTTGAAGCAGTTGCCCCTCCTTGGAGTGGTTGCTCCCAGAGGATGATTCCTGAGAGGGCGTTGTCTCCTACTTTGGTGCCCCTAGGAGCATCAACCAAATTTGCAGCCTGAAAACTATCGAGAGCAGATTTTTAGATAGAAACCCATATAAAATTCGAAACAACTTCATATCACCGTCAAAACTTTAAACATGAACTTGATATTTCTGATATCTATATGTAGGTAATTCTCGATAACCAGAGTTTGGTACAGGTCGAACTGGAATCTCCTCGATTTCATCTATGTACATTCCCAGATTCGTCGAGCTTATGGTGAAAGATTCTGAAAAACGCGACAACATATAATTACTTGTAATTTTCGCTTTCAATTTCAAAAATTTTCACTCCGAAAATGTGGGGGCGAGTGATATATCCGAGCAGGGGCTCTTGCGTAATTAAGTGTTCATGTTTGGTAGATTGCGAAAGATGTGACCGGCGATCGTAACATGTCTTTACCTTGTGAATCTGGTCGTGGATTTTGATATGCTGATGGAGGGAGCGCTGGCCTTCCATAGAATTCGAGGTTACTAGCTGAATTTTGTCGGGCAATCACTTTTGGATTTGATTGGAAGCACAACAAGCATGAGTAGCATCTGGAAAATAAAAGTAGTTGCGGATTGCTCGCAGAAACGTTTAATCTTGACAGCATTGTAGTCGCAGGATCTAGTGACGACACATTAAATTAATAAAATAGAGAGAACAAACCCTGAGCTCTCTCCGGAGCCGGCTTCTGTATTACTTCCTCCAATTATTACTCTACTAAAAAAATGGAGAATAGATATTGAATGGAGATTTCATATAGTCCTTACCTTTTGTGATTTTTTAGCCATATCACCAGGGCGATAATAGCCACTATCACCACGATACCAGCTAAAATGCAAATGAAATAAGTGATAACAGGATCAATATCTGATATTTTTGATTTTGAGTTCAAAGTCCTATTTAATGCCTACTTAAATATCCAAAAAATCTGTCGCCAATAGTTTTGTTTCCATTTTCATAAATGTCATGATCAGTGATATTGATGTAGTTAGCAAATGGATCTGCAGGGGATGGGAATGGTTCCTCTGTGGAAGCTGTATCCAGTAAAGTTATATCATCGATAAGCGAGGTATAATTTGACATATAGATTTCCACTGAATGATATTAGTAGAGGGGCAATATAAGAGAGAAAACGTGAGAGGCAAAAGCGACGAGAACAAATTTTCTATGGCAACCGAAACTCCATTATTCTTTGGTAGCTTTTCTGCATCTGCATCTGCTCAACAAGATTAAATTATCTTTGTATATTCTAAACTATTATATGCATCTTCTTTTCAAAATTGTGAGAAAATTTTTTAGGTCAGTTGTGGTGGTCGTTGCGGCCGCAGAAGTAACAACTGTTCAGTTATCTCTCAAAAGCTCCTCGATAAATTTTTGCAGTTCCTTCATTCATTTTTTCAAAAAATAATTAATGGATATATAAATATGTATTTATAAGATAAATATATCCTGCTGAATTATTTCAATTAGATTCTTCACTCTTGCATAGTTTTCATCACTCAATTTTAATGTATCCCACATTTCTCTCAACGCGGATTCTTCATTTCTTTTCCATTCGATACATTCTGTTATTGTCAAATCAGAAATGTCACACAACTTTAGCAATGGTCGCATAGTAGTGGCTGTATCAGTTATCTGGAAAACTACAGTAATCTCTGACTATAGTCACGATTATAAAGATTTTTCAGTGTGGATTACTTAATATGGCCTTTTGTGAGAACTTCAAAATATTTTGTTCCGAAATCATCATTCTTATTTAATAAAACGCAAACGGGATCTGTCAATTTCTTTCTTTTTTCTACTTTTTCATTTCTGAAAAGTTTTGATTGAGCAATGAATAAATGAACACGTGAACTTTCAAACGGTTCTGAGAATCTAACTACTTAATAGCCCAAGTTTCGAAAAGCTTGTGTTCATAGAAAATGAGGAAATTCTAATTTGTTACGTGGGCTTGTAAATATGCGTTTTTCCTAGCGTCGAAGAAACTTTCAGCTGCACTCTCCTTAAGGCCACGTGTTACTTCAAACTTTTTTCATTCAACTCACGATATCTTCAATAAACGGCAATTCAATAGAAAAATAATGCTTATTCCGGCGGTAGTTCAGAATGCATCCATAAACTTGAACCATTGCGAATTCTACCTCGGTTTTCGGGCCAACCCTTCTCATCATCTCTTCTTCCAAATCTCCCCAGCTCGAAACTACACTACCCAACCATTTCCAGTTGTTGTAGAACCGCGTGAGAAACGCAAAAAGCGGAAATTCCACAGAAGTTTCAACCACTAGTTGAGAAATGACATTGTAATAGTTCTTTCGGAATAAAAAAGCGTGTTGAATAGATGGAAGCTCTGCGTGGATGAATGGGACAATTCTTGTACACGACCCTCTCGCATTCATAACAACTGTTTGATTAATTTCCTGATGGATCATTGAAAACCTCAATGTGGCTTTGCACAGTTTTCTCATCTCTTCAATTGGCACGATGTTTGATGCCAATGACAAGGCGGTCAATACTGGTGGCTCTCCTAAAAACCAGAATATCGTCCCGTGCAAAGGTTGTCCTACCTAGAACCAAAAGAGAAGATTTTGATTCAACATATGCTTGAAGAAGTTTTCCGATCGTTTCTCCTCCACTCCCTGGAGCTGAGTGAATAATGACAAGTTTGCCGCGGAAAGGAGGGAGTGATCTGGATACCCTTTCAAAAACATCGATTTGAATACGAGCAAGTTTTTCGGCATTTTGATAAAGGTAATTTGATAACTTGGAGCATTTGTCAATAGAAAAAGATACGTCATCTTTCGATGAAGGTACCTTTACCAGATACAAATATCGGTCAGTGATACTATAGATAAACCATCTGAAACAGAGACGATATGGAACTCTTAAATCATACAAAACTTACCCTTTATCACATAATTCCTCAAAAAGAGCAGTCTTTTCATGGAATGACAAAAAGTCAGATTCTTTCGTCACATCTGTGGAGTCAAATCGGAATCTGAAAAACCTATTCAATGTTTTAAAAAAAGTGTCTATACCTGGTAAATATATTAAATATTTCAACTTCGTCGTCAGCGGATTTTTTATCAAATAATCGAAGAAGTAAGGCATAGATATCCGACTCGATCAGTAGAACTATGTGAATGAATCGAAAAAGTAGATAAACTAAAGTACGCAGAAGATGTGTTTCTTTCATAGCGGATGATTTCTGCAAATACATTGTGTGGGGAGAAGCGTTTTGGCTAAAGTAGAAAATTGACTTCGTTTCTTTTCTCTCAATCATAGGGCTACTTGGACTGCCTGAAGAAAACCTTGTGAAAATTTAGAAAACAAAAAGAAAAGAAATGCAAAAGAGTGTATAAGTTTGTGTGTGTGTGTGTGTGTTGGGGATGCTGTTATATTAAATTTCCCGTTTTTGAGTGGAACAGAGAAATCCCTGGGAAAAGATTATTGCTTCGTGTTGTGATTGACCAACTTGCTGAATGCGTTTTGCAAATGGAAAAACGTAATTTCGTTGAAATCTGAGTCCATGAGAAAGGCAATGGCGTGTGAAATTGTGAAATTGGCATAATAATTTGTACCTATGCAATTTTGTGGGAACCCGGTAGACATGGATTGCAACAAATGTTTTAATTTCAAGCTGAAAGCTCACGTAAAAAAAACTCGAAATCTACGTATTCTTCGGTAACGAGTCGTTACTAACGACTTGATAGCCGTCGCTGGGAAAATACGAAAGAAAGTCGTGGGTACCTTGAAGACTGTTCTTCGTGAGCTAATGCCTTCAGAGTAAATCTAACGATTGTTCCGTTAACGTGGAAATGCCTAGATGAACTCGGGAAGCAAAAATTACATGGAAGAGCTCAAGATGTTCGGAGATTTGCAAAACCTCACCTCTATTGTGAACCGACGAGAGGATAGATATAGGAATAGCACAGGAGAGACAAACACACGCAAAAGCAAACATTTTCAATTGAGAGCTTGATTCAATAAATCTATCTTGGTATAAACTACGGTATTTTTTGAAAATTTACCCAAGAAATTTTAATATTTTCAAATATTCTCACTAAATCTAAACTTTTTTCAAAAAATACCGTAGTTTCATGGTATACGGTCACACTTGTTTCAGCTGTGCACACCCCTTTTTTCTGTAGAATTGCGGCGAGCTTTGGACAGCGAAAACACTACAGATTTAGCAGACTTTGGTGACTTTGGACTCGGCATAAAATATCGAAAGTTGTTCATTCACTTTGAAAAACCACTTCCTCATCAACAATAATGACCATCACGGAAAAACCTGTTGTCGCTGGTCTTCAGATAGCGTTGTATCTTCTTCATCATAAAATATTGCAAAACTATGGAAGTCCAACCTATTCTTTTTTTTGCTGCTGAAGGGACTTCTGTTTGTTAAAAAAAAAGATGTTCTAGAATCCAATATGTTTCAGAGTGAATTCGAAACTAACGTTAAAAAATTGGAGAAAAGAGGATATGAATTATTGCAAGCGAGGGATGAAAAAGGCCGAAATGCCCTTTTCCACGCAGCAATTACGGACAATGTCAAAAATTTTTTGTACATCATAAAGTGAGTTTATAATATTTGCAAAACGGACATTTCCTATTGGTGTTCTTCAGTGCTAGTTTTCTTTTGCTTTTTTTACTTCAAAAATCCAATTGAACGATGTAAAAAACGTTAAGAAAAACGATAGAAAACATCCGCTGAATAACCATATTAAGGAAAATAAATATTCGATCTGATGATTTGTTGGCAATTCGTGACAACAGTCAGGCCACTGTTCTTCACTGGGCTACACAATATTCTGCGGGGAAAGTGAGATACTGTCAATTTGCGGAAACTTAAGTATTCTTTCAGGTTGTTAGAGAAATTTTGGCAATGTTTGATAACAAAGCAGTAGGCATTATTATTGAAAAAGACTTCGAAGCAGTTACACCATTGCATATAGCAGCAACTAAGTTTGACACAAAAATTCTTAGGGTTCTATTTCAAAATTCTGCATATACAGAATTTCATCGCTTTTTAGATTTTTCTGGATAACCTTAAGTATCTTCCAAATACCGAAGAAGTTGGAGTGAAGGCTCAGGATAAACGGAATCGTTCACCACTTCACTATGCTGCAAGTTGTGCCAACAAAGATGCGATTCGTGTTATTTTAGGTCAGCTCTTTTATTTTAAACTAGTTATGTCCAGAATTACTCGAGATTTTTATTCTGTCTCTGCAAAACATGATTACGTGGATGTGCATATTGCCTAGTTCTCGCAAACTTGAGGAAAAAAACAAATAAATTCCGAAGATGCACTTTGCAGATCCTAATGGTCCAAACTTTGGCTTCACAGTCGATCAGCGTGATAAGATTGGTATAATTCCGTTAATGTGCGCTGTCGGAGTAAACTCACCACATTGTATTCAAGTGATTCGCTATTTGGAGAAGAAAAAACCAGTATCCAAAACTCGGCAAAATCGAGACGGAATGACGGCTCTTCACATTGCCGTGGCCGCTAGAAATTTGGATGCTGTGAAGCTACTGATAGAGCTGGAATGTTCTATTGATCTCGTTGACAACGAACAACGTACGCCATTACATTATGCTGCCGAGCATGGATATCCCGAGATTGTAGAGTATCTTTTGAGCGAAGGAGCAAGAAACTCAACCAGAGACCATATTGGAGCAACTCCCGCCCACTATGCAGCTCAATTTACGGTGGAATGTCTTAAAATCATATTCAAACAAAGCAGGATCTCCGAGGTGAAGGACAATGAACAGAGAAGTTGTTTGATGTGGGCAGTATGTGCTGGAAATGTGGATGTGATAAACTATTTGATTCAAAGAGACGATGCACCCGATCGGAGAGCTATTGACAAACATGGCTATACTGCTCTGCACTTGGCAGCAATGGTGGGAAATGAGAAGGTTTGCAAGATTCTCATAAATCAGGTTAGTTTGGTATGATTAAAAAACTAATATATTAGGTTTCAGGGTTGGTCATTGTCTGAACGTGATAACCACGGCAATACAGCACTTCATCTAGCTTCCGGAAGAGGTCATACGGATGTTTTACGTTGTTTGGTGGCCTCTGGAGCTCACATGAGCGACGTTGACGAAGTGGGCCGAACTGCTGTTTTCTGGGCGTGTATGGGTGGACAATCGCACACATTACATTGTATGATCAAAGAATTGAGTTTTGAGTGGAGAACTCCTGGAACGAATGACACTAGGCCTATAACCGATAACTTCGGACGAACGGCTCTCCATGCTGCTGCAAATGCAGGTTTTTCTGCGTGCATTAACGTCCTTTTGAATGTAGGTTACTCTGAGTTTTTGTCGACGGTATGTAACCCATGTTTCAAGATTGAGCAAGAGGACAATTTTTTGACATCACCGCTTGTTGGATGCCGTGACAAAAATGGGGAAACGGCTCTTCACGTTGCTTGTGCGGCTGGAAAGTTCGATTGTGTTCTATCATTGCTCAAAGGAGGAAGTGCCATTAATGCAGTTGGAAAAACTGGAAACACTCCACTGGACTGTGCCATGTCTTTTATTCCAGTTAACCAAATAATAATCGATCATCTTATCAGTGAAGGGGCGTATACGTACGACGGCTTGAAAGAAACTGCATCCACAGTGATTCAAAGATTTTGGAGGTAGAGCTTAATATGACTTTCATGAAGTTTTAAAGCGTTGTTGTATTCAGGAGAAGAATCCAACTTGAGAGACAAAAGCATCTTCACCGGAATGTCTACATTTGTCAAAACTTGTAGAACTCCTGCGGAGATTTACCAAGATTCAACATTTCATAAAAGTACCACAGTGTTATTCAACAAGCGTTCGTTCGACTTTCCATTTTGAATGAGAGAGCGATAATATACCGGAAGCAGTTAAAGAGGAAAAACTCTCCAAAGTGACGAGAATGTGCCATTTGTTGTAGTGAAACGCGTCACAATCGTATACTCATTCAGACTACGTCGAACGTCTGATCAAAAGGAGCTCGACAAAAAGAGAGTTTTAGCAGTTATCTGCATCTGCTAAATATGCTAATTAGTGCTAAGAACAAGAAGAGCCGGATGTTTTTTATACTTTCTTCATCCTTTTCAGAGTTTTTTTTCGGAACGCCTAAGCGCATAAATTCATCGTCTCTTTTCCTCTATTTTTATTCGTATTTGCGTAGATTAACAGTCCGGAACTGCAGTGTTTGTCATACAACAGAATTCCTAACAACTTTTATCCATCCTCAAAAATCTCAGAGTAAGTCCATGACAATATAGCGAGTGAAAAGTCACTTCAGAATATGTTCAATTTCAAGTGAGAAAATGATTCATAGCTATTAAATAATATTGCTCTACAGATGGTATCAAATATTTCCTATTACTAATAGTATGAGCAAAAAAAACTTCATTCAAGAGCGTAGTTGGTTACACCTGAGTATTTTCTCATACTGCATCATTTCGGCATTCATTTCGAGCCGACTAGTATGCGTGGCCCGAAAAATAATCTCAAGATCCTGTGTGTTTTTGTTTATTTTCCATATAGTCAGCTTATCCCGACTTTTTTGGCAATTCATTTTTTGCGGACATCTTGTTCACGTGAATTTCAGTTCTAAATAATGTAAAATTTTTTAATAAACATTTTTACCTTGCATTTTTCGATATGCGATGTTTTCGCGAATGGATAATATCATTATTGAGCACAAATGAGCCCATTAATTTAATGCCATTGACTGGAACAAGACGCAATGTCCCTGTCATAACCATCATGAAAGAGATAATTTTTTTGCTCTGACAAGATCCTTCAAACTTTATTCATACTCTTGACTTAATTTTTCACATATCCACGTCAATTTACTCCGACTTTTAATTGCATTAGAAGATACCACAACACTTCCATTATATTCGAAGAGCTATTGAAATGAAATTAACTCTTGCTCACACTCATTTTGTGCAAAAATGTCAGATCCCAGCGTTGTTGGGTATTATAGTAATGTATTCTTGCATAAACTCTCATTATTTTCTAACATAGATGTGCCTAGCTGCATTTAGGCATCTCATTAATTAAAACTTTTTACCTCACTGGTTTCATACTTTCCGCTTCGTTTCCTTTCATTGTTTCTCACAGAGTTTTCTTCGCGTTTTGAGTAAACTTTTTAGATTGTTACGTCGGCTTCATCAAAAGACACGAGGACATAGTATCTCACAATTTGCTACCTACTTTATCACCTCATTCAACAACCTATATGCGCTTTGCCGTGTTTTTATGCCTCCAGCACCCTCTCATGCTCTCTTTGCTCAGATATTGGCAAACGGAGGCGGTCGGCACTTCATATATACAGTTATTTATAATTGGTAATGCAAATATACGTTTGCGTCGAATATTACGTAATGTTTGGATATCTTCCTCTTCTAATCCACGTCTACAAGAAGTATACGGTAGATCGAGGGTCAATTTTGGTGCTCAGCTAGCTTCATTTTGAGAGCATTTGTAAAAAAACGCGACTATCTTCCAATTCATTTTCTGTTTCTGGGGTGCAATAAGTCTAACTGAGAAACCGCTTTTCGAATCATCCCCTTCTAGACCACCGAAGATATAATTTCAAAATTTCTCTTAGTTGTATGTCCAGAGGAGTCGGCATGTCTCTTCTTTTTCTACCCCAAACGCACCTTGATATTATGTCACAATGACTCTATGTCAAATAGGGAATGTCAGGTCGGATTGACTGAACTTACCGATATTATGATTCCGTGGAGCAGCAATAAACTTAATTTCGCGGCCAACTCTCCGATGCATTTATGCCTCGCAGTCTCAAAAATAGAGTTTTGACTCTTTTGAGCAGGTGAAATCTGAGAAAGAGAGACAGGAGACATTTCGGATCGTTTAGAATAGAAACATTCCAGCATCTAGATCTCTCCATACTATTCAGTAAAAATTCCATTATAAAAACATCCTGCAAAAATGAGCTACACCATTTTGAGGGCTTATAGGAACCAGAATATTGAACTCTCATGAATTTGAAAACATACTTCTTCAATGAAATAATTAAATCAAGATTTGGCTCTTCTCCAGAGACACTACACCTCGTTTTCATAAATATCCATCTCATTTCCATGCTTTGCCTATTCGTCCACCACTTCTACACCATTCTACCCTCCTCAGTCGCTTCCTCTCTCTTTTTGCTCATTTCTCACGACAGATACACGAATTTTTAATTCTCAAAAATAACTTCGGGAGGTCTGTGTCCACCACAACTTGCTTTTGCTCCTCCAATGTTTGTTTTGGATGTTCTTTGTACTTCAGAATGAACCTCAACTATGGTATTATAGTCTCTGTGGTCTACTATATTCTACCAGTTCAGGGCGTACTCCGCTGTTTCTCAGGTCAGTTTTTTTCTGGAAAATCAAACTAATAAAAACTCAGGACACTCACAATATGCGACTCAGTGCACATCTCAATCCTATTGTGTCTCTATCACATCAAAGACCGGACCTGTTCAAAGATCGTGTGATGGTGATTGTTGCTTTTCACTTCGTAACGTTAGATATTAAAATTTGAGGCAATTCAATCTCTCAAATCTCATTGTGCTCCATGTACGCTATGCATGGAATCCCGAGGACCGTGCAGACCGATTACTCCAATTTCCCCATCTCTCTAGGTGGCCCAGCTTCACAGGGTTCGAGTTTTGCATTTAGTCAACTTTGAAATTTCGCTTGACTGCGTGGCAAGTCGTGTAGAGAAGACTGAACATTTGTGCAGGACTTTTAACGAAAGCCCAGACAGAGGCATACGGTGATACTAAAATATTCTTAAAATAATAATTTACTTTAGCCGGATCTCTATCAAAAATCTCATCCACATCGTCCCGCAGTTCTCGCCGAGCCCCAATGCAAATGTGCTTTAACGCCGGAGATCTGGGAGACATTTGTTGCTGCAACACAGACTTCTGCAACTCTTCCCGTTCAACCCTAGTATTTTCAACTCTTGTGTTTTTTTCACTTTTTATTATTATTTAGAATACTCTTCTTTTCGTGAAAAGATTATGTGATCACTTATGGGTACTTTTTGTAAAATTAATATATTCTTCCACATCAACTTTCTACTCTGTCGCTTGTGTTTTTCACATGTATTTACTCAACAAAATCAAACAATTCATTTTTCTCTGTTTATCGAAACATTTTATTAGATGGTAAGAGTTGCACACGTGTATCCTGTAATGTTTACGACTTGTGGAGCATATTTCAATGCGCACGCGTACTGAGTTGTATCCATGTTCTGAAAAATACTATTTTCTCAAGCGCTCTACATATTATTATGCATTTCGCCGGACTGTGCGACGTGAAGCCTTTTGGAGGCGAAAAACAGTGAACATTTTCAAGCTTGCGACGCGTGCGGAAGTTCTGCGCCTTTAAATACGAGACTGATATTATGCATTCGCCGGAGTGTGCGTTCTCTGGCATTTCGTTATTAATCTAACGGCGGCCTAATAAGATTGATATGACACCTAATTATAATAGATTAATACATTTTCTAGCTAGATTAATAAATCTTCTAGCTAATAAGTGCTCAAATCAAGTTTCACGCCAACCGTCTGCTGGCTTAAATCTCGATTTCGCCAAGAAAAAACAGTCGAATCTAATTAGGTCGCGTTTAGATCAGTAACTTTCTAATTAGATTAATATCGAATTGCCAGAGTTTGACGCTTAGTATTTACGAGATCCGCCGTCGAGAATCGCGTCAAGTCGCACACTTCGGAGAATATAATAGAAAACGGTAGATCACGATATCTCATTTTTTTGAACAAATCCGATTTCAGACGCTTTCTGTTGCAATTGTTAACAAAATGACTGAAAGGGTTTGTAAATATACAATCTTCCCTTCATTTCTCTCCAACAATACAAAAAAATGAGAAAAAAATACTGATCTACCGTATCCGCCTCGAATTTAAAAAAGCAGGACCTCAGCGCGCATTGCTAAGTAATTCTAAAATTTTCGCACCACGCGTCCCTCGCCGTTGAGAAAAGCGTCAAGTAGCACAAGCCGGCGAATGCGTAATACCACTTCTACTAGCTTACCTGTTCTACAAACTTTGTGCAAATTTTATCAACATACGCCTTTGTGATTGCTGCCTTCGCAATAGCATACAGTTTCTGAAGGCAAGCTTCTTGAGTACTTCCTGCCGCTTTGCATGCTTTCAATTTTTTTACACACTGAAATTTTTTCAACTTTGCGTTACAAAAAATTCAAGAAAAAACCTTGTTCAGAAGAACTTTCACTAGCTTCTTGCCTGGGGTTGCCCACGTTTCAGCAAGTGATAAGATATCGTCAGGATCAAGGCAACTATTAACTGAAAATAATTAATTGCAAGCTTGGCCTAGGCCACATCAAGAAAATATTGCATGAATTTGAATTTCGCTGATTTTCAATGTAGGCGAACAAGAAACTTCATGCCGCATTAAGAATGAAATTGTCATTAGGATATTCATCTCTTACTATTTGTGTACAAGCTGAGAGCAGTAATAGCTTTGCTTCCAGAGTTGTTGATGATGCAGTTTTTTGCGGCTGAAAAAATAAAAAAAATGTTATTACATTTGAAGGTACTAAACAGTACTTGTGATTATTGCAGTAGAGTTAGTTGGTGTAGAATAGAATTGAGGGTCCGCGCATTCGAGGATGGTCTCAAGCTGGGCTGCAGTATAGAACGTAACACCGAGAGTCACGACTTTTGCAGCCATAGCAGCTCTGTTATCCGTGCAAAGGACGGCCTGATAATATGTTGCGAATAATAAAATTGAAAAGAATCCACGCATTCTCAATAGTAGGTTTCGGCTGGTTTTTTTCTGTTGCAGTATCCTCTTTTATAGGTGTCATCGTTCACAGTTCAAGATCAATTCTTATGAAAACAGATGAACTGGATTACAAGAAAAACTACATGAGTGTGAAATTATAGTTTTTGATCGGTTGTCGGTTACAGAAACAAAGTTCGCGTTCATTACGTGAAAGATTATGGGTAGTGCGAGAGATACCAGATTTATGTTCCGGCATGAAAATCAGAATCAGAAGAAACAAGGAGAAATTACTCTTCTTCAGAACTCGATGCAGGTTGGCTGGACGTTTTTGAGATTATAACAGTTGCTGGATGAGTTTAAATCTCGCACCAATCGATTCCACGTCTAATTTTAGCGTAGCCACCAGAGTTGAGCAGAAATGGAATTTTGAAATCCGGAAGACGGCAGACGGCAGACGGAAGAAAATTTTTCTTACGGAACACGGAAAACGAAAGACGGAAGAAAATTTTTCTCACGGAAGACGGCAGACGGAAGACGGAAAAAAACTTTTTTCCCGGAAGACGGCAGACGGAATACGGAACAAAAAATCGTCAATGCAGAGCCTTTTTCTCCGGTTTTTTTTGAAAAAAATAACTAAAGCAACAAAAATTCGGTTCGTCTGTTAAGACGCAATTTCCTGTGGTATTTGTTCTGAACTCTTCAAGGATACACACCATTGTTGGTCTGTCCATGCTTATGAATAAACTGAAGTCCATTCCTGGGATCACCTCCTACACACCCAGGAGTGTCACCTGAATCAGCACAATCACAAATTTATTGATCAGAAAGACTTGTACATTGTTTTCTACTTAGAGCGTTAGCAGTTTCAGCAATGGCCGTTGCCGCAAACGCCCAACAACAACCACATGATTCTGAAACGTTCTTATTGTTTTCTGAATGCTGTAAATGGTGTATATAATAGGACTCCCATTCACGTAGACGTTACAAAGATCGAAATTATCAGGTACTACATTCTCCCGCTTAGACCGTTTGTGTCTCGGGAATCTCGGTTTATAAACGGGAAGAGCAGAATGATTGGCCGGATGGAGTTTCGAGAGTCTTGCGTGGAATTCCTCCTTGCTTTTGTCGGCAAACTTGTTGACACCAAACGTCACATTTCTGCCGTCTTTTCTTGGCGCAATGTTGAGCTCTTCAATATGTTTGTGATTCTTCTCAAAGTGTCCAAGCCGTTTCTTATGCTCTGCAGTTGTCTTGTACTTCCGACCGTGCTTCTGCTTGAACTTATCGAAGCGCTTTTGGACGTCAGAAGAATCGCTATTATTATAGCGGCACCGCACAGAAATGGCGCTCTGCTGAGAAACTCTTTTTGCAGTGCAAATTGAGCGACCTCGGGGCCGAGTTTGAAAAGTTAAGCCACGTTTTCAGTGGAAAGTTACTTCGCGGCCTAGAAGTTCGGCCAGATTGCTAACAGCGCGCCCTTTCTGTCCAGTGCCCCTATAATAGTTTCAACTGCTACAGAACATAGAATAAAAACGAGTATTGGAAGTATTGGAAGCACATTCATCGGAAAGAAAATACATGAACCACATGACCCTCCTGTGAAACATTTAAAGCCGCAGGAAACGCATAAAATTATTTGATAGTTTTTATGATGCTTCTGTTGAAGAGCTTTGTTTCGTCGAACTTCCTGTTAAGATGGTCGTCGAAGAAAGAAGGTAGCAATAATGCCAATAGACCAATCTTTTATTACAAGAACCAATTCTCTACTGCTTTACTGATTACGTTTTTACGTGCTTCAAAATGCGATAACTTACATTCAGAAATTTTTTGTTCTTCTAACTGCCCATACAATGTGCGATTCAGAACTCTTAAAATTGTTTGTAAGCTAACTGTTGAACAGTTCCACGACACAGTCAAGTTCACCATTTCCTTTCTACGCATTTTATTGAGATTTAGACAGTTCATGAGAAAACGACACCAAATATAGGAGAAAAAATGCACATTAGACCGACATTGAGAGAAAACTGAGACGCTAGTAAACTCTGACGTTTCCCTGTTTTTTAAAGTCTCATTGAACTTTCTTTCAAGTGATCATAGACTGAGGACAGTAAACATTTCGGTTTATTGAAGAAAAAGGCGAGATAAACAATACCCATTGGGAATTTTCGGAAGACTGACAGTTGACTCATCAAGGCAGGACTCGGTGTTGGCAGTGGCAATCTCACTGTCAACACAGAGATCCGAGAAGTTCGAGTTCAAATGTCAACAAGCAAAAAAGTTTTGACGCTGGAATATACAAATGCTTCGAGCACATACACAAAAAATTTAGAGAAGGGCAAAAGCTGTGACTCCAATGAACGAAAGGACAGCGGTGGTTTTGCCGACAGAGTTAAAAAACTGTTGGTTGCCTGCCTGATCGAATTGTCTTCCCGAGGAAGTGGTTCCGTACAGGGCTTGGCTGGTGTATCGTGGAGTGGTGGTTCCGTATTGGTTGTTACCGTACTGCGATTGGGTGTTGGCGTATTGTTGGTTGGTGTTCGAGTTGTACAGCTGGTTCTGGTTGTAGCCTCTAGTCGTAGTTTGGTATTGGTTACTATAAATTATATCATATTGAAGGCCATGTCACGTAAGAAAAGGCTTCTCGGTTAAGTTATCACGTACTTGTAATACTGCTGATTGGATGATGGTTGCTGTTGTTGATATTGATACTGGGCGAAAACGCAGGCAACAAGAAGTGCGGCAACAATGAAGTATTGCATGATTATCTGAAAACAATGAAAATGTGGATTAGAAGAAAGATTGAGTGAAAGTGAAATGAAATGACACAAACAACTGTGAGCAACTCGTGCCATTAAATAGTTGACTTCTTGCGCAGACCACACCCCGTGCCAGAATTACTGTTTACCTACTCACAAATCCACTTACCTCTCCCTCCTGCTCTTTCTGTCATCGTTGTCGTAGCTATTATCAAGAGAGCCTCAAAACGTCGAAATCAAACAAAAAAGTGTTGAAAATAGAGAATTGTTCCTGATCGATGAGGCACACTGACGGCCAATAAGTTCCTGTGGGAAACTTGTTGGCTTTACTAATTAGTCTGTTAACGCTATGATGTTGTGCTCCCACTATCCCAATGTTGTGATTCTTGCTTTCAGACATGTTTATTGGACGTTCCGAAGCACAAAAACACATGGAAGATTATTAGAATAATAGGTATTTTGCCGTTCTAGCGCACCTTTTCGTCCATTTGGCGATTTTACCGATTTTGATCCATTTCAAGGACTATTTTAATCAAAAACATGTTTCAACTCTTCGAAAATGTGTGATTATCAACAATTTTCAAAAATGGTCAAAAGGTCGAAATGCGTCAGAATAAAAAAAGTGGTCGAAATGGATGATCAAACTGGTCGAGAAAACTGCGCTAACAATTTGAATAAAAATAATCTTAATAAATGCATTTTACAAAAGACCTGAAGCCTCTGACCAACCTAGACCTCGAAGAGCTTGCCAATGGGTTAAAAATCAAGAACTTCCTAGGATTCTTCATGCGAGACACTTTACCAACAAAGCGAAAAGTCAAGGAAGTTGGAATTGTGAATCTGCCTCTTCCACAAAAATCTTGATTCTTCAAATAGTAAAGGTACTCATTGCGTTTGTTATTCCAAGAAAAGTAAGGAATGCTATTACTTTGATTCCTTTGGATTAGATCCACCTTAACCTTGTGAACTTTAAAGTTCACAAGGTTAAGATTTTTTGTAGTAAGTAGTGTTATAAAAAACAACCTCTTAAATGATGAAACAATATGGAATAAATTTATTGAACAAATCTGTTATAACATAAATCAAAATTCACATTCTCATTAGCTTGAACTCCTTCTTCTTCCAATTGATATCAATTGACAAGTCCAATGCCTCCTGCGAGTCTGCTCCAAGGATATTGGCGTTGGAGAAATGTGCTTTGGAGAGGTGACATTCGATATTTGTCGTTTCATCCTGAACATTTGAATTAACCATTAAACTCTAAATAAAGGAAAACAAACTTGTATGGCGAGACTGTGGAGGCCATGTGTGAATCCTTTTCCGACGATTGATTTCAATGATTTTACGGTCAGGTATGTGTAAGGAGCTCCAGAATCAACAATAAACCAACAATTGACAGCATTAGCATTCAATTTCCCTGAAAGATTTCATTATACCTAAATATAAGTTATCATAGAAACTCTTTTTGCAGTGCAAATTGAGCGACCTCGGGGCCGAGTTTGAAAAATTAGCAGTTTTTCCGACCTTTTGGCATTTTTTTCCGACCTTTTGGCATTTTTTTCCGACCTTTTGGCATTTTTTTCCGACCTTTTGGCATTTTTTTCCGACCTTTTGGCATTTTTTTCCGACCTTTTGGCATTTTTTTCCGACCTTTTGGCATTTTTTTCCGACCTTTTGGCATTTTTTTCCGACCTTTTGGCATTTTTTTCCGACCTTTTGGCATTTTTTTCCGACCTTTTGGCATTTTTTTCCGACCTTTTGGCATTTTTTTCCGACCTTTTGGCATTTTTTTCCGACCTTTTGTCACTTTTTGAGTTTTTAACATTTTTGAAAATTGTTGAAAATCCCACATTTTGCAATGCGGAAATCCACAGGTATTCCTGCCGCGGATGGCGGCTATCGCTATCGCACTGATTTATGTACCGCTCTCATGTAATTCACTCAATTCAAAAATATCAGACATGCTCGCCACGGCCCGGCTTTTCATACATAGGACTTTCGGTTTTTTCAATATATCTCCAGAACTCGAACATAGAGACCTCTGATTTTTTGATAATGGGGTTATTCAGGCAGTGAAAAAAATGTTTTTTTTCCGTTTTTTTACGTCAAAAAACCCAATTCAGCGGTGTAAAAAACGAAAAAAAAACCGATATCCATAAGAGTTCAATTTTACTGGGTTCTTCAAAATGAGCCAGGTCAGAGGTAAATGTAAGGTTTCTGAGAGAAGTTACAGCTTCACAATTTCCACTCCTCCGTATTCTTTGCCGACCCGTGACTGGCGACCGCGTCCGCATTTTCACGTGGACTGCGATAGAGCGACATTGCCAGAAATGTGTAGTGCTATCTCAAATCAGAACTTTTTCATCAGAGAAAATCCTGGCGAACTGTCAGATAAAAAGCCGAAAGCATGTTTTCTGTAAAATGATACCATCATACTGTAGAGTCAGGATACTGTAGATTTCCGAAGTTTTGTGCATTTTTATTCCTGCAAAGAACAACCTGAAGATCTGGAAGATGGATCAGTGGAACTAAACTCGTCAGTTTCATGGTATTTCGTTGCTTGTTTGATCGAATGGCAACCGGCAAGACAAACATTCGTCTACACGCTACATGAAATTGCTTGCTTCTTCAACCTCTGCAAACACGGTTTGTCAGACAGACAAATCAGAACGAACTAGATAATCAAATAATAATTCATTAGAAACAGTAGAGATCAATTTTCAAGCTTATAATTACTAAAATTATTTACATTATTTTTAAAATCATCACTAAAATACGTTACCCATCTCGCATAAATGATAAGAGAGAGTCGACTTTCTTGCACAGCGAGCTACCATACAATTTCTGGTAGTTCAGCTTTTGCCATCTGTGCTCTTCCGGTGGCGCCGATTTTTCATTCACAACAAACTTCCGAACAAAGATTTCAGGCTCCGATTCAACGTGAAAAATGAAAAGAATCGACTTCGAGGCGGCCTGATTGCACAGAATTATGTTAGGAGCAGGGCATCCTTTGTTGTCCAGTGCGTAAATGTTGGCATACATTATTTGGAACGGAGTAAACCATGGATTTTTTGAGAGTACGGATACCATCGTCACCGAATAGGAACAAACCTGAAATTATAAGAAGGTTGAAATTTGAAAATTTTTTACTTTGACATTCAAGTTGAGTTCTGTAATGGGGCTATTCAGGGGAAGAAAAAATGATTGTTTTCCGTTTTTTCCCTATTCAGCGATGTCAAAAAATGGGAAAAAACGGAAAGAAATGCATCGCGCGCAGCGTTTTTTTCCGGCAGGTCTCGCAGCGATTTCCCTGACGCTATGCATGCGGCTATTACAGGGGCACCGGACAGAAAGGGCGCGCTGTTTGCAATCTGGCCGAATTTCTAGGCCGCGAAGGAAATTTCCACTGAAAATGTGGCCTAACTTTTCAAACTCGGCCCCGAGGTCGCTCAATTTGCACTGCAAAAAGAGTTTCTTAATAGAGCGCCATTTCTGTGATGTGCCCCTATAATACTGTGAGAGACGTTTTATGAGTGGATTTACGAAAGTTTTTCTAATTTTTCAGCGAAATTGCCACGTTTACCGCTATTTCCGACCGATTTCGCTTAAATTCTTTTTTAAAAATAGTTTTGAGTGCCTCGTCATATCGTTCAAAACATTGAGCTTTTCGGTGAAAATCGGTTCAGAATAGCGGGAAAACGCGACAATTTCGCTGAAAAATTAGAAAATTTTTTGTAAATCCTCCCGTTCTCGTAAATCTACTCATAAAACGTCTCTCACAGTAGCCGCATGCTTCGCGTTCAGGAAATCGCTGCGAGATTCGCCGGAAAAAAACGCTGCGCGCGATGCATTTCTTTCCGTTTTTTTAAACCATTTTTTGACATCATAACCACTTTTCTGTCTCATGCCGGAAAAATATTGTAACCAATTACATTACGTGAATTCTGCCTAAAGTACAGGAGTTCTTTCCTTCAAGGAATTAGTGAGCCAGTTGCGTTTTCTTAATTGCATAAGTAAGGTGAATACTTTGACACAGTTTATTGATAGGTAGAGTCTACCTATCAACCTACATCAGAGTTGAGCGGAATTCCGTCTGCCGTCTTCCGTCTTCCGTGGATTTTTTGTTCCGTCTTCCGTCTGCCGTCTTCCGGATTTCGAAATTCCATTTCCGCTCAACTCTACTAGACATAAGCACGCATGATGAAGGTGAGTACAATGGTATTTTTATAAACAAAAATCGATTTTCTACCCCGGTTTCCAGAGTTGAGTGGAAATGGAATTTTGAAATTCCGGAAGAACATTTTTTTTTTACGGAAGACGGAACAAAAAAATCGTCAATGCAGAACCTTTTTCTCCGGTTTTTTTTTTGAAAAAATAACTAAACAACAAAAAATTTCATGATCTGGTTCACTGTGCGTGGAAATTCGCGTTCTTCGGGGCTACTCTGGCAATTCGATATTAATCTAATTAGAAAGTTACTGATCTAAACGCGACCTAATTAGATTCGACTGTTTTTTCTTGGCGCAATCGAGATTTGAGCCAGCAGACGGTTGGCGTGAAACTTGATTTGAGCACTTATTAATCTATCTAGAAGATTTATTAATCTAGCTAGACAATTTATTAATCTAATTAGGTGTCATATCAATCTTATTAGGCCGCCGTAGAGCTCGAGTACACTACGATTAGATTAATAACGAAATGCCAGAGGAATAGTAAATGGCTTCTGAAAGGCTATTACTCTTTTACGGCAAGAAGAAAAAATCCCGGAAGACGGAAGACGGAACAAAAAAATCACGGAAGACGGGAAACGGAAGACAGCAAACGGAATTCCGCTCAACACTGCCGGTTTCCCTGCAAAAAGGCGTCAAATCGGCGGTGTCGGCGTCAAAATGGCGCTAAAACCGGCGTGAAAACGGCTCCAAAAAAGCAAATCAGAAAGGTTTTTAACACAATTCTGTACCACTCCCAGTGTTTACCATTTCCTCTCATTGTACTGATCTCGATCTTCCGTATTGATGCTTGCGTATCAATAAACTATTTTACCATACATCCTACTGATAAAACAACCTCTTATGTATTGTCAAAAATGAATTTGTATGAAAAGAACAGAATTGTCGTATTGCGAACTATCGGACGATTTTCTGCCCAAAATACGAACAAATAGATTTAATTGCTAGGGTGTTCTTATCTCAATACTTTTCTGTAAAATTTGCCCGATTATTTTACAATTTTGAAAGGTTTCCGTTAAAAATAATAAATTCCGGTTTAAGAGACGCATGGGAAAAGTCAATATTTCTAGAGTCACGTGAACAGCAAGAAAAAAGCAAAAAGGAGGAGAAGCGTTTTGGCACATTAATTTTTCAACAGATTTTCATACAGTTGATCAGGTCGATGGAAGCCAGGAAAATATTATATGCTCAACTTACGGTATATTGGAACGCGTACAAGATCCTGCCAGGATCCCTCTGGCACTTCATAACCAATCCGTCTTTCGTTTCCACTTCCACATCGTGTGACGAAATATTCGCAAAGAATACACTCCGAACGCTGCAGCTTATCAAGGGGTGAATTTTTGAAATAATACGTAACTTACGATCCATAGCCCTCATACTCTTTTGACGTCATGTGGAAAAGCAGCCTAGAAAACGTTCGACCGCAATTCAACCACCTATATTGAACCATCGGATCGATACTTTGACTGATTTTTTCGGCGGCACATGTGACCACTTGCACTAGCTGATGATGAGATGCCACGTCAAGCATGCGCTCCAGAATCGATTTAGGTTTGATTGAGCGATCTTCAATTTGTTGAGTCGAATAAGCACCGCATCCTCGGAGATCCAGTGTCTCAGGCAAATGAGTCACCGGCATGGAGCAGAAGAATTGAGGACGAATGAATTTTGTGCACTCGAAGCCGATGATCATCTCTCTCAAGACTCGATTCAAATAAATATCGCCTTCTTCTTTGATCTCTCCAATTTCAAAAGGAAACCATTGCAATTCGAAACGAAGGAGGTAATCATCAAACAGACTAATCAGAAGTACATTGTCTCTGATCACAGACAGCCTATTTCGCATCTTTATCGCATCTTTGCAAAGAGTTCCGAAGATGTCTCGTAAAAGCAATGTGTTTTGAGCCCATTTCAAGGAGTTTTTCCAGTGAAGAGCTTTTACTTTTTCTGAATCAACATCCTTGTACGAATAGCAATATTTGTTTTCTTTAGGGTCGCGGAAAAGATTGCCCGATTCCACATCATCTTTCACAATAGTCACAGTCAGCATGCTTCTTCGAGCCAAATCTTTTGGTACAGAAACCTGGAAAATTGAATCATCATAAATTTTCGGTACAAAAATATTTTATGTATACTTCGATTATTGGTTGTTTCGTATTGGCCATCTTATTCGTGAGAACCCTTCTGGAAATGTCGAAGATGTTTGACGTATCGTACTTCCAGCCAACTAAAAATTATATAATTAATTTGAAGAAAAAGCAAGAAAATATTTACAGATGTGATAAGAAAGATCTCCGTAGATGTAGTCTCCAGATTTGCGCACTCGCCAAATTTCGCGCATTTCTTTCAGTTCTCTGGAAACACCACTATTAAGCTATGAAAGGCTTGAATAAATTTTTCCATCGACGAAAACGCTGACATCAAAATCAGACAAAATAAAGCGTGAAAATAAACGTTCTATTTCTCTTCGTAAAGAGAGTTTGAGGAACAAACAAACACACAAACACATACTTCAGAAATGAATTACGTGGGACCCAAATAATTAGGCGAAAATAAATCATTGGCATGCTAAATTAATTCTGGTATTTCTACATCTCTGGCTAGTAAACATCAAATATTATTTCTAAAAGTGGAAAATACTCACTCGAAAAATTGTGTCCTCTGCAAATAAGCAATGTAATCTGCCGACAAACCCAGGTTGGATGTGGCTCGTTGCCTTTGTTTTGTGGCGGTGTCGAGAACATGGACGGCTTCTTGAAGAGCCCGCCGCTTCCAGATCCATTGTGTTCCACGATTTGTGTTGATAAATTCTGGACTTGGTTCGGAGACAGTGATCGGATCAAGAACTGTCAACGCTTTCATATAGTCAGTAGTTTTGATAACTGAAAGATCGTCTAGGAGTATGTTGAGTTGATTGAGTGATTCACTGAAATGACGGTTAAGATAAACTCTTAGTACTGAATTCTTACTGTAATTGCTTGGCGACTACACTCCATGGCCCGGCTTCAGGGGTGACCAATTCCACGTTCTGGTTTCCTTTAGCCACGTTTTCATCGTCTAACTCATCCTCCGGGTCTACTTTTGAGTTTTCGTACGCCGACTGACTTCCGACAAGCTTTGTCCATTCCACTTTTCTTGCTAGCCTTCCAACATGATCGGTGAACGTTTCTGGTTTCAAATATCTCTCTACACCGTCGAAACCAATTTCTTGAATCTTCCAGTCATCGTTGGCTTCGAGTACAAGATCCACACCCTCCCTAGTTGATAGCTGAAGTTGAAGCTGTGTATTCTCACTCGTACCAGGTGTTTGCATTTATCTGCAATAATTTCTAAATCGTTTATTTTGTCTCGGTACTCTCAGATATCATAATCACATCTTTCTCGTCAAATTTCATTTGTTTTTCACACTAAACGCGTCAACTGGCTCGCGGATTGGAAGGGTGGGGTTCCGGGGCACGCAAATTTTTTTTAACGGTTTTGAGAAGCAAAAAATCAGCTCGGTACGTACAGGCGGACCCGTGTTCAAAAGTCTTGTTCCCAGATAGATGTCTTGTGTAAACTACACGTGTACTGTCTAAATAATTTCTGACAATTCAGATTTTATTATTCGAGGTAACAGGATGCACGAACCGAGCAGAGGCGCGCGATAACAAGGCGACAACCCGCATCAAGGTATGTACAATGAATTTAAATGGGAGAATCAGACAAACGGGGTGATACTGAACAAGAGTCCAACTGAGTATCTGCAAAAAACAAGAGACAACAATGTAAATCAAATGAAAACAATTTAAGCAACGATTTAGTGCATGGTGTAGTGGTTGTGTTCCTCAAGATTGCAGACTGTTCCGTCGAACTTGACTGTGATGTCGAAATCAAGGTCACGCTCGTTGTGCTTGTTTGGAGCAACTTCAAAGCGTCCGGTGATTTCTTCTCCCTTTTTCACGGTCAGTGATTCCTGGGTGAATATAATCAATGGAAAATTGTATCAAATAATATACCATGAGATAGAAGACGGTTTGCTTCCAGTGGGTGTATTGGACGTCCGGTCCGGTAGAAAACCCAGTTTTCTTGTGACACTTAGAGAATTCGACGGTGAAGAAGGTAACCAGAGCCTGAATGTAGGCTGGTCGAACAAGCGCCTGCTTTTCAGGCGCCTGTTTTTTCAACGCGCCGTTGCGTCCCTGCGTTGAGAAAACAGGCGCTTGAAAAAACAGGCGCAGGCGCCTGAAATCGCCTGTTCGACCAGCCTACCTGAATGTAATCGTTTCTGGCACACTTGAGAACGAAGTCGGAAGTGAACGACAGATCTTCAATCTTTACGGTGTATAGATCGACCTGAAAATGATGTAGTATGCTATGCGCAAAAAACTATGAACAACGTACTTCTTTGATGCAACAATTGTTGGTCACAACTTGCCCGTTGTCAACAATATCGACAAGCGGTTCTTTGATTGCGACGTTTTTGATCGCGGACATTTTGAATCCGTAGACGGAATCCCACCAATGAATTTTGTCGTCCTTGTATTGTCTGTCCTCGATGGCACACACGTACAGCTTTGCCTTATCAGGGAACAGCAGACCAGTCTCGGGTTGGAGCCATCTGTCACGGGCAACCAGAACGGTATTGAGCATAGACTCGTAGAACAAGCAGTATCCCATCCATTCAGAGATAATTATGTCAACTTTCTCAATGTTATCTGGCAGTTCCGTCACGTCCTCAACCTTAGCCTGGATAACAGTGATGATATGATCGAGGCCATTGTCTTTGATGATTTGTTGAGACGTTTTAGCCATGTTCGAGTACTCCATCTGCAACATCGTCGGAATTTAAGTTGATAAATAGTCAATGAAAACTCACAGCAAACACTCTCTTCGCACCAGCCTTGGCGGCAAACATAGAAAGAATTCCAGTTCCAGATCCAACATCCATGACAATCTTGTCTTTGAAAAGATGTCTGTTGTGGTAAATCGAGTTCCGATACGTAGTCGTTCTGACTTCGTCTTTCAGCATTTCCTGTAGATATTTTTCGAATTTTTAAAAACTTGACAAACCAGTTACCTCGTGAATACCAAAGTGGGCGTAAGAATCAAAGTAGTAGTCCTTGCTGGTGAGTGGCTTGTCATTGTTGGCATCGGTAGTAGAAACAAGGTCAGCCGGAGTTGCAGCAGGTTGAGCTTCTCCGTTGCTCATCTTGATACCGTAAAAATATTATGTTGAAATACAAAAAATGACAGGAAGATAGTAAAGTACGGCAAATGAGAGAGCACCTAAGCTCGCAAAGACTTGAGAGAATTTCTTCAGCTGTGAAGCTTTACGATTTTCATACCAAAATTTTTGTAATTACACTAGCATGATAGAAAAATTGAGAAATGAAGGCAAAATGTTTTTTGAATCGGAACCTAAAAGGGCTCGTCGCGAGACCCTTTCAAAAAAAAGCGTGCGCCTTTAAACAAAAGTCGTCCATGGCCGCGCAAAAGTTCGGTCATTTTCATGTAACGTGTTAACACGTCACATGAAGAATTCGTGCTGGTTTTTATCGGTGTCTGAAAATATATTTAAAATTCGGGGTATTTCAGCTTTTGTCCAAATGAGCGATGACCTGCCAATCGATATTCATAGCAGCAAGCTTCTCGGTAAGCATTTTGCTGTACGGACTTGAAAACATTATTTTTTCAGATTGGCTGGTTAGTCGACGTCATTGCAACAAAGATTGGCAGAAAAATGTGCTGAAGATTCGTGAAAAAATTAAACACGCCATTCTCGATATGCCGGAATCTAAAGAAATTATCCAGTTGCTTCAGGGAGCATGTAAGATCGAAATTGCTTTTGAAAATCAATATATATATATAGCGATTTCCAGACATAAATTATTTTCACTGTCTTCAAATCATCGATATTTTGCGTGACACAGAGAAGGACACAAAAAACTTTCTGGGTTTCTATTCATCGCAAAGAATGAAAGATTGGCAAGAGATTGAAGGACTATACAAAAAAGAAAACGTCTACCTGGCTGAAGCCGCCCAAACTCTTCAGAGATTGGCACAATATGAAATTCCAGCTTTGAAAAGGCAGATTTCTAAAAATGATCAGGCCGTTTCGGTAAGCCTTTCTCACTCTTCCCATGTAATAAGCACATCCTTTTCAGGATGCTGTCAAAAAATTTACTGACTATGGGAAACAAGCAGAGGAAAGTAGAAAGCAATTCGAAAAGGAAATAAATCGAATGGGAATCAAAGGAGTGACTCTTCGAGCCGAACTATTAGAGTTGGTCGCCGATCTTCCGTCATTCTTCGAGAAAGTCGCCAAAGATTGTCAAATGCTGACACCGGCAAGAGATTTATATTCATCATTCAGAAATTACATGCACCAGTAAGATATTTCGAATTTCACCCCCCCCCCCCCAATTACGATTTTTCCAGAGATTCTGCTTATTCAACTGCCGTTCTCCCAATTCTTCGTCTCATCAGTGATCGCGGTGTGGACGTTACCACATATGAATGGAAATACGGAGAAAAACCGAATCATGTTGACAAACCAAACTTTGATCTTCTTCTCAAAGCCGATTCAAAGGTACAAGAAGACGATGAAAAAATTGATTTTGGAGATATAATTGATTTTGGCGATAACTCCTACTCCATCGAAAATGCGGAAAATGCCATCCAAATTGATGTAGTGGCCGATGACACTGGTGCTGTCGGGGATAAAGTGGCAAGTGGGCAGGATGCTCTGAACCTTTTCGAAAACTCAGAAGCTCAAAAAGGATTGAAACTCGAACTGAACGAGCTGCTAGTGTTTCTGAAAACACGACTTGAAGATGAAACGAGTGAAACAAATGCCGACGTTCTGATTCGTGGCGCCGAGAAAAGACCGGAAATCATTTCAAGCGTGAACGAGAAGGACATGAAGAACTGGATCGAAGTGATTGAAAAGATCCTCTCGGAGTTCAATAATTCGCAGAAAGTCCATCTCTTCAAAATTAGAGGGTGTCCACAGTAAGTAGTTCAGTTTCCAAAACTCAACTAAAGATTCAATGTATTAACAGATACGTAGAACATGTTGTCGAAGAATTGGAGAAGAAACGTGACCTCAACACCCGATACAAGAGGCTTCAAAATCTGATGACTGAAAAGCAAGACGCCGCCCGTCTCGCCGTCTCGAAATCCACGGACGAATTAAAGATTATCGTGGAGAGCACTCGTGTCCTTCAAAAACAAGTAGAGAATGAAATTTCTGCGAAGTATAACGGAAGACGAGTCAACTTGATGGGTGGAATCAATCAAGCTCTAGTCGGCGTTTAGAGAGATCATTGCATCAAACATTTACACAGTGATCCGGTTATTTATTTATCTATTTCATCTTAATCCAAAAATTATAAAAGTAATGAATAATTCACTCTAATTGGGTATTAAAATGTTAAGTGACCCGTGCGATTGAAAAAAAAAGAAAAATCTGAACCTAAATAGGTTCAGATTTTTTCAATAACGAAATATTTTATGTCTTCTCAGGCAAATCGTTTCTAATCTAACTAGCTAATTCTCGTTTCTAACCGGACCTAGTTAGATTGCTACCGATTTCTGAATCTAGCTAGCTGATTTTGCAATCTAAACATAATCTAGCTAGGTTTGCCCGAAATTTTAATCTAATTAGATACATTTTTAATCTAATGGGGCTATTCAGCGTATGTTTGTTTTCCGTTTTTTTCGTTTTTTTACATCGCTGAATTGGGTTTTTTGACGTAAAAAAACGGAAAAAAATAATTTTTTCACAGCCTGAATAACCCCATAATATCAGTGTTTTTGCAATCTAATTAGCTTCGCCAATCTAATTAGAAAATTTATCAGTCCAGTTAGAAGAATTTGCAATCTAACAAAGCTTTGGAATCTTTTAAGTGATTAAGGGAACCGGCCTAAACTAACGACACAGTTCGAGAGAGAGACTTTCAAAACCTATATTCCAGTTTTCAAAAGCTGCTTTCGAGACCTCTGAGATGCTGAAATTCCAGTCCGAAGTTTGACATTTCTTAACCATAGATTTCGCATTTTGATGGCGCGGCGACCCACCCTCACACCCTTGCCATGCGCCACGATTGTCACCGCCCGCAACACCCCACGAAAATGTGGTCGAGTGGCGCACACAGGTAAAACGCGAGGCATGCATTATGCAACTCATGTGGATCGCGCGTGCAACTTATTAGTACGGTAAACGCATGCACAGCGAACGCACGTTTGTGGCACGAGGAAGTGCTACAACTTTCCAGTTAACCACTTCTTTCTACAATTTTTTGTTCTTGAGATACAGGCTGTCGATTAAAAGTGGGTCGTATCACAAAAATCAGCAAGTTTTCAAAAAAGTTGTCAACTAAAAAAGTATTGAAAATGTCTTCAGTAATGTTTCTTTAGTTGGCGACTTTTTGATATCTCATTCAATTCGCGAGATACAGCAAGATTTTGCACTACCATCTTTAACAGCCTGTATCTCAAGAACAAAAAATAGTAGAAAGAAGTGGTCAACTGGAAAGTTGTAGCAAATGTCATGCTGATCAACTTTGTAGTTGATCATTATTCTCTACAAAAATTCCCCTTCGAGTTATGGATCAAAGGATCAACTGCACTCAAACGCTGTTCTGAAAAAAAAACATCGCGAAAAAGATTCATGTGTTGATGAAGAATTTCCGCATACACGATGAGGAACTTCAGTTGGCCACTTTAATCTCTTCAAAAATCAACATTTCAAAACAATTTCGTCAAAAATACATGAAAAAAGAAAAAGCATAACAAGGGAGTCGAACACGTGACCACACTCCCCTCATCCCCACCGTTAACTCCTGCGCCACTTGACGACATTTTCGAAAAATCGTAGGGTGTTGCAGGCGGTGACAATCGTGGCGCATGGCGAGGGTGTGAGGGTGGGTCGCCGCGCCACCAAAATGCGAAATCTATGGTTAAGAAATGTCAAACTTCGGACTGGAATTTCAGGATTTCAGAGGTCTCGAAAGTAGCTTTTGAAAACTGGAATATAGGTTTTGAAAGTCTCACTCTCGAACTGTGTCGTTAGTTTAGGCGTTTAAAAATTTTATGACTCATGCTTGTTTCGAATACCCTTCTCTACTTGACGGTAAGACAGTCACACTTCAAAAAAGATCGGATCAACACAGGCTGAACGACATTTGATGTTTACCCTCTTATTGAGCATTTTTTATGTTGAGACCAAAATTGTAGGACCACTCCTTGAATTCGATAATATCAGTTTTAGAGTGATCACTCGGAAACGGCCATAACTTGTGAACGAGTAGAGATATCAAAAAGCGTTCAACTAAAGTTTTAGAGCCTAGACATGTACCTTTAACTTTGCAGTTGAGCACGTGTTGGTATCTCTACCGGTTGAGGAGATACAGGCTAGCAAACGGACAGATCCTCAAGAAAACATGGACAGAGTGTATTGTCGATAACTTTTTTTCCGTCTAAGCGATTTCCCAAAGCAAAATGTTTCTGATCGGCCCTTATTTCGGGCGCTGAATCTAATGGTGATGGTCTCGTCAAAATATATTCGTAAAATAATGTACATAAGTACAAACGTTTTCATATTTTGTTGAATATCTCTTTTGAGAATTTGTTTTGCCGATGATAATCAATTGCATGTTTAAAGATCATCTCATTAGCTACATTTTCCTTTTTTTTACCGAGTGTTTTACTCAAAAACTGACGGAGATGCGACTTTTCGAAAAAGATGTACCGTTTTTGAATACTTTTGATCATATCTCGGCTAAACACCAAAACAGAGATGAAACCTTTTACGCGTTTTTTACCCTTCATGGGAGCTTTCATTCCCCCCTAATCCCGAGCAAATCCGGAGCATGAAATTTTTCTGCATTTTTTGAAGGATCGAAACTGACAACCGTCTCCGAAGCTTGGTCAGAATGATCAGATTCGTACCAAACTTGGCAAGTGCATAGTTGGTTGGGTCCTTCATGTTGCCGTCAAGTCTCTCAGAGATTGCTCCAAATTTGAGCAAAAACCAGATGTAAACTTACTTGGGATTAGTCGACCAAAGCGCACCAACATTGTTATTATTATTATTTATTTACGTTTATTTTAACGTGGAGAAGAGAGAGAGGAGAGAAAAAAGAGGGGGGAGATATCAAATTCTCGTAAATTCTCAATGAAACTTCACAAAACCTCACTAAATATTCATTCCAGAATGATCCTGTTGTCGTCCGGCCAAAAAACCGAAGTTAGGTTCGATTTTAAGACGAAGAGTTATGATTGACCCAAAACTCAATGAAAGTTGGTTCAAAAAATCAGGGAACCGAGAGGCTTGTCGGAAATCGATGTAAAACGGTCATAATCAGTCTTAGAAGACGTTATGGCTGAAATTAAAAATTATTCAGTTGACCCTCTGGCTAATTTCAGTGGTGAACCTATAATTATGACCAAGCGCTAAAGTCACTTTTTCGAGAAATCACGATTTTTGGAAAATTTCTCACTGAAGTCTAATGGTTTAGTTTGTACATTTGTGGTACCTTGGGTGACCGAAAATCCCCTTAAGAACTTTTTTTGATACAGCGCCTAGTTTTCGAAATATTCGAAAAATTGAAGTGAACCTATAATTATGACCGGCAGTGTAGTACACCCGGCATTCACCAAGTACTGGGCTCCGCTTTTGGCCAAACTGCCGCGTCCAATGTCTCGGAAAAACCGTAAAAACCGCAGATTTTTCTGTCCAAAGTCGGCCGAAATTTGCGTGAAAAACGGGGGTGCGCACAGCTCAATGAGTGTAACCGTACCCCTAAAACTACGGTATTTTTTGAAAATTTGCGCAAAAAATTTGAATATTTTCAAATAACCTCAAGAAATTAACAAATTTTCAAAAAATACCGTAGTTTTAGGGGTACGTTACACTCATTGAGCTGTGCACACCCCCGTTTTTCACGCAAATTTCGGCCGACTTTGGACAGCAAAATCTGCGGTTTTTACGGTTTTTCCGAGACATTGGACGCGGCATAAGATTTGAAACCCTCTGAGATCGTAAAGTGTCTGATTTTTGGAAGTAATAAACAGTGCGAGCGTTTTTTTGCCGAGAAAAAACCCGGAAGAAAATATCCCCTGAGACTTTCATTTTGTTATAAAACGGTCAGGCCTCAGATGAAGCCATCACAAACTTGTGTTCCATCTTTACCATGCAGTTCTGGTCTATTCTATTCTTTATTCTCGCCCTCATGGTTGTGCTCATCACTCCCGTTCAGTCGGCCTCCGACGCAGACATTTCGACTCTTCTAGCTCTTAAGGACAAGGTCACCGATTTTCTGGCGGGATCCAACTTGAGCCCGCAGGCCAAGGCTAAGATCCAATCGATGGTCGAAAAGAAACAGGCGGATGTTGAAAACGCTCTAAGCAGAAAATGACGACTTTGAGTTTTCAATCACTTCAGTAAACGTTTCATTTCATTTTTTGATGGATTTCGAATGTTGAAAACCCGTAATCAGAATACAACAAAGTTCCTAATAACAAACACCGGTATATTTACAAATAAGGTCTAGATAAACTTCCACGCTGGTGAATCTGGCGAGCATGTTGCTCGGACATCCTCTAGTTCCGAAAGAGGTAATGGCGATCAAATGAGCTCGTCCGAGGTCGTCACGGAATTCTAATCCTCCTCCGCTATCACCCTAAATTAAAATAATTCTTAACCTGGAAGTGTCAAGAGATAATGTTCGAACGTGGCAAGTACGCGGCGCCGAGTAATTGTACGTGTCCATGGATGTTGCGCAGATGTAATCTTTGGCGTCATACGGTAGTCGGTCACTCCACGGTCGTTTACATTTTCTATCCACGTGCATAGGGATCTCATGGATCAAAGGCCCGCTTTCGTTGAAAACTAGAAAAATATTAATTAGCTTATTTATGGGTCGAATAAACTTTCTGTAGCTTCTTCCCCATCCCGGCACAGTCAAGGCCTTTGTGTAGTACATTCGTCGCTGAGGAATGCAAATCGGCATGATATTTTTGCCAAACTGAATTTCGTTCTCGACCTCAACAATTGCCCAGTCGTGCCCGTCCATACAGTTAGATGATGCAAAGTCTCCATCGACGAGAACACTTCGGATCTAGGAGAAGTGAGGGTTTAAAGAGTTTACAGTAAAGATTCTTTAACTTTGTTATGCTCCACATCTGGCTTTTGACACTTCTTATCATTTGGATATTCTGTTGTGACGCCGCGAATACATTTTCCGCCGTATGCAACTTTCCTCGTTTCTCGCAGGAACTCTATTGAACGGTATACTGATCTCCTAGAAAGTATAATGTTTGAAAAATAAGTTTGAAAAACATACGTAGCATTTTTGAGATCAACTGACGTACAAAGGGAAGTTCTTCCAGATCCAATTGTCGTTATGAACCCATGCGCAGCAGTGAGAATGTGATAGGGGCTGATGATGGACCCGCCTAGTGTATTTACGCCCTTAACTTAACGATGGAAAAAATATTGAATAAAAAACTCACATCAACGGTGAACGAAACAGCCCATGGAAATTCTTTGATTTTTGCAGTTTTTTGAAACCCGCAGTTCTCTGATAGAATAGCGTTCTGAGCAGGAGATTGGAAAGACTGTCCGCGAACTGAAAATAGTGATTGTTTACTGTATGCATATCACATTTCTCATTTACACGTTTCTCCTATCCAAATTGGTTTGAAACCGTTCACAATGGAAAAAATAAGCGAAAAGAGAGGCACGCATATCATTGATCAGTCGAAGTCTATTCTGCAAAAATAGAGAATATCAGCGGCAACCTTACAGATTCTGGTCAGAAGCGAAAAAGAAGACCAGATTTATATACAAACTAACCCGACACATTCATTCACAATCAGTTCAGAGAAAAGAGAGGTGAAAGGCAGAAAAGAAAACAGCGATTCACTAATAAATCTCGTTTTGTTGGCAAGCTTTTAAACAGAAGTTGATGAGAAGTACACTAAATAGAAGAAAACTGTACTTGTACAAGTGTTTATATGTGTTCATATGAAGTAAGTCGAATAGAAATCTAGGAGTGAAACAATAGAAGGAAACAAAAGCACGGCCCGGCTTTCCATACATAGGACTTTCGGTTTTTTCAATATATCTCCAGAAATCTTACATAGGGACCTCTGATTTTTTGATAAGAGTTCAATTTTACTGGGTTCTTCAAAATGAGCTAAAAAAATGAGCTGTGAGAGAAGTTACAGCTTCACAATTTCCACTCCTCCGTATGCTTTGCCGGCCCGTGAAAAGACGATCAGGAATTTGTAAAACAGAAACCTATTATAAGGGCACCAGTTTTCACTGCAACTGCCGCACGCTGTTTGGGGCGCGTGTCCTTGGCTCGCTGCCAACTCTGATTCGAATGTCGAATCTTTTCTTTTTCAACAGTAATATTATAGGGGCACCGCACAGAAATGGCGGTATGTTGAGAAATTCTTTTTGCAGTGCAAATTGAGCGACCTCGGGGCCGAGTTTGAAAAGTTAGGCCTCCCACATTTTCAGTGGAAAATTACTTCGCGGCCTAGAAATTCGGCCAGATTGCGAACAGAGCGCCTTTTCTGTCCGGTGACCCTATAATAGGGTTTGCAAATTGGATTTAGAATTTTGGGAAGAAAACCTTATGGTTTTCAATTATTTTTTTTTGAAATGTTTCGAACAGCAAGGTACTTTTTTCTTCAAGACTGGGTGAGTATTTTTTCGAACAGCAACAGTATCCAAATTTTGTTAACTGAAGCATCATGTCTCGTTTTGACAGAGGTCAAACGATTTCTGAAGCTTCAGAGGTGTCGAAATAATATATGAAAACGTTGGGAGCTTGCCAAAAGGCAAACATTTCAAAAATGTTCGCCATGATGAAGCGGTGTTGTATTCTCAACTCCCCAAGGTGGTCACTCGCAGGCGTTTTGAACATTTTTGTCCTCAGAATTGCTTGCTTCATGTATTGTTGTCTCGCTGAAATTTTCTCTCTGTTTATTCTATTCTTCAAATCAAAAACTGGTGGTGCTGGCGGGCGTTTTGAAAATAGAACTCAAAAGAAAGGTCCCTAGGGCTCTAACCGAGTTTGCAACCAACATTTTGTTTTATTATTTCGCTGATAGGCCGTCGAAGGACCACCAAAAGTTGCCATTTCCATCGATCCATTTCGCTCAGATGTTTCAAAAACAATTTAAAATTGTAGAATGCTTCTTTCTCATGGAGAGCACCGTCAATCCTTCAAGCAGAAAAAAGAGGAAGAAAATAAGCGTAGGCGGAGTTCCACACAACCTCAAGCCAAACAGAGTCTAGCCGTATTGGCGCAATTGATGCTGCCAGCTCTGATTGAGGAACACGCAGTGCGGGTTTCCCAGCTTCATTCTTTGCAAAAATTTACATCTTCCAGGATGATATATTGATCAATCCCAGCAGGCAAGATGGAAATGCCGAAAACCGTCGGCATGTGAACGACCTCCTTCAGAGAGCTAATTTCCAAATGCGCAAAGGAGCCGCCGGCGTTTGGGATGTGAGTTGACGATGTACTGAGTGCGAATATCCTGTGAAGGAAAGCAATTGCTCCTCGAAAGAGAGGAGAGCTTTACCCTCCCGGCGCGTTCAGTTGATCTAATATAAAGAGCGCTCTTCGACCCCACATTTACTGCTTCCATTTTCACTTTTTCGGCCGGCTTAAAATATATTTCTACCCTAATTACCTAGAATGTTTTGGAACATCATACCACCTCAAAAAAAAACTACAGTAGATTCACATAGTTGTTTCTTTTTTGAACTTGCCACTTTGCAGATTGCCGGAAGGGCTCATTTGGCTGGTAAGAGAAAAGTGGTGCAACTCCAGCAAAAACCACCGCTCTGGCTGATTATTCTAAATCGGGCATATCATAAATACGGTCTAAAGGTAATGAAATTCTGCTTTATTTACAGCGACGGTCACCTAAAACTAATAAAATCGCATTGTAATCCGGATACCTCAACTCCCTTAAGGCGATTACCCATTTTCAGCACGTCGTCCTTATTGTTGTGTTTTTGATCTACTGTATCTTTGGAGGACTTGTTTTCTGGCTTCTCGAAGAGCCTTATCAGTCTGAATTGCGAGATCGTTGGCTACAAACGATAGAAAACAACAGAACGACTCGTGTGGATTTATTAATGAAGAGGATTTTTAATAACAGCGATTTTTTGATCTATATCAAGGGAAATACCTCTACCAGACTGTCGCAATTTTTTAAAGAGTACGTAATTTTATGCTGTGATATTTCAAAATGTATTGCATTTTAGTGAGTTGGGGTCTTACGAGAGCCAACTCGGTGTCAAGTGGAGCCAGCAGAAAATGGACTGGGACTTTTGGAACGCTGTTCTTTTCGCGGGTACAATATGCACTACAATTGGATATGGTCATATTTACCCCATGACAGATGCTGGCCGAGTTCTCACTATGATCTTTGCTCTTTTTGGTTGGTTGACTAGAATTCATTAATTGACTATTATTCTTCTTCAGGAATCCCATTGATGCTTCTAGTACTTCAAGACTTCGGTAAACTTTTGACCATTACCATGAAGTTCCCTTGGTTTCAAACTAAACGGTTGACGCGGAGAATATTACGATGTTGCACGAAACAGCCGATAGAAGAGATGAAAGAGATCGAAAGACAAGAACGTCACGATCTGGATATATTTGATCTCCCGCTTCCTGTTGGAATTGCATCTATTGTCATCTGGGCGAGTGTCAAGTTTTCTGTACAATAAGCTCAAACTCTAAATTCTTCAGATATTCATATGCTCTTTTGTTCTTTCGGTATGGGATCACGATTGGACGCTTCTAGAGTCTTTCTACTTCTTTTTCACTTCGTTGAGTACAGTTGGACTTGGTGATCTCGTTCCATCATCTCCGCGACTTTTAATCACAATGTTCGGTTTTATTTTAGTTGGTCTTTCCCTAGTTTCCATGGTTATTAATCTTCTTCAAGCTAAGGTAACTAAAAAAAATACAGAACCCCCCAAATATTATGAAAGTAGATGAAATCAACGTATGAGGCTGGTCGTAATGACGACAAAACTGCTCCACATGCTCGCACTTTTCCCACCTCATTAGGCGTAATTCAGTGCTATTCTGATGAAGACAAAAAAGCTGATGTTTCGGAGAGAAGTCTAAGTAGATCAACTCAGACCAGTCTTAGCCTGCCAGGAGTCAGACAAGTGAGTTTGTTTTAGAATTGTTGATAATGTATCTATCATGCCTTGTAAATCAGGTTGTACTTCGGTCGGATGGAGTTCACTGGGTTCACACCGATACTTCTTCTCCAACCAAAAGTCCAGATGAAGTCACTAATCTAGTAGAGCACGAATCTGGCCTCAGGGTCTGTGAGCAAATCGGGGATAACAACAATGAAGAGTACTCGGAAGGAGAGAGTCTCATCTGTGAAACCGAAGTGCTTTTGGAAGTTGGCGAATGTTCTGATTTGGAAAGATGCGACAGTATTTAATTTTCTGCTGTTCTGTCATTTTGGCCGAATAAATTTGAAGTTTGACGTTTTTGGGTAGAGTATCATAGAACAATGATAGCATTGATAATGAGAATCACCAAACCGTTGTGGTCACGCCACACTTCCCCGATAATCTGTCTCTGCAAAAGAGCAATGAATTCATGATGTGCAAAGTGTAAAGAACTGTGTCAACAAGAAAAACTTTATTATGAACAGCTATTATTTCAAGATGATGAATGGTTTACCCGGTGAGGTCCCGAGGTCTCAAAACGAATTGGGGCAAAGAAACGGTAAAACTGTGTGTGGATGATGGTTGGAATGGAATTATAAGAGCAAACAATAGAAAGAAAGCACGGGAAGAAAAAGTAGAAACGATTATGATGAAGAAACCCTTAATGGCGGCGAGTGTGGCAGTGACTGATGTGAAGGAACTCCTGGCGAGTCAGACGGATTTCGAGATCTTCGAAGACGTTGAAAAAGAGAATTCCAACTCCGTCGAGGTTTCGTGACACTTGGCTGTGGGCGATCTCACTGAAATTAAAGTGTTATGTTACATGAAAAAGAAATATTGAGGTCATTTCCGAAATATATTTCAGGAAGTTGTCATCTGACTATGTCTCGTCTGTAAGACGAAAATACATTTTTAGGAGACTGCAACTTCTAAAAATAGAACATTTCCTTTCTTTTGTTTGAACAATCGAACTGATAACTAGTTCCTACTCTCGATTTTTTCCCCTCTTATCAGATATTTATTCTTTTAGTCCTACCTTCCATTCTCCATAGTGCATACAACGAATTTCCAGATTCCATGGCCACATCCAGTCAGCATTGGAGTGAAAACCTGAGAAGTCTCGGCAGGCGAGAAGTGAATCAATCCAATCTCCCCGGTCGGAACCTCAACGCGAACATAGAAGGCCTGGCCGGCATTCGAGTTGCAGTTGATTTCGATCTACAAAGGTTATCATTGGCGAAGAAGACAAAGAGAAGAAATGGGAGAAGGGAAACTTGGCAAAAAGTTTGCGGCATTTAATTCGGAGGGTACAAAAATTAGGGGGTACAACAGGGTACAAGTTGTTTTGGGGTACAAAAAGTCGAGGGTACAAAATTTTCGATTCTAGGGTACAAAATTTTCGATTCTAGGGTACAAAAATTTACCGATTCAGTAGGCATTGATTAAGGGGTACAACTTTTATGATTTAAGGGTACAAAATTTCACGATTTTGGGGTACAACAATTTTTTCCCATTTTTTCATGGGCATCAATTCAGTGAATGTTTTTAGTTGTTTCACAAAATTTTTTTACTCCGTGAATGTTTTGTACTCCGAACCGCTTGATCAGTTTCAGAGATGTTTTTTAAATGAGATTTCATGACCCTTCGAAGCGTTTTGCTTCCGATAGACAGTGGTTCAAACGGCGACCCCTTTGTTATTATAGGGGCACCGAACAGAAAGGGCGCTCTATTGATAAACTTTTTTGCAGTGCAAATTGAGTGAGCTCGGGGCCGAGTTTGAAAAGTTAGGCCACGTCTTCAGTGGAAAATTACTTCGCGGACTAGAAATTCGGCCAGATTGCGAACAGAACGCCCTTTCTATTCGGTGCCCCTATAATATTACTTACAAGTTGTTTTGCTGTTTTGGCCCCTTTAAATTCTGAAATTTCACAGCAGAATTTCAGCATCTGATGTTGTGTGTGAAATTTACCCAAGTAAAGTTTTTTTCTCGAAATTACACAAAATACTGCATAAAACAAAGCATGGCTACACACGACTGTGTCTCGTGAGCTCTCAAAAATTCAAAACTGGAATGAAAACTTCGAAAATGTGCTTCGTGCAACTTTTGTACCCCAAAATCGTGAAATTTGTACCCTTAAATCATAAAAGTTGTACCCCTTAATCAATGCCTACTGAATCGGTAAATTTTTGTACCCCAGAATCGAAAATTTTGTACCCTCGACTTTTTGTACCCCAAAACCATGAAAGTTGTACCCCAAAACCATTTGTACCCTGTTGTACCCCCTAATTTTTGTACCCTCCGAATTAAATGCCAAAGTTTGCACACAGCACAACTGCTCACATACGAACCTGAGTGGCGTCGGCGTGGCAGATTTCAAGGGCATTGAGGTCTTGAGACAGTGTGGAAGAGTTACGACGGAGAGATCCCTTTAGTCCGATGATCGACTTCTGACCGACGGCATCACTTTCAATCTAGAATTGTATGAAAGCTAAAATAGTCAGACACAATTTATGTCTAGTAACTTCAGAAATTCTTCAACAACTAATTCTTTTGAAAACTCACTTTTCCGTTGTATTCGCTCTGACAGGAAGAAGCGGATGCGAAGCATCCCATGCCGAAGTTGGTGGTTGGCTTTGATACAACGAACATGATACTTCTGAAAAAATCTTGTAATGTAAATAGATAAAAGAAGATTGAAGAATAAAAGATAACGTCGAAACTATAGCAGTTAGATCCATAAAAAGAATATGACCAATTCCGACTGAGACATAGCGGGACGAAAAAGAGAGCGAATGTGTCCCGCCTTCCCTCACGACATGCTAAGCGCCGCCCCTTGTTTCACGAGACCCGCCTTTTTTCTCCCTCTTTTTCTCTCTCGTGTTTCTCCGTTCAGGACGTCTCGTTCCATAGATCATGGGGCGTGGAGCGGAGGGAAATAAAAGTAGGTTGACAACAGTACGTGAAGAGAAGGAGACGGGAGATCGGAGAGTATTAGTACAACAACAAGTTCGTTTTCAGCACAAGTGCACGTGGAATGGAACGTGTTTATGGGTGGTGGACAGACGGAAGGGCTCAAACAACACTGTTCAAGCTTTAGAGCTTGCGATTCGTGTTTTTTTGCCGTTTATGAAACATCGAAAACAGTGGCTATTCCCATCTTTTAAATTTTGCGGAACGTCTCATCTAGAAGTGAGAAAAATTACTATTCTAGAAAGTTCAAAGCATTTTTTATCTACCAAAGACTCTTAAAACGACAGAAAAGAAAATATTTAAATGGAGGCACTCGAAACATGAGAAATCGAGCCTACCAAATCTTTCATAGACTGTAGGATGCAATACAACGTGTTACGGATCGCCTAATGTTTACATGACTGTGTGTCCTGAAAACAACATGTGAGGAAAAAACCTTGTTGAGCACTCTCATGATTGACCAGTTCGGTTTTTTGTTCTCTGGTGATGACTCGTCTCTCTCACTCATCACACGATTGGTCACTTGCTCAATGTCGATTTTCAACATCATTTGATGTTATTATTGAATAAACTGCTCGAGTCTATGTGGAAATGTAAGCAGAAGAAAAAGCAACACGGAACTCAGAATTTAGAACAGGAAAGGAAGGAGAAAAGCAAAAAATTAGTGTTGGAATGGGTGGGGGAGTAAACATGTGTAGACGAGGAACCCCCTTCCGCCACGCAGCTCTTGCTATTCCAGAGAACGAGAAGACGAAAAACGAAGAGGGACATGCTAGTTTTTGAGAATTGGACAATATCTATTTTCCGAGAAGGGGAAGTCTTTGAAAATTCGAATACTTCTTGATAACTACTAGTTCTGAGCTCACTTCAGATGACTAAGACACGCACGAGATAACTGGCAATCTCACGGGATTACATTGAGTTCTAAACACGCCCAAAACACATCACTCAGTAGCAAAAAAAACAAAGAAATAATAGCAAAAACAGAAAAACAGCTGATATTGTAGAATCAACAAGAAGGAACCACACTTCTCAGTTCACAGGTAATTTTGACCAACACAATCGAGAGAGAAGTCGGAAGAAGAGAAAGTGAGAAAGAAGAGAGGCAATGAGAGTGTGGCCCAAAATAAATTTCATACATCATTGCTGTCGCACCACACAACGCACACTCTCCGTTCTACCCGTCTCATATGCCGCAATTAATCGCAAAGTGCATACCTTCAGTCAATACTTGGAAAATGTAGTCCTATGAGTTTGTTCTTTTTGAGTGGAGAGGTTGTTTGATGGATAGAAAACACGAACTCTGGTCGGACGGAACTTGATTGAGCTCATCTTTGTCGCAGTTTCATTCTATGATTCGAAAAATGGTTAAGAACTTGGAACGGTTCTTGTGCCCACGTTTTTGTTCTTGATACGTCATAATGCCTAACTAGGCAAACATGAATCGGGTGTAAATAAATAAAATGGAGTCGGTGTGAACTGCCAAAAAATAAAACTACTAGTTGCCGCAGCACAACCATTCCCCATATGAAAGAAAGCGAATCACCCCCCTCTGGGGCAATATCACAAGTAATTTCTTCCGTCCTTCCCCAACTGCCCCCCTTTGATCGTCGACTTGCGACTTGAAAAACTATTTCAGTAGACTTTGCACTTTACACAATTTGTTCTCACTGAGAAAAATTTATCGGTCTTATCAAAAGCGACAATTCCAATCTGATAGGCAGTACAAAAAGAGTGGAAAGATAAAGGAATTATTTGTGCATTTGATCTAGGGGCTAAAGATCTAGAGAGAGAGAGAGAAGTCTAGTTTTCGTTTTTTTTTCCAGAACTCGTTTCTCTATCATGTGCCATGTCAACGACTGAATCACGTGAATAAGGGGTGCAAAACAGAGGAAAATGGATTAGGCAAGATTATGGTAGTAGGGGACAGAATTTGCATACAATTTTGCGTCCAAAATGTTGTAGCAGTCTACGAAGCCACATGATTCGAAACCACGGAGCCCATAACAAGGAGACCGATCATAGAACGGGTCAGAAAACGATCAGAGAAGAAGAAACGGTGACAAATATCATGTGGTTGATGAATGGGTGCAGCCGTTATGCGTTCACACGGCACAAAACGCATAAATAAATGGTGGTGCGCGGTGCCAGGGTGCAGCAGCAGACAGAGGAACCACCCCGTGCTCCACTGTACCACCCTCTCGTGCACTGTGATATAGACGGAGACAGCTGGGAACCGACCGCGCACGACCCAACCGAAGGGTGTATGTACGTGTGTTGCCTCCCGCGCTAATGTGAGCGCTTTTTTTTTGGTGGAGGGGGTAATTGACATCGGGTGTGAGGCAACGGCTGGCACTGCCACCCAGCTGTACTTTACGTTTTTGTAATTTGTTGCGTTCCCCGCCGGGATTGGATAAATCTGGTTAGTTAATATGAAGAATATGAAGACATGGGAACGTAGAAGGATACCTTTCTGCAACCTTGCTTCAGTATGATTCTGACCGCAAGGTCACAGAAAGGGTTCTTCAGGACTGAACTCACTCGTGAAGTCATTAAAGCCAGAACAGAGATCTTTCTGACCGGGGAATTCCTATTGTGTCATAAAATCGCTGCATCACACCACACATCCGCTACGCCTCGATGACGTTGCAAAATCGAGACACAAAAGCGAAACTTCCCTCGAATAGTTAGAGAAAAAGAATAAGGTTTGCAGGTGTTCAAAGCTTTGTTTTCAAGACTTTCTTGCTACAAGTGAACCCAAATTCCGCGAAAAAAATGTGGGGTTGGCTGTGTGTTTTGCACACACACGTTCTCTAATGACTCTTTTTCCGTCTGTCAATAGTGGACACGTTTAGTTGCACCGAATTTGTATCGAATCACATGTCCGCCACGTGAAGTCTCAGAAAGAATTTGCGGAGGCCTCTTTGCTTCTGCAAGTCCATTCACCTCTTATAAAAACTTCTCGTCACCGTCCCAACGATAAAAAAGGAAAGAGATAAAAAATTTCTTCAGAATTCTTCAGATTTCTTCACAATCCGTAACAGAAAATTCCGAGTCATCAGAAGTCTGCATAGCTGATTTGAAGTTTGAGAAGAGATGAACGGAAAAGCGGAAAGGAGTCGTATCACAGGTGATTCGCGATCGGTCTATTACAAGTTCGCGGATGTGTCTATAGAGAACTCGGAGCAGGTCCTTGAATAGGCACATCATAGGCCGATCACAAAAATGTCACGCCTATCGCGAACGCCCATTGTGGACCAATCGCGAACGTTCGATATCGAGATTATGATTATAAACTCATCGCTATTGCCCCTCGGTGTTTGCAGACTCAAGCCAAAATTTCTAAAATTAGGCTTGAGAACGCAAACAAAGAGGGGCAATAGCGATGAATTGAGTATAATGAAAATAACGCAACGTTATTACAAAAATGTATTGACAAAAACAGTAGTACTAGATGAAAATGCTGGGTTACAGGTAAAGTAGAAGAAGAGGAAAAGAAAAAAATTTAGGGGCGGGGAAAACATGTTTTATTAAAAAACAGGCTGAGTTAGTCGACAGTCGACGACATCGTTAATTTCCTGATCCATTCCTCCGCGTCCGGCGCCATCGTCGTACTCGTCACTCTCGTGTCCTCCGCCGACTCCAAAATCGCGACGGCTCCAAAAAGATAATCGGCTGAAAAGAAGACAGCTAAACTTCTCATTAATCAGTTCGGTAATATTTTTGGACGCGTGCGAACTTTGACACCACACTTTTCGTACACTTTCCACTAAATAGCTATCTTTTCACAAGTAAGTATTTCAGTGCTATTACTATTTTCACTGAAAAGTAGTAAGCAGTACGCCGCACTTCTGAGTTTTGTAATCGTGCAGAATGATTCAACAATGATCGAGGCATACCGCATAGACTCAACGCAAAAAGAGAAACCTATGTACAGAACACCGAAAAATAATACTGAAACAAATGAAAAGCTAATTTAAGCAACTGGAAATACAATAAACACTGTTAAAATGATAGTAAACACGTTAAAAATATGAAAATTCTGAACAAAATCCGTGGCGAAAATTTCGAGTTCGGTTTTCGCGATGGGCCTATTACAGGTCCATCATAGGCCCATCGCGAACGATGCGCCCCACTGCCTACAATGCGTCCATCGGCGAACTTTTTCTTCGTGATAGGCATATTATAGGCCTATCACAGGTCCACGTTCTCAATAGACCGATCGCGAATCACCTGTGATTTTAGTGCTGAATTTCTAGTTTGTGTATGATTTTGTTGTGGTTGTTGACATTGAACAGTTCAATAAATACTTCTCAAAATTGTCGAAGGAACTCACATTCTGGAAAAAGGAAAATTCCTCATGAACTTTCATTTTCTAACCGTTTCGATATAGAATTTTGACTTTGGCAACATTATGCATTTCCCTGAAAAAAAGAATTCGTGATAATTTATGTAGTGAAAAATAGAATTGAGAAGCTTTTGGCCTGAAATGAAAAATGATCCTTTGTTATTCCGTACCAGATTCTCGTCCTTGTTGGTTCCAATATGCTGTTAATGGGTATGCACGAGAATGCGTGATTAAATGACTCTCTAGGCATACAATCGAAAATTCAAAAGAATAGAGGAACACAGGTTAAATGGTAAAAAATAAGTGAAGATAACATGCAAGAAAAATTTTT